GTATATTTTAAGTATTACGATTCCGATATTTAGAGGTTAAGCCAAATTTATGCCGTTAATAAATTTTTTTGTTTTATAGCGAATAAATTAAACCGTATCGTATACTATTGTAGCGTCTTATGACCGGCGTATGTATACGTGTATATTATAATACATTTAATGCCAAATACGTTGCAAATTTAACTAAAAGCACTTAATACAAAAATATAATAAAAATCAAACATTAAATAGTCTATAGTAACAAACTGCGGGATTTTCTTCTTGGCTTTTTACCAAAATTTCTAACTAATTTATATTCTTCGCGTTTTGCATGCAGTGCACAACGTATAAATCATTCGATGAAATTATATTTACGCTTTAGTAGTGTATTAAACTCGTAATTTATCCGAAACAATATACTTTCTAATTTCTATTATGAATTAATAAACGTTCCTTATTGTAGCCGATGTATGCCTAATTTTGATTTTTTTTTTTTTATACATATATATATATATATATTTATTTTATCTAATCGGTTTGTTTGGGTTTTTTTTTAATCTATTATAGAGACGAGTCGGTAGACATACACTGTATTTCCAATTAAAAAACAAAGAAAGTATAATATGGCCACTTTTAAACCAAGATTATTTTTACTCTTCAAAAACGATTTCATAAACATAATATTTTCAATTCATTAAAGCTGCGATTCACGAGATTATTATTACATGATTTGTATACTATAAATCTGTTCGAGAACAGGCAGTTATAATGTTTTTCGAAATAATATCGGAACTTGTGTACTCTGCTATACGGTCTTCGGGGGATGAAATGGACTTATAAAACCCATTCAATATTATATAAATTGTAACTAATAGTTTTCATTTCGCACTTAAAATAACGAGTCTTTATTATGGTCCTATATGTATAAATATAAAATTGAAATATCATGATTTAAAACTCGTTTTCATATCAATAAAATAATGTGCCCTATTTGGTACCGCGTAATTCTAAAACAATAAACGTCGGATTTTCGAATCCTTAATCGGCAAATCGAGATTCTGGATTTTGCCCATCGCTAATCATAAGACCGTTAACAATTTTAAATAATATACATTTACCTAGAGGAAGAGGAGCGGCCGAGTGGGTAAGGCGTCCGTCACAGACGATGTTTACGTTTGCTGGGCGAAATTTTCTTGGAAAAAGGAGCCACAATCCTACTCTCCGGCGACAGACTCACGACCTGTCCCGAATAGCGAATTCGTTTAGAAATCATCTCACGGTTTTAGCATTGGGTCTTTCAGAACCTGCAAGTCGACAAAATGATGGTTTTTACGACTTACCTATTCCAAAATTGAACGATTAAGTAGCCGTCACAGTGACATTTACCGTTTTTCTTCAGGTCGATGCTCCACAAATTTGTTCACATAAAACACGTTTTTTTTAAAAATGTATAGACGATATCATTTTGAAAACAACCAATCATCGGTAAATTTTTTTTACTTTTATTACAAGAGACGAATTTCCCCTCAGCCGACTTGTTACAATATTTCGTCCTTTGATTCAATTTATACATACACGTTATGTTTTAAACATGGAATATCGTATGAAAACATGAAATCAGAGCACGGAAATGATTAGAGATCGGGTATAAAGTTGAAACCACCAAAAGGTCCTTGATACTATTACACCATACATGTACACAATTTTATCGCATCGGCTTCGTTTGAGGGTTCTATAGAGCTGAAAAACACCCTTTTCCCCCGACAACATTGTGAAATTCATATATTTAAATTCAACCAAAAATATTATTTTATTTAATCCGCCTACAGAAAAACGTCGATTACCGAGTTTTCGCTCGTTTGGTACAAAAAAAGTCGCCTAAAGTGCTAAAAGATACCGATAAAAAAATATCTGTATGTTTAACAGAAACAATAAAGCGCAATAGTCTCTATATTATTATCGGGTAAAATTCGTCAACATATGCCAACAAGGCTTTGTTGAAAAACGTTGTAGACTGAAATGTTTAAAATCCGCAGTTTATCACTGAAACCTATTTCCATAGTCTATTCGTTATTTGTTTTTCACGTGAATACCAATAAATTATGCCAATATATTTAATGTTAGAAAGAGAGGATCCGGCAAAATGACACCGCGGCGACGGCCTCTGGATCGTGAAAATGTATGGGCAATGCTCGCGCAGTCTAAAACGAACGGGTGACCCGTTTCTCTCGTTAAAAAATATCTATTAAAAGAAAAAACGGCTATAAATAATATCTATTTCATTTCATTTCTTTTTTATCGAATAATTTAAATGTTAATATCTGTAAATGTTTGTTTTTATTGAGATATTTCTATCGACAATTTTGTCGAATATAATTCAGGGAATTAAATGATATATGTGTATTGTATGTAATAAAAATATAACAAATTGATAAAAATTTTACGTTACGATTGCATCCAAGACGAGATCATTTAGGGATGTTTTGTGTAAGACGAAATTTAAAGCTGGTAATAAATTATGAGCTGTAGATTTTTCGAGGAACGTGTTGAATTGAATAAGAACGGTAAACGTTCGATTTTCGTTTCCGTCTCACCTACGGGGTCACTACAGATATTCGCCGCTAATAATCTACCCGTATAGGTGTACAAAAAGTACCTATCGAAGCCGCGAAAAGTAATTTGTACGTCGTAATATTTTACGACCGAAATCGTGTAACGGATACGCGTTCGTTGGGTTGTTTTTTTTTTTTAACGACGGCGGCGTATTCTTTTGGCGTGTGTGGATATTTATTCGGTTATCAGAAGAAAAAAAAAAATTATATACATAATGTTAGTGCCGCGGTCGATAATAATGTTATGCACACGCGTTCGAAACATTATATTTAATATACCGAAGACATTGTTATGAATGAAAATCACGCACGCTTACGTAGTGTTTTGTCTCGGGTTTTATTTTCTGTTTTTTTTTTTTCTTGTTTCTACTGCGGCGCTAAAGAAAATAATATTTTATATTGTACAGAATTTTTTCGCGTAAATGTGGTCCCGGCGGCGGCGGTGCGGTGGACGGATGTGAGAAACACGATAGAGAAAGAATTCATAATAGTTTTGCGGTTACGCGCGCGCGAATCAAGCGTCGTCGTAGTCGTAAAACCGTTTAACATTTATTAAACATTTGCATATTCAAATAAACCCGAAAAAAATAAAATCAAAATAAAAAAAAAAAAAAAATACGTTTTAATATAATACCTACGCATAATATACCGCGCAGCGGTCTCGTTTATAAATTATCACGTGATACATTGTGGGCACACGCGTAAATAATACGAATAATGTGCGTGCGGTGTGTGTGTGTGTGTGCACAACGTAATAATTTTTAAAAAATATTATGAATATTAATAATAATGTTTTTTTTTTTTTTTCCCCCATTTGGTTTTACGCGGAGATAAAAATCGTATTGGTGGAAATTCTCGACAATTTAAAAAGGAGAAACTTCAACGGTACTCGTCGATAAATCACGGCGTTTAAGGTTTTCAGAAATATGGTTGTCGAAATTACCGCAACAAAACACGAAAGTCTATATATTTAGGCGAAGATAAATCAATGCTAACGAAAAACGATTCAGAGCGGAAGTTCAGTCGGACGTGTTTTAAAATGCCGTGGTTTCTACGATTTTCATCAAAATTTAAACTTAAACGCTTATGGAAAAAAAACTGCTACATTCTGTTCAATTTTTTTTATTTTCCAACCACTAAATACAACTTACGATGAACCTTGTTTTAAATCGTTAAGCTATCCTGTTGTACCGAAACAATTTTATCAAATATAATCTAAAGTTAAGATTTATTTTTTTTGTTTTTAGATTCTACATGAATAGGTTCTAAAAGTATTTGATAGTATCAAATATGCGTATGAATAACTCAAACATCTCGATAATGTTTTGAAAACAGGCTATCGTTACGAGCATTCTGTGAACATTTCAGTTTTCTAGGGTTTTTTCCAACCGAATCGCAAAAAATCAAAAAAAATCGAAATTAACGAAACGCGTTATTGCCGCAAACTGTCTAGTTTTACCCCACATTTAATTCCTCAATTATTGCCAAAAAACTATACGGGAACAATCAGTAAAACTTAACACTCCGATTTCATACAATTAGCTTACAGAAAATCGAGGCTAGAAAAGTTGTCTACAAACGGAAAAAAAAAAAATAAAAAAAAAACCAACAATTAATACGGGTCTATGTTCAGTTTCGTCGATGACGCGCCCCGGCACGGCACATTGCTCGAATCGCCGTGAAATCGGTTAACCGTTCACTCGGGTTTTTTCGTATTATTATTATTATTATTTATTTATTTTTTAATGATATACTATCACGCGTTATGTGCAAATTGCGCAGCGAACATCGCCGGCAGGACATATACACAAATACTATTCTATTATATAAGTCCGAGATAATACTCGTATATTTTATAAAAAAAAAACGTCTGTATTTCTTCGTCGGCGCGTCTTGTGGATTTGTGCGTGTTTTTTTTTCTCGTGAAATTGAAATCTCCCGATACGACTCGTATATATTATACCGGATGTATATATGCATAACACGACGTGCGTGAGTGGTGTATACACGGCGAGGTGTAAAAAAATTCAATTCGACAATTATTATTAGAGGCAGTAATAATTATACGTTAGATATAGTAAACAATTTCCATTGAAAAATTACCCGCCTCGCAGCCGCCGCCGCCGCCTCGGCCGTCGGTGTTGTCCTATGATCAGTCGAAATACCGAAAGTACATATTTTTTTTATTTTTTTATAAAATATACCGCGGTATAATTATTTTTACGTTTACATTTTTATTTTATTTTTTTTTTCCGATAATTAGACGCCGCACGCCTAGTGTTTAAAAAGATTGCGCGCGCGTAAATAAACAAATATATTATTTTCGACGAGATGTTCATAAAAATAGCCAAACACCTACATTTTAAAAGTATATATATATATAGCGGTGGGCGCTGACGTGTCTTTATTTATCGTTACGGTATGATCTTGAGAGCAGAGGCAAAAGCAGTAAGTATGGTTAATGGAAATAAACGCCTAATAGGAAAAAAGGGAAGAAAATGACCAAACGATATGAGGGCGGTGAGTGGATGTTGGGATCGGACGCAGTAGAAGATCAGAACGAGCTTGGCTGATCTCAGAAAATAGGAATAAAAGAAAAGGAGAAGAAGACGAATCGTAAAATCATAGACGTCAAAGACGAAACTCCTGTAGTGTGACAAAACTATTTTAAAAAGGCTGATTCTGCTGACGGGTGTGCCACTATTTAAGGAGAAATGATGAATAAGGAAAATATAATATATTAAGTAATTTAATATTTTACATTTGTACACAACAATAAACCATTGCTCACGTAAAACAATTCCGCGCAAAATATCATCAGGCATATTTTTTCCCTTGCTGCCAAGGTAACCCAACGAAAATCGTACAAACAGTTGATAATTTTTCCTATTTACCAAAAAGACTACAAAAAAAAAAATCGAAAAATACCTCATCAGTACTACATAAATCAAAAGTTCTACATAAAAGTTTATTTAAGTCGATTTAAAAAACGTTTCTTTAAAGTTTTTGATTGAAATCAGATTTCTATTAAAAAAGTTATTTACACACACACACACATACGTGAAAAAAAAACAGATATACTTCGCACGATGGGTGAGCCACTATATTGTAGGTGAGAAATTTACTTTATTTTTCATTTTTCTAACTCGATGTAATGTTGCATAGTCAAACGGTCGCGCGACGGTGAATTTATAATTGATATTTTTCACCAGCCTCTACGGCTAGAGATGTAAAGAATTTTTTGATTCCGAGAGGTACGATGAATATGTATTGATTTATGTATCGTTTTACTATGATGCGTTTTTTTTTTATTTTTACGATGTACGACTTTTTTACCAAATATTTGTCTCCAATAAAAACACTTTATAAGAACTTTCTTGTAATATTTCTTATCTAGTTATTGGTGCCAACACATCAAACACATCAATCTCCTCAATAGGAAATGATCTTTTGGATTTCCATGTTGTTTTCATAACAAATGGGAAGAAACTGACAATTTTCGTGGATTTCTGAGTTATAACACGCAAAGAATTACGAATAATTATTCCCCGCTCCGGATCGTTTTTCATTAGCATACACATATTCTGCCTTCCGACTTGTCTCCTAAAACATTGTTAGCCTGTTTTTTTTTTTTATAATTAAACGTCGAATTTCTATTTAAAGAATATGATAATATAATAATTATACATTTTAATATTTTAGATTCTGAGTGAAGCGAGGAACAACATATTGGTTCAATTATGTTTAATTTTTTATTTTTCCTTTGGACTACTTTTCTACCAGCAATTTTGCTCCGATTTACAATGACAGCACTTTTTCCAAAAGAAAATCTGACTGGGGAGGTATTTTACAGAGGTCATTTTTTTTATGTTCCCGGGAGTTTGCCCATTTATTGGGAAAAACAAGAAAATAGGTACAGTATCAAACAGATATTATTGAAGAACACGTTTAACGCATATTTAATCGTTTTACCGTTGTACGACATGTACTATATTATATATTAGTGACGGCAGCACCGCTATCGACCGAACTCCGCTCAGAATCGTTTTTCGTTAGAAATGGTCGGTCGTTGCGTACGGACGGTACATTGAATTCCCGTCGTTACCCCGCATTCTCAACTTCCCGCATACAACAATGGCCGCGCCCGTCCCCGTTTATTACCGTAGGACAGCTATTACTGTATTATCGCGCGGTGTTCCAGACGCGTTCGGATTCGGTATTGCCGTTGCGTCTCGCAAAAACAGAACAACGGGACGTGTTATCGTTGTCGTCGCCACCTAATCGGAATTATCGGCTGCGGCGGCGCTGGAAGGAAGGCGTGATCGTGTTTTCCGCCGACCGCCCGAAAGTATTTATTACACTCGCGAAACGTGTGTCTATACGCAGTATCTATAGGTGTGCGTGTGTGTATGTATACGTATTGTATTTTATTACGACTTGTCGGGGAATTTTCAACGGAACCCCCCGGTGCCCGCGGAGCCATTACTGTGACTCGGGCGTCGTCGATGCCGCGTGACCCTATAGGTGCCGATTGTGGTTTTCGGACGTCTCGATTCTGTCGTTCGCCTGCAGTCCGATTTATTGTTGTATTCCCGCTTCAATAATAGTCCGATATGAAAACGTTAAATTATTTAGTTTCACGCGTTGTGTTTGTTATTCGCTCGCTATTATTATTTTATTATTTTTTTATTTTTTTTTTTTGTATTACGCACACGATTTAACTTTGAATTCGCGGTGCACAAATCGACTTTAGAACGCCTTTAAAACACGATTTATTCCGCCGGGATACTCGCTCCGAAAACCAGGTATCGCTATTATACGCCTACCGTTGCAGAGCGTTCGATACAAGGACCGTTATTTAAATAATAATAGATTTATGTTCGGAAAAAAATTATAATAATAAAAAATGTCGAGCGTAACGACATTTAAATTTACTTTTTTTCAATATTTGTTTGGAGTAAGTCGTTTTCACAAAACTCGTTAAAATCGCGGAATATCGTCAATTATTTTCTACGGGTACCCACCCACCTAGTTAAAAATGACAAAAACTCTGCAGATTCGTTCGCAATGAATAAATCATTACATTCCGCGCAGAATTTCAACTAAATTAGGTCTACGCTATACCCATTAAATTGCCAACACCCATAATTTATATATAAAAAAAAAAACCTATATGAAAAAAAATAAATTTGAATTCGTTTTCCAATTTCGTCTCTGAAAATGGGGCTGTACATTTCTTGAAAAAAAAAAAAAACAATTTTACAGTATAGGTATACTTTTCCTTATACTCCCAGTTGATTGTTTTCGGATTTAAATATATAAGCAGTATACAAGTGCAATACATAATGATTACTGCATTTATGGTCCTTAAATTGATTTATCCGCGTACACGATTTATGTTGTCTAAATTATACTCTACAGGATTGTGTACACAAACGTAATTTATTACACTGTTAAAAGACAATATAATTTATATTTCCCCCCGCCCCCCGAATATAACTGACGCAAAATAACCTTTTTGTTACACTCGGAAACATATTTCTAAAAACGTGTATAATAATATTATTATTATCGACCGTTATCCTTATCACAAACAAAACTGTATTCATGACAACAACACAGACTATAGGGAAATGTAATTTTGGCCGGAAGTTAATGATTCGTTATGATGAATAACTATTATTTTATATTATTTTATTGCATAATATATGATTATCAAATAAACTAACTGTGTATGTGTTTTTTTTTTTTTTGTTCTAGGTAAGCACAAACAAACTGTTACAAGTTTAATCTGTTGACAATTTCAAAAAAAAAAAATCTGGTCTTCGCGCTAATACATGTTATTTTATAATATCCGTAACGAAATGAGACTGCAGCAGATAAGTATATACTTTACGAGCATTTATCATTTTTTTAAATTTTACACCTAAAAAGCATTCGATTTCAAAATACGAATAAAATGTACCAACTATGTTACTATATAGTATTTGTAGTATTTCTGAACATTCGGCAACTTGTACGATTATTTTCATAATTATAGATTATAGCTAATATACTATTATAGTCTTATAATTCACGGTGTTATAAACAATATCGAGTTAGGTACTTACTGTACGAGATTGATGTTATTTATGTTTGCAGATTTGCAGACTAACCTAACCAAAACGACTAGGACCCTATCTGTATATGCGTAATCTATACGAGTAAATCCAAAACTTGTCAACTATACATTATAAGTACCAAAAGGGCAAACTATATCGATATTAACCCATGCAATTATTGTCTACCTCTTGAATTATGCGATATCGTGAGATATACGTTGTGTACGCAATCACTACCGACACGGTAAATGTTTTGAAATCGGTAACAAATCGTTTCTATAAGTATATCATCGCGTCTAATGCATGACGCAAACGAATATTTCATGGGTCAATCAGTACGATTTGTTCTTTTATAGTACCCATTATAATATATTTATACGGATACCGACTTCGTATGATGGTTCATGGGACTCTTCGTTCAGTTCTAAAGCCATCTAGTCGTTTTATGGTACATGTGTGTTTTAATTCCGCGACATGGTTGTATTTTGTCCCGTGTCTCGGCGTGAATATATCGCATAACATTATCGTTAGGTCCGTAGGTGATGTGCGCATTATAAATACACTGTTCGTTAAATAGTACATAAATTATGTTTAATTTGCTCACAGGCCATTAGGATAGTATAAAAAATAAAAAAATAAATTTTCCCCCAGCATATTCAAATAAAAGAAAAAAAAAACAAAAAAACATTAGTGCTCTACACAATATCTATTGAATGTTTTGATAATACCACCCCTCCCCACTCTTTAATGCTGAATATTGTTCTTCGGGCATATTATCATATATACTAAATTATATATGATAGTTTTAATAATTATTAATCGTGTACCAGCGAATTTCTCGGAGAATTTCATGTGAATTTTATTTATGTTTATTTTTTTTCAACGATTATGGGATATTTTTTTAAGATTTATAATATCATTAATTAAAATGGTCCATTAGCTTACATTAATATTTAAATTGTATTGAGTTATACATTTTAATTATTTTAAGGTAGAATTTTTTTTTTTTTTTTATGAGATAACAGTCCAGTTGCTTCGTAAAGGTTGGCAGAGATGCTAGATTTATATCTGGCTTCCGTGAAATATGGGTAGTGGGCAATACCACCAATACCACCGATCACATAATGATGTGATTGGTGGTATTGTATGAACTGCATGTTAGGTTAGAGAATTTAGTGTGGCCAATTCTAAGTAAGTTGAGCACTACTTCTTCTTTTCACTTAACATGTATGTATTGTTTTTAATCCTGGATTCGACTGAGTATTTTATTTCTCTTAGTTTGTTTTCTGCTGTATTGTGTCATGCCGCATTACATATGTCCATGCACTATTCATTTACACAGTCAAGAAGTGATGAAAAAGAAAGTTGTTCACTTTTGGGACTGTTTATTGCGTTTCGGGCTGCTATATCCGTCTCCTCGTTCTTCTTTGCGTTACAGTGTCCTGGAGTCCATATAAATATATTGGGACTACGTCAGTGTTTTTTTTTTTTTTATTTCAAATTGAATATGGTACCGAATGCTTCAGAGCGTATGTCTATTTTAATTTCGTCGATATCTAGAGCTGATTCAACAGCTTAAATCTGGAGCCTTCAAGAAGTGCTTAAAAAACAGAAGTTTTCAAATTCACTATTAAAATCTCACGGGAAAAGTCGATGATTCGCGATTTATGGATCACCCTGTATACAGGCGACGAAGGAGCTATAATTGTGTCTTATTAATAATTATATTATTCTGTTATTCGTTTTGTCGTGTAGTATACTCTTTATATATGCGCGTACTTACTTACTTTATGCATAAAATATGATAAAAAAAAAAAATAATAATAATAATAATACAGAATCACGTGATCTTTTTCGCTGAAACGCGCGCGCACGCTAATGTTAAATAATAATAATTATCCTCGGGTCATCGACAAACAACTATTTTTCTTCTCTATATAATTTGCAAACGCACCGTATATATTATAATAATATATAGTATGTTAATATAATGATGTGATTGACCGCGTCACTCCTTGGCTCTATAATACTCTTTCAGTTGGCCCGCGTCTATTTGCGAAACACTCAATTAAATTCCGTCGGATTCGCTATGTATGCGTAAAAGATATTCGAAATTCTACAGAGTAGAACGACTGTGTGGGGATTGTGCTGCGTGCGTGTTTTTATTATTCGTAAAACACTTTTTCGGTAAATAAAAATCGCCAAAAAACACATCGCGTGAGAAGTTTTTCCAGATTTCCTACGGTTTTTTACAAAACGTATATATTGATGCCATCGGCGGAACCAATGATGTCGATGTGGGTTATAAAGTCCTACCTCATTAAAATATTAAATTTCTTTCTTACGAATTCTACGAAATGATTTGTATTGCCTATTAAAGCATTTTTGTACCTAATTTGTTTTTTTTTTTCATGTTAATAAAACTGCTCCGAATTCTTCACGTCGTACCTCGAGAAATCTTAAAATGTTTAATCTAGACATACAGCCGCGGGGGTTACGAAGCTGGATTATTATATATATTTTTTTGCTTTTGTATTCCTCGGTGCGAGAAATTCTGCGAAGCACAAAATCGAATAGTCTGCGGTAATATTATTGGCACGGTTTTCCGCAGCAATAGTACATTTTGATTTTTTTTTTTTTTTGCCCGTGCTCATCGCCGAATTCGCACGCACGTACACGAAATGTAATAGATATTATTTTACCGCAATCGACTGTCGTGTGCACGATGTACAACTGCGATCTTTGTGTTTCACCTTATCCTATTGCATCAGGATATGCGGAGGATATAGGTTAAAAAAATAAAAAAATATATGCAAACACACTATTGAATATATAACACGCCTATAAAATTAAATATAGGTTTTGTAGCATTAAAAATGTGCTCGAAAAAAATCATCGATACGTTTTAATCGTCCTACAATATACATATACAATATACCGTTATTATACAGATTTCCTACTCAAAAGTACAAAAGTAGACCGCATGTTGAATATGATTTTTTCGCAATCATTATAATATCCACTCCTCGGATTCAGTCTTACAAATCGTAAAGTTTCCTTATAGACAAGCAAACAATTACGAATCAATTGTGCGATATTATTTCATTTTTTTAAACGACTTTTCTACCAGAAATTTTACTCCGATTTTCAAGTGTAGTATCTGTTCTAAAAAAAAAATATTATCTATTTGATGCTTGAGAAGATCATTTTTAATTTTTTTTGTCGTTTTGTTGTGAATTGGGAAAAACGGTTAAGTTTATGGCAATAACGATTTCATTATTATTATTATTTTTCTTTTCTTTTTTAGGTAAAAACTAACCATAGAGATAATCTGAAACGTCCACAGAATACTAATTCACATTTTCAAAACATTCTCACGACGTTTTAGTTATTTATAGGCATTCGATGTTTTCTAGTTTTTATCTGATTTTAAATTGTTAAATGCTTAAACATTTTACATTAGTTTCATTATAAGTTGTACTTATTGATAAAAAAAATTTTAATTTTTTAACAAAGATATATTTTTAACATACCTAACCAGTCTACAATTCGCAAATAACTTTCAAAAATGTGACCGAAGTAAAAAAAATCAACAATCTAGTTTCCACGGGGATAACAACATAATTAAACATAAAATAAATCCACGATTTTATGTTTTGCCGTGTAGCGGAGAAAACAAGCAATTTAAAGTTACGCGCAATTTGAATGGAAACGGCTCTCGGATCACGGTTTTTTTTTTTTTCAAAACACGTTTAACCGAACTTCACTCATGACGTTACCTTCACTCGTATTCATCGTTGTGTACACTGAGGTCTACATTTTATAAAATGAAAATCTATGTGTTCTACGTGCCCGCGACTTCCCACCTACAACAGTGGCACACCCGTCAACATCAGTAGGTATCGGCTCTTTTAATATTTAATCCATAGAGTAATAATATTCAAACCTAACGTAAATCTCGTCAATTAAACTCGAATAAATTTTAATTTGAGTTTTTAAAAATCCATTACAACACCGTGTGTAAGTCAAATACGCAAATTCCATCCGACATCTAATCCAATATAAATATATATTATATCCTCGAGGAAAATGGCGGTGGTGATTACCGATTAGATTATCATATTACATTATGTGTGCGCGACGAACATATTAATATTGAACACTACGCCCCGGGCGATGGCCCGCAATTATGTCAAAAATAAAATCTCTATTCGAATATCGCGTTGCCAATAATGTTTTAAGTCGGTACCGACATTGTATGATGTGCTAAACAGTTATAAAATACGTTCCTAATATAAAAAATTATATGTCTCACTGACACATATTCTACAAAATCGAAATTTCTCAAAAGGAAACCCCCCCCCCTGTGTATAGATTTTGGATTAAATGGTTAAATTTACGTAATCCGTACGGCTGCTTTTATTTGTACATTTTATTCAAAATTCGAATCGTGCGATTTAGTTAATTTTTGTTTTTTGTCAAAGGTACGCGGCATTATACGATCGCAAAATTTGACACGCGATTACGATCATTTCGGTTTTTTATTGTACGTAGGTATCATAATATCTATGATTTTCGTATATTTTAAACGATGCCCGAATCATTCATATGCATATCGTGTTTCATCCGGTTTTAATAAATTAATGTTTTTTACGCATCGCGTGTGTCCATTGCCCGTGACTACTTTTAGCCCGGTTGTTTTCACTATCGTGGTCGTTTATCACGGATACAGCGTTCGTATGACGACGACGAGACAGTAGAATCGTAATAGAATGAATGATAGTAACCATCATTATCGTGTGGACCGAATTGAAAAAATATATTTTTAGTTATGCACGCGTTAAAAATCGAATTAAAAATATTACAACGCTATATTATGACGATGTCGACTTTACCGCGAAACTGCGAATAATGAACTCTGCGGCGGTATAATCCGTTTTTCAAATGGCGATAACTTAATAATGCGGTTTACTGTGTTATCGAGTAACGATTTTTCGAAAAAAATTTACGTTTAAAATCCGAGTCGATTAGAAATGAAAAAACTCTGGTCAAATTATATAATAGTTTTGTGATTCTGAGTTGACTTGAGTTGATTCGTTTTACTAACATTATGTGGTTTTTTTTCTTTCTCGGAAAACGCTAATACGACGAATATTCGAATATCTTAAAATGTGCGAATTTTTTTTCCGGTAATGTTCTATCGATACACATTTTCTGGATATCCGGCGATTTTATTCTATACAATTATCCGCAAAAACAGTTTCCAAAGAAACTTTCGGCATTTCACCCGTGACAGCGAGAATAATCTTATTTTTTGTTATTATCGTATGAAAGCCCAATTATATATTGAAATTTGTTTATTTTCGAAGTCCGTATCGGCCAGTTATCAATATTTCAGATCTCTTCGTTAACGCGCAGAATCATTACTCTCCTTTTTTTTTCAATTACGTTTTTTTTTTTTTTTTTAATCAGTTAAAAACCCGCCGTCAAGATTATAATACAGGTATACGTATAATATCTTATCTATATAATAATAATAATATAACTACCGGACAGTGTTTGATTTTCTAAACCCGCGGATAAATATTAAAATTGGTATGCATTTCGTCCGGGCAGGTGTTCGTTTTTGTCTATTTTACGCGCGTTAACCTGTTTGCCTATACGAAAACCGCGACGACGTCCCGATTCGAAACATTTATCCGTGGACAGCGGCACCATATAATAATAATGATTACGGCACACCGAAAAAAAAAAAATAAATAAAAATCATTAGTGGGAAGAAAAAAAAAATGTTAATTTTGTTTTTAATATAAACTAAATATCGGTAGGTAGGTAACCGAGTTTGGCCGAAAAGTTGACGTCGCTCTCGCGACTTGGCGTTCGGTTTTCACTCAGCTTTGATATTTAATTATAATTTCAACCGGCTGCGGCACGGCGCGCGTGTAAGTCGTTTTTTTATTTTTTTTTTTTTCTGAACCGCACGCACGTGTTTGCGTTCAGATGTACGTCAAGATAAAAGAAAAATATTATGACACCGTCCGGGCGGCACCTCTATCCGTTTAATTAAAAATTATTATAAACATAATATAATATCCTAAGTGGCGCGACCAATTCAGCCGGTAACCCGGTGTACCTGTATTTTATAATGACGAGTGTGCTGCGGGTATCGAAATATTATGTTACAGTGCTCTAGGTGGGACGCGGCCATTTCCGCGCGTTAAAAAACATCATCGCGTCTGTCGTATATTATAATATGGTTGTGTAATTGTTCGGCGGTGGCGATCCCGTTCTCGAAGCTGATCGAGGTCCGTTTCGGGAGTCCGTCGCGGTTCCGTTTGGCTTTCCGCGCAACGGCGTCATCGGTAAATCGCGTAAAACAAAACGGAAACGCCTTGGGAAATGCGCGTACGATACAATGTCTGAACGGCGACGCGAGTGTCAACGCAAGTCTGAACCGTACACGAACGTGGAAAGTAAAATGTTCGAACATTGTAGTAGCTACGTATGCGGTCCATATAGCTATTCAAATATTTTCGCTTTCCGATTTGTACGTTCCGGGATTTTAATTTGTATAGATGCACCGACCGTTTGCAAAGGCAAACTTATCGATATTACTTATTTACGATTCTTCCTATCGGAATCTATCTGATTCGATGTCTCTTTCCAGTCGTTCGATACTCTTGTTCACATTCGTCATTCGCATGTCACGATAATTACGGAAAAAAAAAAAAATGCCGAGCTCTACCCAGAAGGAAAAAGACCAACTCTTGGAAGACTCGTTTGAGATGGGAAGACGCGATGTGCGCAGAGACGCGAAATCTTTAAGTATGGACAGTCACGCTGTAATTTAAGCGCAGCCTACAGAGATTGCAGGGGATGTGTAACGGAATCGTCATTGTATAATGACCCCGAAAAGAAGAACGAGAAACGTGTTAGTAATATAATATGCAATACAATTTATTGCAGTATACCCGGAGGTCGTCTGGCAAATATGTTTTCAGTAATAAAAATCGTTATTTATTATAGTATCGTCATCGTTTTAATACTGAAAAATCGCCCCCGATTATCAAATGATATTTTACGACTTCGTGCATTATAAAGCGATGCGTTTATATTTGTACAAATCGATTGCGAATTCGATTATAATATTCACTTTTATTATGTCTTCTCGTCGTGAATTTTTTATTACACACGCGCTATGTACTGTACTTATATATTATTAACTTGTACAATAGCCGGGTGGTCATTCATTCGTCTCGTGTACACCTAATACACCATTAATTGCCGACGCGAGACACGAAGCGCGGACCTCCCCGTAAAAACGATGTCACTAAATCGTAAACTCGGACCCCCGCAGGCATGTAGTATACGTGTTAGATATAACATGTTAACAATCTATTAACGTGTGTTGAATATTATACTGTTATCTAACGCTGCTACGCTATGTAAATATATAGGTAGGTACAGCAACGATGTGTCGACGTTCCGGTTTCGTCGTCCTTATCGGGACTCGAGTCAACAGATGCCGGTCACGCGATGTCTTGCTGGAAACCGGCGGCGGTACTCGCATACAAATAATATACTATCGTTACGAAATTCTGGGAAAAATTATAATTTGGTCTTTAAATCATTGGACCCGAGAAAAGAGGGCATTGGTGACTTTCATAAAAAAAAAAAAAAAACCAGAATTTAAATGTTCAAAAATTACAACAATAAAATGGGAAAATTGTATTGTTCAAACTCTATAAGAAAATGATAAATAAAAAAAACTTGACTTATGCCCTTGGGACCAAGGATATATAGGTAGCATGTGAGGTCAATGGGGGTTATCTCCAACATACTCAAAGTTCGATTATCGTCATTGAATTCATCATATATGTATGCCTTACATACATTTCTAAAATCGTCCCCTCTCTCCGTTATATCTAATCCTGGATCCGTTTCCGGCAGGTATTCGTTGTAAACGCAATAAGATGGAAACCGGAGGCAAAATCATCCGAATTCAAACCGGACCGAAGAAAATGTCGAACCGACAAAAAAACCTGAAAAAATAATTCTTCACTTATTTTTTAGTCGAACTTTGCGTAAAAATATATAGACAGTTTCAGTTCATTGCGTCTAGAGAATACAATCTAGGACCTTTTTGACGTATCCGGGATTTCGAGATTTATTATGAAATTTAGTACATTTTGAAAATTGATTTTTTTCGTCGTATATATTTTTTAACGTGTTCGAAATTTAATGTTAGTTAATAGTATACAATCGATTACAAATAAGAAATATAAATAGTGAATATTCTGAAAACAAGTAGTAAAAATGAAAATAGTATTTTTATTTAAATCTGATTGTTTCATGACTTTTAACGGTTTTGAATATAACATCAACGGAGCAACGACAAATTATCTCCGAGTTTGCTTCTTATAATTTCTTTCGAAATATAAGCAGCAGTCGAAAATGTACGTTATTCTGGATCGGCGCTTGTGGGATAAACGGACATTAGGTGTTTAAATGCTAACCACGTTGAATACTTTGCGATTAATCCCGGGATTAGTCTCGTACGTCAGTCCCGGGAATTTCGAGACCGAGAGAAAAAAAATCTACCGGGATTTCGGGATTATATTCGCTCTAATGTCGCGCCCCGCTGCTTTCGGTACAGCTGGCCCGTCTTCCGTCTTCCGTCGCCGTAAATTATTCAGTGCGTCATATTACACGTTTCCTAACCGTCGCGCTGTTATTACAAACGCTACTAATACGTTCACACCAACTACTACGCCGTCGGTTATTAAACTCCGCTTCGGATGCGCTGTCGCACGCCTACTAATTATTATACCCGTAATGTTATGCGCGGCGCGTCCGGAACACTGTAAAAAAAAAACCATCACCTTCGCGGGCGTAATTTCTACACGGGGGGGGGGGACGGGGGTAGCGTCCGAATTCGGTCTAACCGCGGTGTCTCCGCGCGCGGTCTCTGCGCCGAAATAAATCGCGTCTCGCGGTACACGTTACCGTGTCGCGGAATCCGCCGCCCGGACCGCGTTCCCGATGGCGATTTAAAATCGCCGATCCTCGTCTCGCGTGTAACGTGCGCGCCGGTGCGTCACCTGTACACTGCGCCGTGTGCGATTTCGGCCGCGCGGCCGTGTCTCGTCGAAAAACGGAGCAGCTGCGCAGTGTACGACAACCCCTCCCCCCCCCGAATCGATTCGATTGTTTTTTCGTTTGCGGTGCGAAGCAGAACGGATTTGAACTGCGCGGCGCGTTCGCCAAGAGCCGTTCGCCGAGTCCGGTCGGCCGTTTGTTCGCCGCGGGCCGACGTACGCGATCGGTTAACCATTGTACAGCTATACAATTTCACGCGGCGAAAATTGAAACTTGCATTTTTTTTTTCTTTCCGCTCGACGTGTAACGGGTTGCGGGCGGGTGGCTGGGCGGTAGTGTAGAATTAGACCCCTAGGTTTTTTCGAATTCTTTCCGCGAATGAACACAACGCTACTGTCAATCGCTTGCGGCGTTGCAGGCGCCCGTGTGACACGTTCGTTCGCAGCGGTTGTTACAGCGTTGCCCGCTTAGTAACGGAGGCGCGTATAACTCCGCCGGAGCAACATCAGGTTCGGACCGACGGCGGGAAACGCCTCGCGGAACATTCAAACTCACGCGGTGACGAGCGATCGAAGGGCCGGTCGGATGTCGTGCGTTCGCGTCCGGTGGCTCGTTACGAATCGGCGGTCGCTTGTCAACGCGTACGGAACGTACGTAACGAAATTAGGTTCGTCTGCGTGAAGTGTTATTATCAGTTATCACGTTACCGGTGTCCCGAGCTGGCCGTCGCGCCTGCAAACGCGTTCGCCGTAACGTGGTATTATAAATACTTAAAACACAATAAAAAAAAAAAAATTACATAGTACAGCAATAATATAATAATAATAATAATAATAATAATAATAATATAGTCATTATTGTACCCACGGCCGTTTCGAAAACCGCACACCTTTTCTACGGTTCTGCCCGCGCGGTTTAATCGAGTTCGTGACCGCCGTCGTCGTCGTCGTATAAAATCACGTCAATCGTACCAACGCTTATAATTACCGCGTATTATCATATGCGTTTTCGCGTATTTTTTAGTGGCCGATCAAACGGACGGGTGGTCCATAGCAAAACGTGTTTCGCGACTTGACGCGTTTCTTTATAAAAAAAAAAAATTTGCGCCGCGCGTTTTCGCATGTTTTGGCGTTTTTGGACATTAGGTTTTAGGGAACTCGTACGTTTCCATAATACCATCCTCAACTCGGCGACGAACGAATAATAAACAATTATCGGCCGCTAATAAATTATAATAAAATACGGCGTAGGGATTTAATTCGTTTTCGATACTCGCGTTATGGAAAAACGTCACTCGCGAATTCGGTTCGTCCACTGTTAATAACACATAGGTATCGTTAAAGTGTACATCGCTGCGCTATGTATTATTGCTGCGAATGGCGGGAATACTTCGAAAATATATTTCGCTGGAATCCTATTCCATACGTACATATATATGTATTGTGAAAAAATATAAGATCGGAATTTATATTTTATCGGGGAAATATTTGACCGTTTTGAAACGTTTGCGCTCCGTGAAAGTAGAAAATATTCCGTCGACGGGGTGTTTTTCATAACGAATCGAAAGATTTGCGGAACCGGCGCGAGATCGAGCGTGTGCCGAACGCCGGCATTTTATATTTATTATTATTTATTTTTTTTCTCACGTACGCAATTCTTTTAAGACGAGCTATTTTTTTTTTCTAAATCGCGGCCCATTCATTTTTACTTAACGAAAAACTGATCGGTGACGATTTAAATTTTATCGTGTATTTATTATCTCGTTATTATTGTACGTTGATCAGATTTTGAAAGATTTTCGTGTAATCCGATTACCAATTCGCGCGTTAACATTATATTTTAATAAGCGACCACTTGAACGGAAACTCTACGAAACAGATGCTTGACGAACGTATTAGGTGGGTAGGCGAGGACAAGAGTGGTGCGTTACATTCGTTAACGGAAAAAGCCAAGTAAAAAAAAAAAACGTCTAGCTGCTTTATGAGTCGCAGCTTAGACTCATCCGGTTTCGGGCTGCACGGGTTGTTTTGCAATATTTGCTCGGCACCGTTTTACAGAAAAAAAAAAAAAAAATTCACGCCGCCTAACCGATTCGTAATGTACAAAACATTACACAAATTGTACAAGGCGCCCCGATGATACCGAAGCCGTGCAACCCTTCGACCACGCGATTATGCGAAAAGTCCGTTTCGTTTTGAAACGCCGACGGCGCGAAATGGCCTGCGAATCGTCGTACGCCCGTTCGCTATCGGGCCGCGCCCGTATTCGAAAACGTACGGACGGCGCGTGCGAATTCCGGTCTCCCGTCTGTCGGCGCGGCGTACTGCCGCTGTGGGGGCTGCTAGGGGCACTTGGCGAACGCGGCGCACTACGTTTTGTACCGCGTCGCCGTGATGGTGACGGTTAACAAGAGTGTAAAAATATTATTGTGTACGCGTGGCGATTTGTCGTGCCGCTCCGTCCGTCCGGTCGCGCGGACCATAACCGTGTGTGGGGACCCACGCCCGACCAACGGCGACCACGCGCACGCGTCCGCGATGTCGCGTTGCCGGCGATTGCGAACGGACCGGCCCGTTGTGCGTTTGTTTTTCGCGTCGTTTAAAAAGACGTGTACGTATCGCGCCGTACCTACCCGAATTGACCGTCTCGGAATTGAAATTGCGGCGTTTAGGTGTTATACGATTTTAGTTTAAACCGCACGGGTAATACATTTTAAAGAGGAGAATATTTTCGAGAACGCCGCGTTGATTTTTTTATGAAAGATCGACTGACAAAACAATTACGACAATGTCGGGTTATGTTTTTTGTTTTTTTTTTTTTTTTTTTTTTAATATATGGCAGTAGATTTGTTCATAGCAATAGTACTTAAGAAAAAAAAACCCAACGTACTGCCCTGTAAAATATCAGTATTAATCAAAATCAATAGTTTATATGCTATATGCGACGATTACTCAATGGAAGCGAAAAAAATTCAGACTGAAATATATAGTATAAATCGTATTTTCCTTTACTACTTCGATAACCCAAAAATCAACAAAAACCAATAAAAAAAAAACAAATGGAACTACAAAAGTAAACTGTTGGCAATTTGTATAAATTGTTTCAAATGAAATAACACCGGTTAGAAATTTCGCATCTTTTAAAGAACTACGTGAAAAAATCGTAAAACACGTCTGTGTTTTTCTTATAGCTTCTTCGTTGTAGTTTTAAATTAAAAAAAAAAAAAACGATACAATACGTAAACGACGATCCGAATACTGCTGGCCCCACATTTCGTGATCTTGACATTCTCTGTCTAATAGGCCACACGGAAAATCTTTGTACGAATAGTTTCGCAACTTAACCTGCATTATTATTTAGAACTAGAACTATTATTTAGTTATAACGATGCATTTTGACGTATTCGTATTATAAATCTGACGGTTACACGAACAAAAGTGTTTTGTATTCCGTAATGGTAATTTCATTTAAATTTGAAAAAGTATTTCGAATACCGAAAAAAAATTATTTGATTACAAGTATTCGAATACTTAACACGACTATGGCCCACAGTGGTAATATTTTGTACGCATATTTTTCGACAGAGGCGCGACACCGCGGTGAAAAAATGATAGTGTATATAATATTCTGGTATACAATTTCCACAATCTGGCCGTGTTTATATAATGGTCTCCGTAGCAAAGTTTGATTTATCGTTCCCGCGGGTTAAATAAATAATGTAAGAAGGGCGGCTATTATTTATGTGCGGTACAGCAGCATTATGTACCCATAATACGTTCAAAACGTGATATGGAATTTCTGTCGCCTACATAGGTAGTATTTGCTTGCCTATACATATATATAGTATTAGCGTATATTGTTTTTTTTTTTTTTTTTTTTTTTTGTATATATAATTTATCGTTTTCGTATATTATGAAAAATATTTCATATCTGTCCGGCCACTGAATTTTATTATTTTTCGGTGTTCGTTGCCCAAGCCGTTTACAAAAATACCCGCAGGTGGTGCAGCGTTTCGAAGTTCAAATAAGAATGATTTCGTCCCCGTTCCATAGTATTGTCGTTCAATTGTCTCCCAATATTTTATCCGATAACCCTCGTAATACAATGTCGGTCCTGTACACCAATAGACCCTGGAGCGATTTTTTCAAAGACTATTGAAATCGATGCTATAGCTAGCTGTAGGAAAAATCATCGGTCGGTAATATTTCTAAAAATGACGGATTTTACCATGATAATTTCTTTTTTTTCTTGTTTTTACAAATTTGTCTACCTGAATTCTTCCTTCAATCAGCATCATCTACGGAGGTGGTTTCTGATAGAAAATGTTGCCTAGTTAAGGAAATCAAGTTTTGATTCTTTTTTTAGTTTAGTTGTGCTTTTCTTAATAAAAAGGCGAAAGCCCGAATATTAAATCGTCGGGAAAATGAGAACATTTGAACGAAATTTGTTGAATTTATTAATAATATTTTTTTTATTTTTTGGGGGGGGAGGGGGGAAATTTGATTAGAATGCCGCCGAATATTACCATTTTTATTACGCGCAATATAATTGTTAAAATATTCCGGTTGTTTTCTAGCTATTTTGTAGGTAATCGAAGTTTGTTTAGAAAATTTGTTTGACCAATTATTCGTGAACTTGAAACATTTGGTTACATTATTTCGCAATGGTTTCTCCTATATCTGTTAAAATCTACGATATATTTTACATAAAACAATAACATATTTTCCGAACGCGATATTATTTATTTAATACAAAACGATTTTTTATATTTTTTTATGACTTCCGCCTAAGTAAAAAATAAGCTAAAATATTGATCATTTTAAAATATAATATTTTTACGTCTTGTATAATTTATTATTTTAATAACGGCTGCATATTTTGTTTTACTAACGCTGTTGCATTCACCTCGATCCAATTAAATGTTAACTCGAACAGAAAGAAAAAAAACCATCATCATCAGTCTTATGTCTATATCTATGTTTTTGCTCCGATGGTCCGTAAAGATTTTAGAAAGCATATTTTTTGTCTCATTCGTCTGCATCGGATAGTATTGCGCCGCCGCAATACATGAAAATTGTTACGTGAACTAAATATTATATTATAAAACACAAAAATTAAAAAAAAAAAAATGACTAATTCTAGTATGATGAGTGTGCCACTGTTTTAGTTTGTTGGATATAAAGGGTAACTAAGTTGATATCTGTGCGCAAGGATAGACCAAGGTTTATAAAAAACGATTCTGAGCCGTATACTATTAGTCGTATTTTTCCTTTGTTACCAAGGAAACCAAGAAATGAACAAAAATTAGGTAGATTAAAATTAAGTAGGTACAAAAATTGTGAATTTGCCATGTTTATTAAGAAACAGGAAAAGTCGAAAAATTATCTCTCTAATACATCAACGCTAGGTCAAAAAGAAAACTTCTATAAAGTTTTTGATTGGAGCAAGATTTCTGGTAGGAAAGTTGTTTACATCACAGTAAATCCAAAACATTCCTTGTTTCTTTCAGAATTTAAAAATTAAATTATTATTATTATTATTATTATTATTATACACAAAAAAAAATATTTATTTTTGTCTGTATCTGACAGTGACTATACTACTATCACTACAACTACGCGTACTATACAAACATTTGCGACGTTTGTTTTATGTGAATTATGATGGCGACGGTGTCGGTTTTTTATTCTTTTCGCTGACATTTTGTCCACGCGCGGCAATATTATTAATTATTTGCTTCAGTAACTTCAATTGTCGCGCGTCTTATATATTCATTCGAGTAAGTATTATTATTATTATGGGTCTCGAAACTGCCGCAGCAGTCTACGCTTTCACCGACACGACCGTAATTAGGTGTGATGGATGACTAAATCTTTCTGCACCATTGTTCTAAAAGATAATAATAATATTATTATTATACATTTTTATCGCCGACGCTTCGAGTGTGTATACCACGCGATTCAGATAAACCCGTAAAACGCGTACATTTTTTAAAATGGCAGTATATTATTTTATATTTCAACGCAGACGACTGTCTTTATTATCATCGTAATTCCGCCTGCCAAATAACCTGCGTCTATATTATACGCGCGACTGATGCCTACGTCATAGCTCTTATCAGTCAATCAATGATGATAACTGACCCGATCGTATATATTATACAATTGAACAGTAAAACACACATTATATACGTATTTTTTTTTTTTTTTTTGATGACGCTCATATTGTATTCAAATTTAAGTAATTACAAACTGAAATTTGATCATTGTTAAACAAGAGTTAATTAAAGAGTTAATTAAATAGGGTTTAAATTGCTTACTAGCACTTAAAAAGTAAAACTTAAGAAATTTAAAGTAATTATGTGTTTGATGATAAGAATTGGTATTACATCATATTACGACTCCTCACTAATCGCGCGTATTATAAACCGCGCACAGTGTCAATGATAAAAACGTGTCTCCCGGCGACTCCCCGTTTCTACCAACGTCCGTATCGCTGATAATTACTGTTGTCACTCGGTAGTTTATTTGTCAAGAGGGTACTATACTACTATCTAGTATCTACTCGTCCAATGAAATTAGATCGGTAGTTGGAAAAAGTGGGATAAATGTTTTTTGCGTTTCAGCACTGAATATATATGATAAGAGATTAGAAGTTGAAGAAAATCGATACGACGTAGTTTTTAATTTTTTTTTTTTTTTTATTTTCAATTTCGGTACCCGTAGTAATATGTTTAATTTCTACGTTAAACATATTATAATATACAACATAATATTTTTCCGATACGCTCTGTATACGAGGTGAAGGTATGTAATCTGTGTAAATTCGTAATTTATTGACTATAATACATACGTTGCCAAAATGCCACATCACCTTTACCGCCACAATTAAAGCCATCACTATTATATAATATTATATTTATCATTCGTTCCGTTTAATGTGAATAAAATCTAAGGATTAACCGGCTCTGCGAGACTAGATATTATACAAATATATACAGTCCTATTGTAAATTGAAATGTTAGAAAATTAAAATATTTAATTTTCGAGACCAATTATAATAATATAGTTTTAAATTAAATACTGCGCAATTTTGTTTGTACGTATTTCATTTGTATTATTTAAAAAGCGAATATTAAATGAAAAGGAAAACTGTAATTAGTTTACTATCCACAAGAAAATTAATTCGCTGTCCATAATAATCGAGAATTCAAGAAAAAATATAATGTTCTAGTGTTTTAGAACACTAGCATATTCAAGTTCCTTCAGGCTGACTCTCGATTTATTAATTATTAATTATTAAATACCTATATATCATTATTATTTTTTTAATAGGTAAATAATTTTTCATAACACTCGATAATTCGCAGCATTTTATAGGCGTAGAAGTAATAATATGATGCGATGATTTAGAAACAAACCCGGAATTCTTCGAAAACAAAAATAACTCGCGTCTATTTTAGGATTTAATGCGTATAAAAAGGAATTCTTTTCATATTATATTATTTTTTAATCGATGGAGGATTTTGTATTTATTTTTGTGTAATCGTTAGTTGGTCGATTTACACACTAGATGAGCTGAGAACATAAAACTAAAAACTAGTACCAAAGCTGATCAGCAACTACAATTAAAAAGTCTTGACTTTATTAAAGTTATTTTTTTTAATCACTTTGAACTTAAATAATTTAAAAAAAAAATGTTAGAAATTACTTTAATTAATTAATAATATAATATATTATAATAATAATAATTAATCTTTTTTTAAATAAATGATTTTAACTTAGTTTGATTATACGTGTTTTTACGTAAATACCATCATTATATCAGGTAACAAGACGGGACTTTATGAAATATCCACAAAGTACATATTTATGAATATTATAGTTGAGAATAATTTTAAAAAAGTAACTTGTGCTAGTAGTTTCCTACAGAAATGTGCAGCATAACTTAATTACTCGTAACATTTATAAGTTTATTAATAACTTAAAATTGGCTTTGGTTTTCTTATTTTTTTCTTAAGATAACTACATAACTCAAACTAGTTAAAAACAGGCTGTGGTAACCCACACTGCGAGCGTGCAAAGTTCCGGTTTTTAAACGTATTTAAAAAAAATTAACTATAATTTCATATACAATTTTGTGTGAGTTTCGGTAAGCTAATGTGCTTAAGTAAATTTAATCTGTTACGTATATTAATACGTAACATAATATGTATTATTAATATTAATATTAATATGTATTTAGAAACCTAAAATTGGTTAGAACACGTCCAGCTTTGACTAATACCTATGTTATACTTTGTACAGTATCTACGCCACTATATATTATTAGATTTTCATACTTGGTATATATATATATACAATTTTGAATTGCCTTTTTATAGTATACCTAGTACACAAGTTTATAACTATATTTTTTCCCAGCGGCGGCGTGTGGAATATGACGTGTAGAATTTGAGTAAAAAACGATAAATCATCGTACTTGGACACACGCGACTGTAACATAATAACGCGAACTTATATAATTTATATTCGAATAACCGAGTTGTGTCCGATATAATAATATTATAAGAACAATGCCATTTTCAACGTGGGCCACACGCCGCAGTACACTTTGTGTGCGCGTAGCGGACGTTTCATTCGGTTCTTTTGATGTTCGATTCGTTCGAATGTGTTTGATGTTTTGACCGTACACCGTAATAATATTTTTAATAGTATTTACTTTCAAACGGATGTATCATGAACGTTACAGGATTTCGGGTGAATCGATATTGAAATTGAAATTATTATTATAATCGAGGTGTTTTTTTTTCTTTTTTTTTTTTTGAAAACGTGTTATTGCCGTTTTTGAACAAATCTAATTGAACGTCGATTTCAATGTGAAAAGCGATGGGGTCGATTAGCGCGGTTATTTTTACTTGAACGTATTATATCCATGAGGAGTAATACACGTTTATAGATCTAGGTTTTATTTCAAAACGTTGTATTCCATCATCGTTTCGTGTCAAAACGTATATACTTCCCATAAAACAATGGGCACTACGTCTATTATTTTTTTCTTACCGTTATATTTACACTATTTTTTTCATTTCCAGTGCATTCATGTATGTGATACATGTTTATCTTTTTCAAATCCCAAGGAAACTCGTACAGTGACATGTGTATCGATACAGTCTATGAAGTCATATTACATAAAATACGTATTATTATCGTATTAAAAATATATTTTTACCTATATATTTCAAGATACTGACTGCGGTTATAATAATTTTCCTTTTTATATGTACGGTTTTAGTTCCTATTCCCTACAATCATCAAATCACCTCGCGAATGAAGTTTTATATTATAGGCATAAGTGCAAATAGTCAATTTTTTTAGGAGAGTAGTGTAATGCCCATAGTATTGATTACGAGGACTCAATACTTCATAATATTCATTATGGGCTTGTTAACTCCCGATAAAATATTATGGGGAGTTGATTATGTATACTTGGTGTTAATTTAATAACGACTTTACTTAGAGTGGCATGGGTGAATTGTTGGAAAAAGAAATTTTCCCATAATAATTACTGATGTTACTGAAGTTATTTGTAATAGGTCCTCGTACATATCTAATATGTGCCAGCCCCTCCGTGTCCCGCATTCAGGTAAAATACTTTTGCCCTACATGCACAAATCGTCTTTTCTTTTTTGTTTCATTTAGCCAAGGAAATAAATATAAGTAGGTGAACACATAACGTGACGATCACACGACGTATTACAATTCGACAAAGAGTTAAGACCGCCAATAAAACCGCGCGTGTAATGTTCTGTCCGTTTTTTTTTTACTGAAGAAACGACGTGATATTAGCATAAAAATTCGACGCGGTTAAATACGCTAAAGAAATAAATGTTTGTATTAAACGTTGGAAGCGATAGATCATAATATTTAGTGGTTGTAACGAAAACAAAAAAAACGAAAAACCGTGTATACGAATAATTTATGTGCATATTATATCGATATTTAGAAGAAAGAACGTATCAAATCGGATGTGTACCGAAAAAAAAATACGAACCGAGTATAAGTATAATATACGTACATGGCTTTAACTTTTGAGTTAACATCCGACCCACTCGTGAATTGTTATTACCAGTGGCTACGTACACAATATTTATTTTACGCCCACTGCCCATTTTGTATAGGAAAAGCCCAAAACTCTATCGAGTTCTATCGATCTTGACGGTATCGTTATCGCGGAGAAGAAGCAATTTCAGACACTTTTTAAAAATGAAATAAATAATTATTGTTGTTATAGAACTTACATTTTTCCGGGACGAAAAATAAAAAAAAGATTCGAACGCATGATACGAAAGATTTAACGAAGCGAAGAAGCGGTTATGCGTATACGTATTGAAACAGACGTTTCGGGATCGAGTTTTCGGGTTTTCGTTATTTTTTTTTTTTTTAGTCGGATTTTCTTAGAATATGGAGACTGTTGCAGCCTATAATACCCGTTGTATATTATATCCTATACCTTGGTATATTACCCGACTTTGTCCGTACACATGGTTAAACGTAATATAATAAAGACGTGTCTTCCCGTAGAAACAATTGTTAATAACACAAATGAATTGAACTGCTTGAATAGTAAAGCAATTATTGGTTGTGACGGTCTCTCTCCTATATTTCTATATGTATGCACATTTATTTTATCCTCGTCTATTACATATATTTTTAATTCTTCCTTAAACAGTCGTTGTTTCCCTATTCGATGGAAATCTATATTCATCACTCCTATATTTAAGAAACGTTCCTTAGTTTATAATTATCGTCCTATTTCTGTTATATCTATTCTTCCTAAAATTTTCTCTGAAATTATAAACTCTAAATTTACTCCGTTATTTAAAAACATAAATAGTTTTTTTCCCGTGTGACTAAGTAACGGTTAGGTGTGCAGCTGCTCGTGGACGTTTTTTTTTTTTATTATTAGAAATATCAATAATCCATTATAGTGTATAGATAGGCACCTTATTTTTCGAGTTTAGTTTTACGACTTTTTACGTAAAGTTTCGTGACCTATAACTGCATACGTTGCACATTATAGAAAGTAATATCGGACAAAATAAACAATTCAATTCGAATTTTAGTTCATAAAGTTAGGCGGATATTAACGTTAATAAAGTTTTCTCACGTACTGGACGTATAAATTGTATTATTTTTGTTTTAACTTACGATTATCGTTGTCCGGCTACATATACAAACATATAATAACAATCGATGTTAATCGTGTCAAACACGATATTTCATTATATTATCTCTCTCGTCGGTACGACCCAATCGTTAAACGAATAAAATACTCGTTATCGCGCATTACTATAGCGAGTAGTACCTCTACTGCTGCGGCCAAGCATAGATAACCGTAACAATAGTTACAATAATAACTCCGTGGGATAAAATACAATTATTACTGCGGGACGGTCGCGATGACCCAACGCCGGTTATCCGGCCGTTTACATCGCGAATCTGCAAAGAGACGGACGATCTCGCTCCAGATAAGTGGTGGTCGTGGTCGTCAATCGTCGGCTCTCTCGCGGTTTTTAATATTAAAAAAAAAAAAAAAAAAACGAAGAAAAAAAACAACAGTATTCTAAATGCACAGTTTCAGCGATAACGGTAAGACAATACGATCGTTCCGACATCGACGAGACGATGACATTGACGTTAAACGGTCCGCGCGCACGGCTTATTATAGCAACACGACCGTTGAATGGCCGCGATCCCTCGGGTTTATAATATTATAATATAATACATACAACGCGATACTTTCGTATATTTTTATAGCAGTCGTGTTTATACGGCGATGGCGATCAATAACAGCGAAACGTTTGCGAACCGATGGCGTGTATTTAACCGTTACACATATACGTTGTGTACTGTGTATGTGCCTCTGTCTCTTCCGTTCTGTCTCTTGTTCGTCCGAGACTCGAGACGGACACTTTGGTCCGTCTCGCATATTATAGCATATATCGCCAGCCTTTGTTCGCCAAAAACGACGGCGACGGCGACCCCGTCAAACAATTTCGCGTATTTCTGACCGGCCCGGGCGCAACTTCCGAAACATATTAATACGATTATCGTACCCGAATGAAACGAAAAAACGATCCGCAACGAAGCTGTTGATAGCCTCTGTAACCGATAATTGGACTTAACTAATTCAAGACGGTTTTTCCCTTTGTAGCTGAAGGAGGCTCGTAGTAAAAAAAAAAAAAAAATTATAGTTCAAAAATACAGAATTCACAAGTGTAAGCCCGCGCCTTATAGAAATTGAAATACCGTTTACGAGACGTCCCACTGAATTCGAATGCACGGAATACAGTTCGAAAATGTTCCAATTTAATTTGTTATTGTTCGAAACGAGTTTTCTTGTCAAAATCACGGGTATTATCAGATGAAGACAAATGAACACGCAAAATGCATTCGTTCGTAAATGTACGATCTGAGTCATCGGTATGTTTATAGTGTATACTATTATCCGGCTTTGTCCGTACACAACATTGATCGAAAATACGAATATAATAACGTGTCTCCCTCGTGGTAACGGTTGATTATGATCACACCGTGTAACCAACGAATACTAGAAGTAAACGAAAAAAACATATTTATATAAATATTTATGTAGCATATGTTACGCCACAAACGTGAAAGAGCCAAGTTCGTAAAATGTGTACGGTTCACAGGTTGAGCACATTTTAGTTTCGGAAGAAAATCGTCAGACTTTCGTCCGTGCGTAACTGCAACGGATCTGGAGCTTATTCAAGGGAGAATGACGATCGTAGGTAAACTGAACCATAACTGAAAACGAATGCATGAGACTGAGGCGATGAGAAATTTGACGGCTGTGCCCATACACGGTTCTTTATGCGCAAATTGTTGACGTTCGAACGTACTCGGCTGTAAGACCGCATTTAAAAAAGCCTTGATATACGTATCCGTGTAGAACTCACATAACAATTAGATACGAATCCAAGCGTTGCCCAAATCAGACGGTCGCGTATTACGCGTTAGAACTTTGGTTCTCGTTTTACAAAAAAAAAAAAAAAAAAAAAACCGTACCGCGGTCAACGGCGGCGGCGGCGGCGACGACGACTGCGACGGCGGTAAAGCTCGTCCGGAACAATTCGAAGTATCAATTCTCTCGAGCAAATCGTCCGGAAACGATATTATAACGACTTCGCCCGAGCGGTATAATGTGTCTGCGCGTGGGCAATAAATATAATAACGCGTACCCATATAAATCATTTCGCGCGCATTGTTTACGGACACACGCCGCGCTGTACGCGAACGGCAAGAAACGGTAATTTATTTAAACTCGGACGATTATTGCTGTTATCCCCGTGTTCTGCAATAAAATATCGTCGTGTGTCGGATACTTATACTATATTATAATATGGAAATTGGCAAAATCCGAACGGTTACGGTGACGGGCCGGAAGGAAAAGCGCCGCGTGCCTATACGGCGCGATACGCTTTTTACCGTCGCGAACACTCGGCGTGTATCGTTTCACTGGGATTGGTTAAACTTTAACCCATCTCGGTTTTTTGGAATATTTTCAAATTTTAATGAAAATCTTTTATACTGTGACATTATAAAACATGTATAACTGAACTTCACTCAGAACCGTGTTTCGTTAGCAATGACTTATCTTTGCTTACGGATAAATATTAAATAATTTAATATATCTTACCACCCCCCCTAACTTCCTACTTACAACAGTGGAGCATACTTCAGCAATATCAAATCGTTTTATATAACTTTGAATCTAGTCGGTTTGTATTTCGAAAGTAATTTCATTGATTTTCCTTGTAGTTTTCATTTCGAAACGTGAAATTTTACGGAAATTACGGTTTGATTTTTTTCGATATTTTTTTTTTTGATTTTTTAATTCAGTTAAAAAATATAATAAGCTAACATTTTCACAGAATATTTGTCGTTTCCAAGAGAAGTAAAATTTTAAATTACGTTGTATTTAGTAATTATAAAAATAAAAAGTTAAACGTAATATTTTCATTTTATTTTGTTTTTTTTTTTTTATAAGCATTTCAAGTTCGAAATTTGACAAAAATCGTAAAATTTTCAAGTTCGGTTAAACATAATGTTTAAACATTACTGAAAAATCACGGCTTATATCGTCAAAAGTGCAATTTTGGACAAATTGATCCGACATAATATCCTACCGAAAAAACAAAGATTTTTTACGAATTTCTTTTTTCAATGGTGTCGAGACACCATTTTCGCGCCTATTCATTTCGAGTTCTCGGTTGGCAGTTGCTATACACAAGCTCAAAGGCAGCGAAATAATCACCCTGTATGTATGCCACCGTTCTCGACCCTTCCTTCTCCCTCCCCCCTCGAAAAGCGTTCGGATAATTTATTATGTCGGCGATTCGTTTGAGTAGAGACACGTCGTTTTATAAATTATTACGACCGCTCGCGTTTCGGGAAGTTCGTCGCCGTGTCGCACCTCCGTTCGGCGCGCCGGTGCATCGCGAAATCGCGTGGGACACCTACGCCGCCGAGGTTACCGGGTTAGCGGTTACCTATATTATACATTGCGTGCATGTGTGCGTGCGTGTTTGTATGTTTACGTTTATATGAATTTTCGGTTGCCGAACAATTTCCGCGGGTATGCCGAATCGATAAACGCTCGCGGGCGACCGCCGATCGCGAAACGTTCGATTTCGGCCCACATACATTTTTGTGCGCTTTAAAAAGCAACATTTTTTTTTTTTTCGTACCGCAGTTATTATTATAGTTTGCGACCGCCGAAATATTATTCTCGTTCCTGTCCCGTACACGAGTTTCATATATAATAAATAATATACATCTTGTCGTCGTTTCGAAAATATTAATCTTCGTAAGTTTTCGTTTTATATTTCTGTCTGTCTGTCTCTCTCTCTCTCTCTCTCTCTCTCTGAAAACGGCGATAAACATAACATTTAGCTCACGCGAAAATTCGAACTGCTGTGAAAGTATATATATATATATAACTCGGTTTTATAATTTTTAACGGGTTTTTAATGAGTTTTTAACGTGATCCCGGATTTTTTATGTTTTTTCCCCGCTGCCCCGACCGAAAACCGAGTACATTACTGCGAATTAAAAAATAACAGCATTTTTCGTTAATTTTTCTTCAATGTAACAAGAATGATAAATGTTTATAAATCGGAGTTTTCGAATTTTCGGAGAACGTTTGATTTTTAGACGTCGGGTTCGTATTGCAATGGAAACCGCTATCGGCATGGAAAATAAGTGCAAAAATGCATACCGGCATTCAAAATTCAAAACTGAGTTACAAAGTTAAAACGAAATGAGTAAAATACTATGAACGACGGGGGCATCCTTTTTTCCCCCGTGTGATGATAACTGTATTGTCAGTCTACTTAACGATAATCCGACCAATAACGCAACGATTTTTTTTTGCGTAGTTAAATTTCAAACTAAACGGTATCACGAACAAAAACAAATTAGAAAAACCTATTCTACGAACGAGCTAAGTTCCCGGTTTTACACGTGTTTTAAAACATATAGTTCCGTGTAAAATTCAGTACTACGGCTATTTTTAATATTGACTAGTGTCGATGTATATAAATGTATATAATTAATCAACTAACCCATTTTTAAATAAATAATGATAATATATGTTATCTCCTTGTCGACCGGATCAACAACCGTAACAATTTACCGGTAACTGCGGACGGACCGGCACAACAGGAATATTATCGGTGTCTAAACTTATAAAACCTAAAAATTTACTGCTAAATAGACAATAATAACAATGAATCGGTGTAACAGTTGTCAGGAAAACGGGCTGAGCACAATATTTCACTGCTCTCTCTTAAAATCCCATAATATAGTACCTAATTTTTTTTTTTTTACGGTTCTTGTGCATTATCGTCCCGCCACGTGACTTTTATATTTGAAAAAAAGTGACCTATGCGACGTGGCATTTACCATTCTCCTACCTTCCACTCTTTTATTTCTACCCGGCGTGGTTTTTCAACGACATTTTGAAATTTCATTTAGGACACTAACTTTCTTGAAACAGGCCAAGTATCATATTTGGACGTCGACGTTACAGCGCTGCTGCAGGTCACTGTCAGACTACCCATTAATAACTTAACTCGATTACAGTTGTTGCTATCCACGAGTAATAACTACAACCATAACTTAACTTGATTAGAAAAAAAAAATGAAAGTTACGAATACGTAACTTACTCGGTTTACTATAATGTAGGATCGAGAATAACTCGCCCGGTTTTGCCGAAAAGACATTAAATATAAATATAATGTGGACGCAAATCTTATACACCCAAACGAGCGAAAAATCATTATAAATCACAATACGCGAGTGTTTCGTATCGACTCGTTGATAATATATTGCAAGCTGTTAAACCGTCATAAGGACGTGTTTGTGTTTTTTTTTTTTCTATCATAACATTCGTAACACACGGACCTAAAGTTATTAGTCATCGTTGTGCCTATTTCTGTATGATAATTGCGCCTCTGGCCGTACGATAATTATTTCGACTTTTAACGTCTCTCGTGGAAACGGCACACGTACACGGCCCCACTGCGATTCCCTGGGTATCGGTTTCCCGTGAAATTTCGAAAGACCAAGTCTATGGGCGCCGCCGTCAAACGTTTCCCATCGCTGACACGCGCGTTTATTTCTGTAGTATTGCGCGAAAGAGTTTTTTATGTATAAGATATCCGCGCGGACAAAAAAAAAAGACGCGCGTAATAAATAGCTTTGGGGTTTGAAAAAAGGAAGGGGGGGAAATACTGCTATAAGGTCTCTCAGCAAGCCCGATTCGAAAGCCTCGTCATGTCCCACGAGATATTTTTTTTTTTATTTTTTTTTTTAGTTTTCGCTGACGCCAACATGAACCAGATAAACGACCAGATGCGTGTTTGTGGTTACTTTTTTATTCTTTTTTTTTTTGTTTTTTCACTCCTCGGTATTGGTTTACCAAATGAAGATTGTGTCGAGTGTACATGTTCGTTCGGATAAAATTCTGTCTCGCGTGGGTTAAGGTAATTTTAGAATGCTATGCAGTATTGTTTTTCTGGTGACCCTTGTATTACCCGAGAACCGTAAAGAGAGACGACGACGATTACGACGACTTAAAAGGGTTCGACTGAGGTTTTTTATTTTACTTTTTTTTTTAACAATATTGACGACGGACACTAGAATACCCTCAATATGGTAATCATAATAATTTCACACGATTTACAGGTATTCAACCGTGTGATGCGTAATTTGACACTCGATAATCGATTTGATTATCACTGGCGGACTATATAGTACGACTAACACATTAATAATATTAACACTGTTGTTAAGACGAGGGGTCCTGTTACGGGTGTTACATTGTATCAATCACGATGTTCTCTGTCCCGTGTCTAGAATTAATTTTAACTATATCATATTATATGGACCGCAACATTATATTTTACGTAATTATATTTTTGAATTCAGAGAGGAGTGAAAAATGTATATTATTTAATTAGTTTTACTTCGATGTGTTTTTATCGAATTTTCTGTATACTTCTTCTAGCGGCTGCTTCTGTACTAAACGAGCTCGAGCTCGGAAGTCAGTGTTGATCTGTAGACAAATTGAAATAGTACAGTTGAATTTTACCGTTTGCTGTTACGATGTTTCTGCACCATTTATATACTCTGGTTACTGACAATGGATTTTATATAGTCGGTAGTAGTTTTTTTTTTCTTTTAGGGTACTTTTCTGAAAAATGGGGAAAATGAAAACTTCGGGTGAACGGGAATATTCAGTACATGGTTAAAATTTTAAATTCACAAGTTAACAACTTTCCGGCCTCCTTCGAGTTATTTTATCTTTTATATTTTCTTACAATTATCAATTGTCAATTCATATTATTATTTGATAAGTACAGATATGAAGCCCTGCAGTAAAATTTTGATTTATTTTGTCTTAATTTAATAATATATCGATGCAATCCCGTCCCAAGCATAATCCGTTGCAACATATAAAAAACATTCCCCGTTTGTGATTGGACCACTTCATTCGTACTCTTGCAGAAATGTTGTTCTTCTGGTTAAGATTTCAAAAGATTTTCGAAACATTGCTCGTGTGTAAGTGGACTAACACACACTCACAAACACTTATTGATTTCGGGTTCAATACCGACTATTACTGAAGAAAATTTGTTTGCGGTTTTTTTTTTTTCATATTTATTTCCTTGTGATCTACCCGACGTTGTTTAGTATAAAAAAATCTATTATTATTTTCAATTAGTTCAATTAGACCGAAGACCCCAAAAACGAAACAATTTGTAATTAGTAATATTTGATAACAGTAATACAATACGGCGAAACGCACGTAAAACATGGAACGTTGAATTCGAATCGACCAACCAGATCCTCGGATTCCAGAATGCTAATATGTGTCCCGTTATTATTGCAAATCAATAATTAAATTCCATTATAAGTATGAATTTTTTTTTTTAACTTTATTTCGATCATACGACGTAAATAATTGTGTTTATTCAAATGTAAATGAGCTACCAATCAATTATAATCGAGTTTTATATGTACACTCGACATGTTTCCGATTTCATAAATTATTTTTTATAGGTTTTTTTGATAGACCCGTTTGATTTTTATAGGGTTTTTTTTTTTTATATGCGTCGTATAAGTCTATTAAATTATATACTGTTGTTGGAATTTGTTCGCAAAATTTATGTTTTCCCATTAAATACGTTATTGATTTTTTTTTTTTTTTTATTCGATGTCTAAACAACTTAGCACGATTTATTTTTCAAGTTTTTCCCCTCGTTCTTTAACAATCGCATAATATATTAGTTACGTAAAATATGGCACAGGGTCGGAAAAATATCACGTGGCTAAAAAAATGTAATATTATAATACTACCAAGTGCAAAAAATGTCAAATGACAGTGACTGTTCAGACATTGTAACGCAAAAATTCTAAATAAACTGTCCTTTTTAATCTGGGATTGCATGATTTTGTATATAAATTAAATCACTACAAATTATTTTTAAAAACAAATCTACTAAAAATGTACAATGGTACGTGTTCTATATAAATCCGAATAAACAATAATTAGAGATCGGGTATAAAAGTACTAAACAAATTATAAAGAACGTTAAAAGTTGAAAAACATGCAAAATTAAACTTTCCCATTCAGTTTTCCAAAACTGTTTTCGATAATAATGCAATTATACGTTTGCGACCGACACGATTTTTAAAATAACCCAATTATTGCAAATATTATCCCAAACGGAATTGTCCGATAATATTAACGATAACAACTGAACACGATCGCCTCTGTCTTTTTTGTATGCGTTTAGTCGTACTGTTTAAAAAGAAAATCAAAATAGCTCTATGGGTCCTAAATATGCAAAATAAATTTCGTATGTGACGTCTACGAAGCATGCAGATACAAAGTACGAAACAAGTTTGTTTCTTACGCAGAATGCTCCAAGTGTGACCAAAAGTAATAAACGAATGCTAACAGTTCCGAGTGCTAATAATAATGCAACCAGCGTGAAAATATCGATACGGTTAAATCGTCGTAATTTAATGGCAAAAGTACACAAATATTCTCTCGAAACAGGCCGGACCGTCATACGATTTTCGTAGCCCCGTCTCCGACGCAACTGAAATAACGTTCGCGAGCGCGTGTCTCGTGCGCGTTACGTTTACAAGGCGCAATTTATCATACTTCACACGCGCAGTACCGATAAATCTCCGTCAGAGTCCTTTAAGTCGTATACTTTATATTATTATATACGGTACACTTTATCTGTTGTTAAAAGGTCACACATCGATCGGATCGTTCCGCGCTAAACCCCGGGAAAAACAAAAACAAAAATAAAGTACACATTCGACGACGACATCATATTTATTATTTATCTATTGTTTCGTATTAACCGGCGAATTTTTCACGTGATTCGCCATTTCGGGTGTGAATAGTGGGGAAAAAAACCACCGGTAAATCGTAATGGAATTTTATGTCGTTTCCTAAAAATTACAGTAAAAAAAATTATCGTCATTCGTGATTTCGCATTGTTTTTAGTGCTACTTTCTATACTTATAGAGCAGATACTTACCTTCGCGTTTTCGATTCAGACCGAAGCAATAAGTTTTTATTGGCTCTTTTCTCGGGGGACATTGAAAATAATCTCGAAAAGTTTCGTCCGGTAACTTTTTCTTTTTTGATTTTTGAATGCAACGAAAAAGCTATTATAGTTTTACTAAGATGTGTGTGTATTTTTTCATTCTCAGAACACTTTTTTTTTCGTTTGTAAAAATTCTCAAATTTTTCTCTCGCAATACCTCGAAAGATGCGAATTTCAGACCGGTGCTTCCATTGAATGTATTTTGTTTTATTGCTGTTTTGTGATTTCATGCGGCTAATAAATATTCTATTCAATATTAAAATACGTCATCGGCAATCGGTTTTCAAAATAATTTTAATAAAATAAATGGTGAAAAACGCTATATTATGTACACAAGCGAATAGATATTTACTTTTGTCGTGGTTATAAATTCGTGAAATCGCGAATTTCAACGTTATCATTGCAGTTTTTTGGGGATTACAACTCAAAAACCGATCGTCCTTACAACAGTATATTAAATGACAAGTTTTTAAGTTTTCGAGGTTAAACATATTGAAATATATTTACAAAGTATATACTATCCGAGTGAATATTAAAGTTCTATCATTTCCTGTATATATATATATAATATACTAATACCCATACTAATATTCATTAGGTATACCTATTAAATTTATAGAGGCTACCTATCTATATTTTGATCTTTTGCCAGTTTTATCTGTAATTTGATTTTAACGTCAGATAGGTAATGGTATTTGGTAATTACAGGGTAATTGGTAAGGCACCTATGTACACCAGCTACCTACCTAAAGTATTCAATTTATTGCAGCGTATCCTGGTATTAATATTATTTCGCGTAAAACTCGAGATATTCGAAAACAAACTTGCATATATTAAGTACTTACAACCGATAATTATTATTTTAACTTCACTTTCACTGTCTCATGATAATATAAGTACGTGACGGAAAAGCTTCACGTGGTTGTCTTTCTTTCTGTGACTTTCTTTTTTGGTGTTCTCCCCCCAAGTCAAACCGTTTACGAAACATTAAATGATTATATATTTATTTTGCTTTCGGCAAACCTTTGTTTCTGATAGAAAAATAATTCGTAATATACGAAAATCGACAATAGAACACAAATTCGTTTTTTACCGATTCTATACAATAGTAACGAAAATCTTGGCTTTACTAAATGAAAAAACGGTGTTGTTGAATTATTACTAGTTTTTGGGTCGAATAAAAGAAGTTTCTGCATTGATTTCGAATAAAACTCACATCATATGGTGATGTTAAAATGATATTGGTACGATACGCAATTGTTTGATTATTCGCAGATTTCTGTAGGTACATCAAAATAGGTGAACCTAAGTAAATTGTTCTTATATCGTCATATCCAAAAAGAGAACAAATAAAAAATGGTTAAAATTAGACAATGTATTGTTGATAAACAAACAGGAAAATCGAATGACTGCCATTTATCGCAGTTCCCATTCATATAGTTAAATATCATAGTTTACTACGAATAACTTATTTTTTTTAATAGTTTATTTGTTTGTCATTTACTTATTCTTGGCTTACGTATTTTATATAATATTATACTATTTAAATACCTCAATGTAATGAACGTTTTTTTTTTTAAAAATTATGCATTTTAACTCAATTACGGAATGAGGAGAATAACTCTATAACTTAACATTTAATCAATAGGTGTAATGTAATACGTCCTGTCGAGCACTCGCGAACCAATTTGGTGATTTGGGTACCAACTCTTAAGGATCACTTTAATTTCGTGTCACTTGAAACACTTGTTTATGTCGTTTACATCTCTTATTTCGTCACATAATAAATAATCTAATTAGAAAATAATTTCAAATATAAATTACAACACCTTACATAAATAAAATATTAATTTCCCTTAATACCCATTTTGACTTATTTTAACCCTAGCGTTTCCTATCTGCTATGAAAATAGTATGGAAATGAGATAGAGCAATATTCCATTTTGGAGGCATAAATATTGATATCTATTGAATTTTCGTTTTCTGTATTGATTGTGAAAATTATCATACAGCTTAATAATTGATTAAATCTTCTCGTTTCTTATTTTATTTTTGATATGTGAAGAAAATAGTTACGCCCCTACTTTTGGATTACTTTTTCTAGAACCGAATGATGTTTTGGATTGTTTTCTTCAAAACTGTTTGGCTGATCCAGCTACTGATCAGGTTGCTACTATTCAAAAAACTAATATACCTATTATATATAATTTGTATACAACTTATAATTTTAATACTGTTCTGCATGTATAATATAAAGTAAATATTGACATTTTGATCAAGCCGAAAATGATAGGGTACGATTTTGATCGAAAATGGTTATGCCTGTCTATATACCTAGGTAATGAATTAAAACAAAATAACCTATTAACGTGTTTTATAAGCCCCTTGAAAGTCTTAATAACTTATTGCTATAGGAAAATACATTATAACAACGTTATAATCTCAGCGCAAATCGTTAAATTAATTTAACACACTTTGAATGGAACAAATTTAGACATCTATGTAACACGACTTCTGTATTATATTCGTTTTTTTTTTTTTTTTTTTTTTATCTATCGCGTTAGTTTTATCAGTTTACTAATAGTTAAACGTGTTTTATATTCAACAACACATTCGTTGCTTCTGATAATCGTTGCTACTAATATATCAAATAAACTACATGTGTTATGAGAAATAAAATATTAGAGTGCAGCATGAGTAATTTGAAAACTATGTACATATATATATATATGGTAATATTATAGATTTATATACATTAACAGATGGAAAATAATTGTACTGTAGATAATTGAATAATTGCAGCATTTATTAGTATTACAGCTGCGATTGTCGTATGACACAAACCTGCTAGTATCTCCGTTCTCATTTTACGCCTCTCGTACGCTTTTTAACGGCATTGTAAAAAGAAAAAAAAATTCCTGTATTTGTTCCCCAGTAATGAGACTAATCTGATACAATAAGAAACATACAACCTGTACGCAACATACTGTACGCATTTCGGCGATAAATCAAAAAAAAAAAAAACAATTATTTATTACACCATACTTAACAATTACAAACATTGAAGCTGTAAAGCTGGGCAAGTTGACCAAATTATATTAACTAGTTTAAGTTATTTTTAAAAATAATTAAATGAAAAAGCTACGATAAAATTAATTTTAAAATATTAATACATTTCAGGAAAAAGTGACTTTTTTAAATGTTAAGTACCCTTGATTTCCTTTAACTAAACATGTTTTATATTCTAATGCAATGTATACTTTTGTTGATTTAACCGTACAAGACTCGTGTGGCCCGTATTTCGTCACACGGGCCACACAGGCCACATGACCTTGTTATGTGATAATGATACTCGTGTAAAAATAATTGGCAAAAACATAAGTACACAGTTTTCTTATACAAACAAATCATAAATAAGTTTTCAGTGATAATTTAAATTTAAACAAAATAACTAAGTTATGTTAAAATTATTAAATTAAAAGATAAAATTAAGTTTTAAACTGACTTATTTTTAACATTCTATTTTTTTTTGTTTAACAGATTGAAATGTTGTCCCTAAAAGTAAATTTGTGACTTAACGTTTATCATAGTTACTGTTCAATTTTGATTATCCTGTTGTTTTTCCAGGGTTGTTTCAAATATACGATTCATACGATTTCGTTTTCTATACATAATATAATAATAGTTATTACTGGGTACAAAATATTACGATTGCCATTGCAATACCGATTACGTTTATACATACTGGCGTAGCAGTGTCTGGTGAAGTAATTGTGTTCTTCATTGAGACGTTTAAAACGAAAAAACTACCTCCACCTTATGTGTATATTATACAATAGGTCAGAAACGCGGTTTGAACAACAGATTAGCATCGAACGTGGACAATAAATCTCCCATCCGATAGAAAATAATTAACAGGTGTCATGTTATGTACGGTTCAAGATCAAGAACATACAAATATTAATGCTCAGATATAATACAGAAAAATTGACCGTGGTTAGATTAATATATTCGCTCGTTTACTATAATATCAAACATCGGCTATTAAGATTTATTAGGTACCTACGTTTAAATAACAATATTATTTACTAAACGCAGAGCATTTAATACGAATTTGTACTACGCTCGGTGTTAAATAAAATATTATTTGATTTATTGTGGCCCCTCCCCGTTTTTCGTTTCTTGTTCTGCGTCTATATAATATAAAGTCCAGTGTTTCCCAAATGTGTTGACAGTACTTATAGATCACTCAGTGGATTTTCGACCGGTTGCGAATCACCTTGATTCGAGGAAAACTTTTTATATATATTTATATAAACTAATACGATAACGTTTTTTCTAAAGATTTGCCGAATTTCATTCGTTTTCCATTGTAATTAATGGTAATCTAATATGATTTTTAAACTTGGCCTCTGTCTCTCGGGGCTATGCTTCTGCAAATATGTTATAGATAATCCAAGGAAATAACGTAAATTATTTCCCCGGAATTGAATGTGGTATTTTTCTGTGTGCGTGATCATTCGCTACACTCCATTTTTTTTTTCTAATTGTCGAAATAAAAAAAAATTGTCGAATAAAAACTGGCGCCATGATAGGCCCACGGACCACCGATTGAGAACCACTGATGTTTACTATACACAAACGATACTATAATTTGATTACTATAATTATTCGTGTATTATGTGCGTGTTTTCGGCCACTTATTCTTATAAAATATTTTTAAGAATAACATCATAAGCGTTTTTATAGTTATGTTTTATCTAACTCATACGATAGTAATAATATAATTATGTTTATGGTCAACATGTTTCGGCAAAGTTCTAAAAAAAAATTGTTCCAATGGTTACGCACTGAAAACTATACTTATATACCTAATATGAATTATAATTATTTAGTATCGAATGCGTCTGATTTAGAAGTCTTGATTGAAAACGTGAATTAATAATAGTACGTGAAATGAATTCCGTATACACGTGAATGAAGATTGTGTACTCACGTGTACTTCATTCACGTATTTCATTTACTATCCGTGTTTACGTGTTTTAGTGTTATTCGTGTGAATACGTAGTGAAAATACGTGAAAAATAACGTGATATATGGGAATATACGTGTAAAAATTAAACGTGTACACGAATGGTTTAAATACACGGTTTTATAGATTCGAATGTTAATTTTTCGCAAATACGCAGAAACTTGTGCACCTAAAGTAAGGAGCTCTAGGCTCTAATTAATAGCCGAAATATAGATAGTTTTTTTTTGTCTGTAAAATATTCCGTGAAATGTGAACTTCAGAGGGGAAAAAAAGGAGTCATATGATTACTATACCGTGGTCTTCAATTAATAATTATTGTTGTACAGCAATTACAGTTGTAGTACTTAATGTTAATATTTAATAATACAATTATTCAATTACGGTAAATATTTTTGTTATCTGTTAAATGTAACAAACTGCTTTATTAATTGTAGCTACAGGATAATGTTTACAGCCGTATAATAGGGGAGAGGGAGGATAGTGGCTACATGCTGCTAGGTTAGTAGAAATATTTTTTTAATTTCAGTTATAACACTGTGAGTAGTGAAGAAACAAATCCCATTATATTATTATCGCCAAGTGCTTTGTAATGAAATCCAGTAAATTTTCTCCGGAAGATTTTCTTTTTGATTCACAACGAACCAAGGTACCTATAGTATTATTTTAATACTAAATATTTATTCATTGTATGATAATAAATTATAATAATCTAGTACTACACCAAATTCTAGTAATAGAATCCAATAGTACTAATTTCATTTCCAATAAATACATCCTGAACGGAAAACACTGTTGTACAAGGAAAGTTGTATCGCCTTTGTATAATTTATTTTGTATTTTACTTTGGTGTTATAGATAATTATTCATAACTGAATAATATAATAATCATAATTACTCAATATTGTTAAATATCTGTATAGATACCTACTGTAACTGTAGATTTCTTATTTTATTTTTATTTTTTTATAACACTAGTTCAAAATATAAATAGGTATATATACTCTGTAACCATGTACCCCTGATCTGTAAAAAATTACGACACCTATGGGCATTAGATTACATTTTGAGAGAGTGATGTCTGAAACGTCACTCATTTTTAGCAATTGAATTGTATGTACCTGTTTTTTGTTTTTTTTTTTTTTTGTAATTCTAAAACAATCTATCATTAGTTATCTTAATTATATAATAAAATTGATGTAAAGTAAATAATATCTCAAAAAAATAACAACTAGCCCCGGTCTTCCGTACCGTTATTTCATATATACCCAAGGTATTGTATGTTTAGTCCGACCGAGCGTACGTAATAGTAATATTATGTTTCACTGCGAGTTGTCGACATCATAAGCTAAATGTTACAAAAAAGCTACTCGAAAACAACACTCGCGGAACGTGTATAATCTGTGGCGTGATTTTGCTATTAAAAAGCGTTTAGAGTTTATCTTTTTAGGCAGTACCTAAAAGAAACGAGATTTTCATTCGGCGATAACTTTATTCGGATCATTTATCGAAATTCGTTCTTTTTTTTTTTATTCGGCCTCCTATTATGTTATTATTTGGTTTTTTTTATTGATTTCTGTGTTATTTTAATTAAAAAGGGAAAATTTTTATTTGCGTAAGTTAAACATAACACGAGTAGTATCTTGTGATAAAAATCATCTATAGGTCAAATTGACGCCGGTAATGTAACATATGGGTAATGTTATGTAATTAAGTTAGGTTATACATAAATTTATGTACATATTTATACGCGTGTGTGTACTATATATTATTATATTGACTTTACTGAGTAGACGGCCGTCTTATGATTCGCCAACTTAACCGGGTTTCCCCTGCATTCTGTCTTTCCAAACTCCCCACCATGGTGGTCCGTGATGCGAAATATTTCCGGTTTATTTATAAACTTGATTAATATTACAAAGAGAAACGATTCGTTTGTATACGTGTAAATGGACAAGCGCAAAAACTACATAACCGATTGTTAAACTTCTTTCGCCCATAAAAATCTGCGTTATCTGCGTGTAATATGGGCTGTATTTTATTTTCAAAAAAAAAAAAAAATAAAGATCCCTGCGAAAATTGCAATAACTAAGTTTTGGGGTATTTTTGGTACGAATATATTATTCTAGTTGTTTATTTATTTATTTTTGTTTATTCGTGGATTACCTTGATGGCATAGATGACAATTTAGTTGTCACGGACAACAAAACTACTGTTATTATTATTATTATTATTATTATTATTATTACTGTTATTCACACTGTTTATCTAGCAATGGCAAAACATTGCCGGATCAGCTAGTTATTATTAAATTTGTTTTGTTTTTTGGTCGTTTTCGTTCGTGTTATTAATTATTATTGCGCTTTATACGGGGCCGGTCAGTTAATCGTCGTTAATAATCGTTGTCGCCGCCGCCGACGACGACGACGACGTCTTTAGAAACGCGTGTTTCTTTTTTTTTCTTTCTTTTTTTTCACCACATTGTTATGTAACAGTCGTAACAGTCGAAAGCGCGCCGCCAACTCCGATGGTCCGCTGCCTACATCATGATAAAATAATAAATTGTTGTTTGAAAAAAAAAAAAAAAAACGGTCGGATTTTCGTCTTCCCGTCCCGAGAAAGGATGATGCCCGCATGATGATGTTTTTAACGTTTACGAGTATTAATATAATATTACAATACGCGACACGTTTACAGTACAATTTTATTTCGATGCCGTCCGGATCGACGACGGACGGTTGTCGCACGCGATTTTTCTTCGAGCCCCGTCGTAATAACAGTAATAATAACAGTATCACAATTTATACCGTATGTGCTGCACTACCGCTGAGCCAATAGTTCTACAGACGTTTATTAATAATGCAGTGATAGTGTACGGTAATACCGCGTGACGTCTGGGCGCGTGTGCGGCGGTCGCGCGCACGCGATCGTGTGCTTAATAATTTCGAAATTTGAAAAAAAAAAAAAGAAATCCTTCGAACGCGTTTTTTTTCCCCCACAATTGACGCTCGTCCGTCGTCCGGTTCCGGTCGTCCGATATCCGACGCTACAACAACAATACCCGCCTAATAACATAATAGTATACACAGTAGGTGTCTCGTTACCATAACGATAATAACAATAAAAAAAAAAAAAAATTGTAATTATTTTAGTTTTTTTTTTTTTTTAACGAATGCTATTATCGTTATACCTGCTCGTCTAAAATCATTTCGTGTTCATAGCTTATCACTCGCTTACTTGCTTAGTGCATACTAATATTATTATTGTTTCGCTGTGCAGGTGGTGAATCATGTGGGCAGAATGAGCCGGGGCCGAAGAAAACTGTTGACGTACGGGCTGATCGTCGGCACGTTCCTGCTGTTGGCGTACAAGCTGCGCACGTGTCCGGACCCCGAGCCCCAGACCGTGTTCATGATGCCGAAAGACGTAAGTGCGGACCCGCGTTTTTAGAATTCAACGCACCGTCGACACCGCTATAATCGTCGAATTATGAAATGACAAAAAAAAAGAAAAAAAAAACCCCCGATGATACGGTCGGCAAAACACGCTAAAAACGCTTAAAATCTCCCGTCCCTTTCCCCCGGAAAAAAATAAATCGAAATTCAATTGAAATTTTAAAGCGAAAATAACAGGCTCAATTGAAACTCCTGCTTCACGGTGTCTCAGTGCCTGCGCACAGTGTATGCGAATAGATATTTTGGAAATACACAAAATGCGCGTATAGTTGTGTAGATAAACCGCTGTATTTTATAATTTTTGTAATAACGTTCATAAACATTTCGTTGTAGCGTTAACAGAAGGAAGTGGAATGGAAAATAACAACGTACGTATATGCGTCACTGTTATACAGCGCCTATCCGAGATACTTAAAAATGTATAATATACCTATAAAACAGGGCGGTTCAACTATCGAGAATCGACGGTTATCGGCCGTACGAAAATGTCATAGTACATTTGAATTTTGGTTTGTTTTTTCAGGCGCGTTCAATAATAATTTACGTAAACGTTAACCATACTATTTTTAACATGTTCCGTATGGAATAAAAATGTGCGGCGGTAGTAAATTATTTTCGATTATGTTTTTCTACCAGAAGTTTTTCTGCGAATTTTTTACGATTTTTTCCGGAAGACAATTTTCTTGTCTTGCTGTTCCACCGGGAGATCATTATATTTCGTTTTGTTTTGTTTTTTTTTTTTTTTTTTTTATTTGGTTTTTTGTAGAAAAAATTGTTTCGTAATTATTAAAATAATAAGAATATTATTTAAAATTATTTGAAATATTTTAGTCACATTTTGCCGAACGTGTCTTTCGGAAAATCATCAGTTTACTTTCTTTTTAATAAATTCACGTCGTATGCAAATTTTTTGAGCAAAGGGGATATTTATTATTTTTTTTTTTTTTTTTTTTATAATAATTCACCGAAATTCCTTTCGTCTGGAACAAGTCGTCAGCTATTGTCAGAGAGTTCAACCGCGGTTTTTATTTTTAATAATATTTTACCTTTTTTTTATTTTTCTTTTATGTTCGCCCCTTCAAATAAAATCGATTGCGGCACCTTTATACTCCAGGTAAACGACAGCGGAATAATAAACGAAAAAATAACCGTGTTACCGATATCTTAACAATATATTTTCTTTTCTTTTTTTATATGCCAATTTAAGAATAATAACGTATATTATTAATATTCAGTAAGGTTTTTTGCGCTCGCGCACAAACCGAAAAACAATAATTAATAACAACCGTTACTGTATCGACTTTACGTCAGAGGTAGGTTTATCGAATAGAAATTGTTTATGTTTGTTTTACCTTAAAAAATTTGCGATTGACAGTGTCATTCGGCATCTTTGTTTTTCCAACTGGCAATATAGTGACAATGTAATATGTGTTCGCAAACGAAAAAGCCTTTAAAATCGCCTTAAGAGCTGAAACGCCTATCATAAAATTAATTGTAGATAACGACATTTTTATGGAACTACCGCGTCGACGTTTTCTCTGATTATGCCGCTCCTTATCGAAGATACAAAATATCATACGTATCGTATTTTATAATATTTATTTTAGATAAAACCAAACTATTTTTTATGACTTTGTATTAAGTAATTTTTCTAAAAACGCCGATGATATCGTTTTCAAATTGTTGTCACCTAGACATTTTAAAACAGATTCACGTTTGTTTTCTGTGAAAACGATTTTTGCTATATACTGCCCGTTTACACTTTTGTCGGTTATTCGAAATGCTCCGATCTTTTGATGACGTAACGATGCAGATTTGTCTCCCGGTGTTACTTTATATGAACAATTGTAATGTCTGTTCCGTCACTGTTTTACATAAAAATTGAAAAACCGACAACAAATGATGTTAATTCGGTTTTATTTTTAGGAATTTCTAGTTTGATTGCCTTTGGCTACAACAATAACTACGGTGGAAAAAATCACGGTTAATAATAATTAATAACCTTGTCAATTTGCCGATCTCGGTGCAGAATCGTTTTTCGATTGCAATGAATTATCGTTAATTTCAGTAACGTACAAATTCAATTACTCGTCAATCTTTTTTTTCCAGCACTTTCCGAAATTTCCACCATGCAACATACAGTGACCTACCCTTAAGGTGTGAAGTATGTCTTTTTTTTTTTTAATTATAGTTTCTCATATTATACTCGTTCTATATACAAACCGTATCGAGATTGTATTCTATTTATTTATGTCATTGTAGAACTAATATTCATCATATTTGTATGATATAATTAGTAACTACCTGTATAAACTATGTATTCTTCTATCGATCTCGACTAAAAAAGAAAACTCGTTTACTACACGTGCAACTACTAGTCAAAAGTTTTAATCATGAGCAAGCCACCTAGCCATGTATAATTATAATGATAGAGATCACATCGTCATGACGTTCGCGACCTAAATAATAACACTATTTTATAGATTTGTTTTTTGCCCTCTTATATTACATACTTAAAACATAATCATAAATTCGTATTTATTAGATACCGGTGGATATAGATTGTTTATTAAATGCGTTCTCCGATGTACTAATATATTATGTATTTATTTTTCCGTATTGAAATTCACGATATTTTTTTTTTATTATTTCTAACTGAAATGTCTTTTTGTTCGATACCCTATACATGCTTAGTTGTTCTACAGTTATTTTTATTACAATACATAACGTAATAATATAACATTATTACCGATAATCATAAGGCTGCAGTGTGTGGATTCCATAAATTTTGACTTATAAGCCGTGTTGCAGTAATACGGTATGACGCCGCACGAGAACAAGCCGCCGGGTTAAAAAAATAAATAAATTCCGTTTAAAGATAAAAACAAAAAAAAAAAAAAACACGATAAGAAAAACTTTTAATATTATTAAAAACCGTATCCATATAGGTATCGGGCTGGTATATGTACGGTAAGTGTAAGTACCACACATCTGTAACATATTTAAATTTTCCCGAAAGTAATAAAATATTATTATAGCTTGCGGCGGCGGGGGTAATGACGGAATAACAATCTACGTATTATAATCTCTGGTGTCTAATAAATATGTATGTGTATAATACAAAATACTATTACTTGCTAATAAATTCGTTAAATACTTGTAATATTAAAAAATAAAAAAAAAAAAAAAAACACCCGTGAGCAAAGTAAAGATCCGTCACTAAAGTCGCATTCTTCCTCCTCCCCGCCTATTTTCTATTTTAGAAACATTCTTTCTGAAACAATAAATAACCGAATACCTATGCTATAATTATACGATTCTATCTTATACTACGGCTGTATAAGAACTAAAAAATAAAAAATAATAAGACATTGATCATAAAAATGGTATTGGTATAGCATGAAAGTTAATACCCCCTACATTTCCAACGACCTTCATGTATCTATAGAAGTGTTCAAAAAAATAACGAAATTCATTGTGAAATTCAACTCAACCTATAAAATAACTATAATTTCCGAGGTTTAACTCTTTTTGGCCCAGAAAGAGCTCAGCAAACTGCGCACCGTGGTCAAGCCACTGACTATTATAAGTGGATAATTAAAAAGGTTGGATAATATACGATTTATTATAATAATAATAGGAGAAATTTAATTACTGAAAAACGATTCTGGCCAGAGTAGTATTTAATCGTGTTTTTTTTTATCTCCCGTTACCAAAGTAACACTACAGTAGTCAACAAAAATCGAAAACGCCAAAATTAAAGGATGTAGGAAGCGAACTGTTGAAAATGTCGATAAATGTTTCGTATAACACTGCTATCGGCCGAAAATTCCGCATCTTTTGAGGTATGTCATGATTAAATCTGAGCATTTTTTAATAACTCGAGTTTTGTGGAAAAAAAAAAAGCTGTTCCGATAAACTAAAAACCTAAAACATCATGTAAGAAATAAATATTAGTTTTTTTTTCACGAAAATTCCATATAAATCTATATATATTTGTGTATATACGTTATTAAAAAGGGCAAAAAAACACCCCTCACACAAACGGGAATGGCTGTGATATCAATAACTGTCAAATCGCATTTTATAATCATGGCTTATATACCTTACAGCATTGGTGGTTTTTTTCTATCATAATTTTTTTTTTTTAGATTCTAACGTACCAAAGAATTTATTGGTTTTTCTGTGGTGTGTGTGTTTTTATTTCTGTTTTTTAATAACTTTTATTGCTCTGACCATCAAATTTAAAAATATAATTTCTGGTATCAGATTTTGTCTAGTTGATGCATTGAGGAAGTTATTTTTTGATTTTCCTTGTAGTTTTGTTAATTGTTTTGTAATTCGGTTAAAAAAAGTTATAGTTATAGGTATAGACCTGAAATATTCACCGAATACTTCTTCATTATCTCGAATATCCTTTCTAGACGTGATAAGATTCTGGGGATTTGTGAATCATCTATCTGTATATTAAAATTTTAAAAAAAATTATCAATTTTTTTTAGTTTCTATTTCGTTGTGTGTGGACAAAACTGTTTTGGCCTTGCAGAAAAAAATTTTAAGAATTTTACACGAAGTGGTTAAAAAAAAAAAGCTGTCATAGGATAATGGGTACGGGTGCAGCCACTGTTATAGATAATTAAATGTTTATCTGTAAGCAACGAAAAAACGATTCTTAATGGAGCTCGGTTGATAGAGTTGCTTTGTCGAAAATATATAATATGTCATATTATGGTAAAATAATTACATATTTCTTTAATAATAATTGTTTAATATTATATCTATTTTCCCGTTTTTCCCAATTATTGAGAAAACTCCTGGCGAAATCAAAAACTAACCTCCCTAAAGTACCTCCCCAGTCAGATTTCCTTTCAGAAAAAGTGCTATCATTGTAAATCGAAGCAAAATTACTGGTAGAAATGTTGTACACAGAAAAATAAATAAATAAACATCATTGTAAAACCAATATATTCCTCGCTCTGCTAACAATTTAAAAAAGCTGACTGTAACTAGGTAACAATTTTTTATTAGCGTTTGATATTAAAATTAAAAACAGCTGTGACATTTGAAAAAATATTTATCCGAACTTTGCTCAGAATCATTTTTCGTTGGCAAATATATTTCGTTGCGCAATATGTCCTATGTATCGTAACTTCCCAATTTTTTCCACCTACAAAAACTTATATACATATTTTTTTCTTTTCTTGGCGTGTACCGCAAATGTATAACCGGACGTCGGTGTTAGTTATAATAATGGTCATAACGATAAATAATGAATAAATTCTAGTGTAGTTTATAATTTTTATAGTTATGTGTATAATATGGCGTCGTATTTTATTGCAACGTTGTCGTATATTTTTGAAAAATGTTATTCAGACGCATAATACGAAAATCCTTTTTTAGATAGAATACTAGTCCCGGTTAAACATTTAAACCAGAAATTGATTAATCACGCTAGATTCATATTTTTTTTTTAATTTTTTTTATGATAAATCGTTTAAAAAATGTCCTTCTATAGCTGACAGCGTAGTGTTTGTTTCGTTTGACGTTCGGATTTCCGTTTTTTCTTTGCGTATAATATTTTAAATCATAATGCGAAATGTGGTCCGTCCCGTAGTATATCTAAATTTGTTCGTTCTGAGGGCCAGAGGGTTAGTTTAAATATTTACACATTTGTTTTGCAAAACGGTTTGTGAAACGTTCGACTATTTGTTCGGCCACTTAATCTCTCACTCGATCTCCCCGCCCGTCTGATCTCGTATAAATTGAACACCGTGTAATATACTGTATAATATTTTATTCTCCTCGAATCTTCATCAGTTTTTAGTGACCATTGAGCCTCTCTAACGTTTCTCTGTTTTAGAACGTCCTCGTATGATTTTCCTCTTCATGATTATATATTATCTTAACTAAATATAAAGAGTTTATTTTATTTATTTATTTTTTTTTTTTTTTTTTTTTTTTTTTTTTTGTTACCACACCTTTGATTTAATATCCTCGGTTTTTGATGTATAATAATATAATGTTTGAATCGTGTTTCGAAAAATGTTCATTGTGTTTATAGTTTAAATTGGGATTTACGGTACGATAATCCGATGATAAAATGATATCATGTTATTTAGAATAATAATATAATTTCAAATACATCATTTTCATACAATAGTCATAGTAATAATGATTTCCACGTTCGTTTTTCGTTTGGTCAATGAACACGAATCGCTGTTGTCAGACAAAACGTTGTTAAACAAAATCATACACACAATCCAACACAAAAATCTCCCGGTTAATGATGTATGCGGATATATTTTTTTTTTATTTTATTACCATTACTATTCTGCAGTCTTTTTTTTTTTAATGTTAGCGTGTATAAAAATATATATTATTTAAGAATCGTTAAAATATTGAAAATATTCATCATTTGGGAAATCGCCGCATTAAAAAGGTTGATAAACACTGTAGGTCTAGTCGACGACGCATACCTTATGAACTTACGTAGAAAAGGACGAGCATAGATGGGGAAAGAGGGACGAAGGGGCAGCTTACTATTCTATTAACTTACCAGCGTCGTGTAAATTAAAATATTTTTTTTTTTATTATACGATCGGCCAAATCGGTAAAGTCGAATGAGGAAGAATAAAAGGGTTTTTTTTTTTTTTTTATGTAAAACCAATCGGCCAAACGCGCCCGCTTACTGTGCTCCCTATAAAAAATAACTACGATACGCACTTGCATGTATACCGAGTGCAGTGTTTAATATAAAATGTTTGTATATAAATAACATAACTAACGTCGTGTCGTGTTTTTCTTCCAGAAATTTGTTACCGACGAGAACATGAAGATCTACACTTACGATCGAAACATGCCGTTAATATTCATCGGCGGCGTGCCCAGATCCGGGACCACGCTCATGCGAGCCATGTTAGACGCCCACCCAGACGTCCGGTAAGTCGACTTTTACCATCGATGATGAATCTAGTTTTTCGTTTCGGGGGGAGGTCAGGTGCACATCCCTCCGCGTGCGCCGCATGATGTTCCATATTTATATCACAAATTATCTATTGTCTATAACTGTTTAATTCTGATTACGAGAGTAAAATCGTCTTTTCGAATATTTAAATGGTTTGTCCCGAAATCGACCTAATGACGGACATTGGCGGGAGGCCCGACGTTTTTCATATTAATCATTTTCCCTCGACTACCTCCCCGCATTAAATCCGCCGCTGTGCGCCATCGATATAATATAATGTAATGTGTAACAGCCGTTTTACGATACGTTTATCAACACCTTAATTAACCTAATCTCTGCGGTGCCGCTACTATGCGCAGGTGCGGCCAGGAGACCCGGGTGGTGCCGAGAATCTTGCAAATGCGCAACCACTGGTACAAGTCGACCAAAGAGTCGCTGCGACTCAAAGAAGCCGGCGTCTCCGAAGAAGTAATCAACTCGGCGGTCGCTTCGTTCATCCTCGAAGTGATCGCCCGGCACGGAGTCCCGGCTCCCCGGCTGTGCAACAAGGACCCGCTGGCACTCAAGTCCATGGACTATCTGAAAGTTTTATTCCCGAACGCCAAATACATATTCATGGTGCGCGACGGCCGGGCCACCGTCCATTCGATTATATCGCGGAGAGTGAGTATAATTTATAATATATATATATAGGACTGTGTTAAGGCGCAGATAAGTAGTATTTATCTAGATAAAGATTATTTTTCCAATATCACCTACACAAAAATAACAAATGATTTTATTAATTTCAGATAATAAAATAAATAAGTAGAATTTATCTAGATAAAAAAGAGATTATAGGTTTTTTTTTTCTTTTGAATTTTTACATTTTTAATAACACATTTTATAATTCACCGGCAGGTCACGGTTTTTTCCCTCGTAGCAAAACAACTTAAAAATAAATTATATTGTATCGTGAAAATCAGAATAACGACAAATTACGGTAATGGAACATTTTCGAGCTATTTATTTGATAAACTGTTCAATCAAGAAAAATGCCTAAAAAGCACATACTTTCCGAGATAATGAGTGTCTTATCGAGGATTGATTACACTATAAATATTTTTATACGGAACCACATGACTCGTCTATAATAAATAAGGAGGTGGCAGGTAATTAATTTTTGTAGTGCATATTTGGGATTTTGTAGTGCTCAAAATGTGTCGTAGTGCACACAAAAATAGTCTCTGCACTGCGTGCCATAGATTTTGTCCAAAACCTATGTATCGTAGTTTTTCCTCTATTATTAAAAAAAATAAGTACATACCTATTACCTACTTGGCATTTTAAAGATGATTTCCCAATAGTGCACCAATTATAGGAAAACAATAAAAAATGTCGGGCACCATAAACATATCCTAAATATTTCATAAAAATCGACGCTTTGGTAATTCATTTCTTTCATAGGTACGCTAGTTTAAAAAAAAAATTATTAATGATATCTTAATTCAAAGAGCAATAACAGTTATTGTAAAACAATACCATTACTCTGGATGTGAACGAATATGCGATGTTTAAAATAAAATATGAACGCCAATAAAAGCCTTATTGCAGCAGAACAATAATTCGAAACTTGATAAACTTTAATAATTAAACTTTACGAATAAATCAAACGATTTAAAAGTTTATTTACGAGACGGGTTTATAAATTATTATTTTATAATGGTTATAATATATATATATATATACACAATGTATACATTTATTTTTATTCTTTCGATTTTTTCATTTTCGTTTTACCATCACTGATATCTATAACTGTCTTAAAGTCTTCGCCGCCATCACTTTTTAATATTCCCAGAGTTTAAGATCTTCTTTTGCTACATTCACCTACCCCTCAAGAACAATTCTTGAGTTAGTTACTTTTGTTACATTTGTCTTATATAATGTATTATAAGCTGATTCACAATGTCATGTTCCACACTCTGTTCTCATCGATTGTTTTCCTCCTATCTGTCGCGGTTTTCGTTGTACATACCTCATATCCACACGTGATAGATTAGATATTATAATTATTGTAGACAAAATCTAAATTTTGTTTTCCCTGATAAGTTCCGAAAATTATAGGAGTGTGATTAATGTGATGTTCGTTAGTCATCGTAATGTAGGTCAGGTACGATAATAATTAAATTTAATAATACACACAGTCGTTTGTTTCGACGCGAAGGTGGGTGTTTAACGAGCATCTCGGTTTGATAAGGGTCGCCGTCAAAACATCGCAAAGTCCACTCGGATTGACGTCAAGTGCGACACGTTTTCCGTTCAAAAAGATACTATATTAATATACTTGGATCGCATAATAATACCGTGTACAATTTTCGCACTGGGAACGTAATAATTTATGCAGCGATTTATAATTTATAAATATACTAACTGTATTATCCGTGACCATCCGTGCGCAATTTACGTGTCTTTACAGTCTTGTATATATACACACCATACATTTTGGTCCAAATTAGTACCTACCGAGAATCTCCTATCGTGAAACATCGAAATGACCTTCCCGAGGAACATCGCATTTTGGTCAACAATAGATAATATTATATATACATGTATATATGTATGAATTAATTTAGAACCATTTCTCGTAGGTCGAGTTATAATAATATTTGATTAGTTTTTCGGGGTTGATAGTTATGATAGAGGTGGTAGTCCTCCTCATCGTTGAGTTTTATCTATAAGCGCAAAAACAGTAACTCTTAGACCTAAGTTAAAACCCCAAAAATAATTTATACATTTTTGTAAAAATTGGGGTAGGCTTTTATCTCCTATTTTGCCCCTTTAATGGTGAGTTTTTCAAAAACCCCGGTACTCGAGTTTCTTAATTCTTAACCAAAAGTTTAAATATAATTTTTTATACATTTTGCATAAAACATTGCGAATTTTCATTCAGACTTTAATCCCCTATTTTAAAAAATTAATTTTTAGCGGATGCCTAACGTCATAATATTTAGCTATCTGTATGCTGAATTTCGGTCTGATCTGTCCAGTGGTATGAGCTATGCGTTGATAGATCAGTCAATTAGTTTATCCTTTTATATGTATAGATTATAGGAACTTTAATTGTAGACATATATTTAACTACAACTACAGGCTGTAATAGATATCCTAAGACTTATATTATCGTATTGTTCCGTCTCTAAAACCGCTGGAGAAGAAAATGTAACACAGTGCATAATTAGTCACACTGGTTACGGACCGATTGTGGCTCATAACCACTGTATAATTACGAACTCGTTGTCCATTCGGTCCGATTCAATATTATACTTTTGTTTCAATATGACGTACTGCGGTTACTGAGGCGGTTTTTTAATCACTATTAGAAAAGTATACAATAAGAACAGAAAAAATTAATAAATCATAATAGACCCGAATTGTGAATTTCAAAATTCACTGTCGGAAATTCGAAATATTCGAATTTTTTGGGAAATTAGTTTACATCACTGGATTTAAATCACATCCCGTAACCTAAGTATCATTTTGAACAATAGTTCAAGTATAAAGGCTCGTTTAAACCAAGGCGGAAGTTGCAGTGAATTTTTGGCGGTATTTAAGCGATATTAAATACCGTACAACTGAACTAACTAGAGCAAAATATTGCAACTTAAATCGGGCGAAAAAACACATTTTTTTATACTTATATGTTGTGTGAAAACAAAAGCAACTGACCAAATTTGAACAAATGCACTACAATAAATTTTACCACTTTAAGTGAAATTTATTGTAACAATAATTTTAGAAGTATCTAATGATTACATTTTTATAATAACGAATTTTTTTTTATAAAACAAAAAAGCTTACCTTTTTTACATTTTTACCGTTTTATTTTCAGGTAACAATTACCGGTTTCGACCTAACCAGCTACAGGCAGTGTCTGGAGAAATGGAACGACGCCATCACTGTCATGTACAAAAACTGCCAAAAAGTCGGCTCCGAATATTGTCTGATGGTGTACTACGAGCAGCTGGTGTTAAGACCACGGGCCACGCTTACAGAAATATTAAACTTTCTGAACATACCGTGGAACGAGACGGTTCTCCATCACAACGAGATGATCAACAAACCTGGAGGAATAGCGTTGTCCATGTAAACATTGTTTTCACATACTATTATAAATTGAGGAAAACCTCGCCAATTTCAAATAGCTATAAATAACTCAAAACCAACCAAAATACTTTGGTAACTATTTCACGATTAAAACAAATTAACTAAATAAGTATTTGATGAGAAAGTCGGGGCACTACTACGGTTATTTTTCACCGAATTATTTTTCCCGTTACCATACCAAAAGATTATCATTACCTTCTACCAAAAACCCTCACGGATATTGATAAAATATGTTGTCGAAAGGTCAAAAATAGGTACAAGCACAATTTGGGGAACTAAGCCGCTAAAAATGAGAAGATGTAGCAAATAAAATCTTTGTCTGATTGCATATTAGCCATAAACTCATAATTTATAAGTATTCAAATATTTATAAGATACGTTTTTTTCGCCAAATAATAAAACTTAACCGACTGCAATTATAGTTTCTATAATCTAATTATTCTGTGGTATCAGCCATTGGTTCTTTGTTTGCTTTAATGACTTTCGTTATCACTATTCACTTACGTGTCCACTTATCGTCAAATTCTACCCTATCAATTTATTCGAACAGTTCTGAGTGGCTGCAAAAGTGAGAACTAATCATAATGTATCGATATATTTATGTACAAATCTAATAAGATTTAAAAAATAAATAAATAATTTAAAATAAGCTAAAAAAGAATGTGGGACAGATGAAATCCCCCTAGTTTGTTTTATATACATTTGTAAAATGTATATAAATGTTTATGTACATTTTGTAAAAAATTGAAATTGTGCCTATAAGAGTAGAAGTCGAACACTCGGCCGCAGCCAAAAACTCGTTAAAAAATTATTATCTCAAAGGGTATTTATTGATTTCAATGATGAAACAATGCCACTACTATTATTTGCTTTACTTTTACAATATAATCTTCTTCTTGTTAAAAATCCTACACGGTTAGTTTTTCGCATACCTTCTTGTCGTCGACATCGTGAACGAGAAATTTTTTTTTTTTTTCATTCTCTATACTTATATGTCTGATGTTCTGAAATTCCCTTCAAACTAATATTGTCCCCTACTTGCGTATTCTTTATAACGGGTATTTTGTAGAACCTTTTCTCTGTTCCGCGTAAACAATAAACATGACTTGTTTTTATAGCGACCGCTAAAAACCGTTGGCTATAATATTGATGACTCGCTTGATACTATTGCAGGGTGGAACGCTCGTCTGACCAGGTTGTCAGGCCGCTGTACCAGGAGGCGCTGACCAAATGGGTGGGCCAAATACCGGACGACGTGATCAGCGACATGGTGAACATAGCGCCTATGTTAGCCACGTTGGGTTACGACCCGATGGCGAATCCGCCCACGTACGGTATCCCGGAGGACGGGCAACACCATCAGCTGTACGCGGACCAGCAACAGCAGGAGCAACAAGAACAACAGCAGTACGAAACGAGCGACGGTGGTGACGCGGAAGATTCGAAACTGAAGAGGAAACGGAGGAGGAGATAGTCGTTAGCCGAACGTAATGACCGGTTTCCGATTTAGGGTATAAAGTTTTTGCGAACCGCCGCCGCCGTGTTTACGTGTTTATTTTAAAAATATTTTCCGTTGTTTTTTTTTGTTTTTTTTCTAATTATCGTGTCCGTCTACCCGATTAAATTATACAAATCCGACGGCGGCTCTTTTTCAACGTCACCGAAAGACGTAGTGATAACGCGATAAATAATTATATTACTACGACCCGATAACGTTCGTGTACGAAATTTCAGTTGTATGCATAGCCCAACGATTATTAATATTATTATTATTGTATTATTTATCGTGATTTTTTTTGTATATTTTTTACTTAATTATGTTATATATTTACTACACGTTGGGAATTATACATATATTCATATTATATAAATAGTTAAAATTTAATATGTATACGTCATAATTATTATTGTTCGCGTTTTGTTTTCACTCCCCCCTCCTATTCTTTTTTTTTTTTATGTACTTTGATCGTCATTTTTCTAGAGTACAATATTTTTGTTTTTTTTTTTTTTTTTTTTTGTTACAAAAAGACAATCTCTGTTAATGATTTCGACTTCGGAGTTTTTTCCTTACCAAATGTGTAACATTATTATTGAATTATCGATTTGTTTAATAATTTATTATATATACGCCAGTTATGTAATAATAATATGTTTATTTTGAAACCGTTACGTTTCCGAGGAAAAAAAAAATAATAATAAAAATACTTATATAAGTACTTAAACGGTAACCGTTTTTATAATATACATAATAAGGCAACACGTTTAGCTCTTAAACATAAAATACGACGACGACATTTGACGAACAAATCGATTGTCTCTGACGGTCGGTCTACACGTGAGTAAACGAACAGAAATGATAAATTGTTTTTATAAAAACGTAGGGTAAACGTGGAAGTATTTTACATGTCACAACAAGTGGTATCGCATAAACATGTTTTCGGTCTAGGTATTGATACTAATTATAGACAATACAGTCTTGAGCAACCTGGTTAGTAATGCGAACAAACGGTTTTAGCGATATTGTTTACTGTAACTGTTTCATAACTGCATAACTTTTCGACAACCAGGTTATCGAATTCAGCAAACACAATTACAAACTGTGTTTACTGCTGTCTTCGGTTACAGGTTATCCATTAGTAAACAAGCAAACAAACGAGTATCAGACCATATTATTTATTTAACCTATTTAACTAACCGTAAAGGTGTTTTCCGAAAAAAAATATAATAAAAAAAAAAAAAATAATTCTAGAGAGTGGTGTCCGTGACCAAGACATTTGAATATAATGAATGACTTCCAGTTCAGTTCAGTGACAAGTTCAACTGAAGCTACAAAATAAAAATGATAATAATATTCACAGTCGATGTTAATTATTAATTAATATATTAAATTAAATCAATTATATATTATTTAATAGTTAATTATTGATGATTTATATGGTTTTGATTTTGATTCACATTGAATAGATACATCATAGGTACCTATGATTCAATGGTTTGTCTTCACATCAATAATAAATTTAAACAGATATAAAATTTAGGTACCTACTTGTAATTAAAATTAATTTTTGAACACGACGTCGGGATGATAAATTTAGAACAAATATTAAATTATAAAAAAAATTAAATTAAATGGCCAAATTTTGTTCAATGTAACGGATATCTCTGACGAGTTTACTGAACTGCGAAGGGTCCAACGAACAGATATGATCCGACCCCTTCATGTTTCTGTCCAGCGTGATGTGCCTTTCGATAATCTAACACCAGAACATAACAATACAAAATTACTAATTAAATATTATAAAATTGATACCATGTGTATATTTTACATCATATTATATAAATAAACTTGTAACTTTTATACAACACAACTGGATAGACAAAACATTGTGTATTCATTTAAAAGTTGCATTTGATTTTTATTATGGACACATTATAAATGCAAATTGATTTTTTTAACTTATTAAAGTGAAATAATAAATTCAAATTCAAAAACCATTTATTGTTGTTGACTCCGAATAATTGAAGAAAAACAATATAAAAGCGCTGTATTAAAGGGATTATTGCGTTTAGGGAATTTTAAAGGTATGTTTCAATTAAATATTATCCAATTTGATCAACTAAAGAATATTCAAATAATTTGAAATAACTGTCATGTATAATGTACAAGACGTACTCCGGCGCATCACAAAAGTGTAAAAATCATGAGATTTGTTTAAAAACACGTTCACGCGAATAAAAAGCGAACGTAATTAAAAATAGTGTTTGGTAGAACAGTATTCTCGAAGAAACCTCGTATTAATTTTTCATTGCCGACAAATTGACTGTACAATCAAAACTTGGCAAAAATTAATTAGCAACACTTTACTTGAGTTACATTTATTTGTTTTGCATGAACGCGATATGAACACTGAAATCATCGTTAAAATAACGTTTTCATAATATTAAGCGTTTGTATTTAATATGTAACTACTGAAAAAAAAAAAAAAATTAAATATTAAGTAAATTAAGACGCTATACTTTTGTGATCCGACAAGTTCATTAAGTATTACATAATTTAAGGGGGATGGACCGTCGGGACAATTGACCGACAATCAAAATACTGGCTCAATTATGATATATTACGAAAAAGTAAATTTGATCATAATGATGACTATATTAGTACAGGTTTATAGTATTATGTTGTACAGGTTTTTGATCTAAAATTTTAGACTAAATTGCCTACGCCAAATAAACTGTAGATGGGGCTTAAGATTTTTCGGGGAGAACTGAGCCCTCTTAACACCCCATCCCACCAATTTACGTCTGTGCTTATCGTGTCCAGTCCGTAGTAAACATAAGTGCCTAAACCATCAATTCCAATATTTCCGTTTACCTTAGCCCCGAGCGCTACGGACGCGGTCGTTATACACGAGCCGACTTCGTGGCCGGAATAGCCTATGATGGTGTTCGGATAAGTCTTGCGCAGCGTCTTGATCATGTTCAGGTTGGCCTCGTCCGGTGGTGTCGGGTACGCGGACACGCAGTGCAACAGCGCGAAGTGATTGTGATGCCGGCTGACCGTCTCGTACGTGATCCGTATGTCGGCCAACGTCTGCATGCCGGTGGATATGACCAGCGGCACGTAGGTCTTGGCCGCCTTTTCCAGTAACATCACGTTGCCGGATTCGCCCGAACCGATTTTCACGAACGGCACTTTGAGGGCGACGATGAAATCCAACGAAACCTGAAAATTGACAATGTATCACTGTCACGGCCATTTCGCGTGTAGTTGTCGTCGTTGTCACGAAAAATCTCATACGGGCCATGTTTGCGATTGTAAGATTTCGGAATCCCCGAGTAATTCGGACGAAAAAAAAAATGAGCTGTACCACGTCAATAACTCCTGTATACGGTATCTTCATCGCAGAATTAATGAGAAATATAAAATAAAACCTCTTGTGTTACCTAAACAAATGTATAGATAACACATGATATCCTATACATCGCATTTTAAATACGCCTCGTATGTGATTAGAAACATCTCCTAAGTAATTGAAAATTCGATCTAAATTACATTGGAGATTTTCGTATACAAATATGCAACGGTCAATGTAGTGTGAAATTTACGTATAGGAGATTATTCAGGGTAATTTTATTTAATTTTTTTTTTTTTTTTAATTATTCAAAGTAGATACAAACCTATCTAATGCGATACTGATTACCATTGAAAAATCTCCTCTGTAGATTTAGCAAAAAATATAAACTAATAAAACTTATTACATATTTGACGAAACATTGACAATTAATACGATATTTTTCCATTATTGTTAAGTTTTTGATCCAATTTTTTTTTTTTTTTTTAACAAAAAAAATATGTTATATAAATTGACAAATTTAAAATGTATTTATGTCAATCGTTGGCGGTTTTTAACTTTAATTTTTTTTTTTTTTTTTAGAAAGTTTCTCGTTTCTTCCGAAAAATTGTGTTTTATGGCGCAGGAGGTTTTTTTTTTTTGTCGACAACGATATTATAAATATGTCACTGCCGTGCGGTTTACCGGGTCCATTGCCGACGCGGTAAAATGAATGCCGACTTTTTTCGCATACTTCCGAAGCTCCTTATATTGTTCTTCGGTAAACTCCAAGAAACGTTTGTGTTCACCGTAAGTCGAACCAAATGAATTTTTACTATTGTACGGTCTATTTAACGCTAGAAGCGTAAATTTTTCCACTAGGCAACTTTTTTGGAATTTTACGCAATCTGCGCCGCATTTCTAAAATAACAAACACAATAATATAATAACAAGTTAGGTACATAGTTTTTAAATTCTGAGCCTAGCGAGGAATATATTGGTTTTAACATGATGTATGTTTTTTTATTTAGTTGTATTTTTTTATTTGTTGTGTCACAGACTCAACAACTTTTCTTAAAGAAATCTTGCTCCAACCTAATGACAATAGAGCTTTTTTTGTTGCAATTTATATCACATTAGTGAGATTGGTCGTTTTTTGATTTTTCCTGTTGTTTTCCTAATAATTGAACAAAACCGGGAAGAAACGTAGACAAAACGGGGAAATAATATGGAAACTATTTTTATTTATTGGTTAATGCTCAAAAAAACATACGAAATATACCAGGTGATTCATTTAAGTGGGTAAACTCGTCATCTCGGAAAATATCAACTTTTCCGTAAAATAATATTATTGATAGGTACTCATATATTATAACAGTACCTATACATTTACTGTTCGACGGACTCACTTTTGCTAATTTGATCAATTTTTTGGCCATCATAATGTCTCCTTGATGATTTTGTCCTATTTCAGCGATAATATAACACGGACTTTTGAAATTTACAGATCGTCCCAGATTGATTTCGGACACATAATCCGAACACTCTTTTATTGGATTATTGATGTAAGGCATATATGACGTATAGTTTTTCAGTCTACAGTCAAAATATAATATTATGTTAATAACATTCGGTATTACAAATTAATATTATTTCATAATTTAAAATCAATTATAAATACCCACTCGTTTTAATGAACATTAATTATTCTAGAATGAATATAAGAGTGAGTTTTACTTATAACTACAAAGTAAATCATAAATGAACAAATAATATTCACCGAATTAGATATTAATTATTTATACCATCCAGAGTCAAGGTAGAAAACGCTCCAGAAGATCACAGGGTCATTCCCAGGCATTTAACTTTTCAGGCAATTGGGCCACCGTGATACCGAGTGGTTTCGCGATGCGCCCATCAAAATTAAATTATTTATGTGTACCCTAAGAGGAAAACGAAATTTTGTATCATATGTTCTAGAAATATTTTACAATTTTTTCCAGAGAGAAATGTTTATCCTTCATGTCATACTACTATGACAAAAGTTAGTTCAAATTGAAAAGCATAAAATCATCTAATTTGTGAACAATAATAAGATATTTTTGGTATCAAAAAATTAAAATCGCAAGTGAAAGTAATATTTAATTTATGTGGAAAATTTGATTTCTTAAAATTATAAAAAAATGTAGGAAAAATTCCTAAGGAGTTTTTGATTGTAACAAGCCTTCTGGTCAAAAATTGTATTGTGACTGCTCACCTTGGTAATTACTTACTCATTATGAGGAACGAACGGCTCCAATTTCGACCGTCCAGATTAAAGTAAATAGATTACGTGAAGTTTACCCACCTTCTTTCTTTTGATCACTGACGCAAAATTAATAACTTGCAAATTTCAAAGACAAACTTGCAAATTATTGTTAATTACTTACTAAATATTGACATAAGTTTCATGGATTTTTGGTAAGGTGAGTGGGCCAACTTCACGGCGATCGTTTTTTTTTTTTTTAATATTATTTTACGAAAGATTTAACCTCCAGTACTTACCCTTCAAAATCAGACACAAATATTGGATCGTCTTCGTCAACTTCGGACAATAACTGTCGACCAATCACTATAGAAAAATAAAACCCGCACATACTCTGGGTGTCGCTAACTTTGATTTTCATATCTTCTGCTTTTAGTATTGAACCGCGTTCTAAATTTTTCGACGCTACAACGCTTTTGAACAATTTTTTGAAACACGGTAATTCTGAGGGGGAAAGTTTGTCTTTTTTACCCGTTCCCAGTGCAACTTCGACGGTCCTAATATTAGCTATCATTGTACGTAGATCTCTAGTACGAATAGACGTTGCGTGATCAAAACCAGGGCGTTTATCGTCCAATGTAAACTTGCAAGATATGGCCTAATATAAACAAAAAAAAAATATACACGTCCTAGATTAAAGACAAATTCAAACTGATTTAGTTGAAGCTAATATTATAAGGTACAATGTTAATATTAATTGCTCAATGTTCAATTTAATATTTTAATTTATATCCATTCGTAATCGATTTAAGTATTTCAGTATTTATTTAATCTTATTACGTAACCATGTGTGTATAAATTAGTTTCGTTATTAATAAGCTCGCGTGCGCTGTCTCCGTCTTACTAACGCGCGACACAGCACATTTTAGTGATTTTACCTCTTATTAAATATCAATTATTCTTTCTCATTAATGATTGAAAACAAAAGTATTCCTCCTAAGTTATAATACAGCTGTAAAATGAGATTGTAATTTAATTTTAAATACAAATAATTTAAAAATAATTACTTTTATTCCTATAGCAACAACAACTTCGAGAAGACACGTGGTCATTTCTTGAAATTCCCAAAACTGAAGTTCGTGTTTGGGAAATTTTTGCTGTATTTTCTCCACTAAATCAACGGTTTCGTACGTTTTACTGTTTTCAGCTTTGTCTTTTTCTGAAACGAATGTAGGAATCACTTGTATCATATCAGACATATTATTACTATCATATAGGATATCGTCCTCGGCGTCGTTTATATTCTTAAACTGTTGTATTGGAGATATTTGACGAATCGAGTCCTAAAAAATGTATGTAAAAACCAGTAATAGTAATACTTTCTATACGAATTTTGTATTTTACGAACCCAAAACGATTTGGTCGTAAAAACCGCTCCGTTTTCTTCGGCTAATTTATGAAAATTGGTAATATCTTCATTGGAAAACGAACTGGTATTGTTGTCTAGTTCCATAAAAACATAATCCGCCCCGCATTTCTAACAAAATCACAATTCGTATTTTATTAAATTATAATAATATATGACACTAGCTGACATTGCAACGCTTTGCTATTGTAAACAATAATAATAGTAGTTTTCCGTGATAACCAAATTATCATCTGTACTGCCAAGGCAACACGAATAAACAAAAATAAACAAATAAATTTACATAAATAATTAGATATTTCTATCGAAAATACCTAAAAACCCCTACATGGTTCACCGGATTGAGAATGAAATGTTACGTCAAAATTTGAAAATTATTGGTATAGAGTTTTCGAGAGTTGAATCTAAGCACAAACCAACATATAATTTCTATTTTTACATTTTATTTCTCTTATATTTGAGCATTGTTTGTAATAAAAGAGTAATTTACAAAACTCTTATTTGATATCATATACAAATTCAGTTTTTTCCCGGTACATCCAAAGAATTTAAAAATTTAGTTGGAAAATGTATGGTTTCGTTTTCATCAACAATAATGTCGATTGATTTAAAAGACATCAGATCACTTGGCAAAACCTGTTATATCTGAAAGTTAAATTCGTCAACATCAATATTGTTTGCTGCCAGAATAGCACGATTACCAAATAGTGATTCAAATAGTTATTCAGTGAATCCGGGAAGACTTTCTCAATTAATTCATTTTTTATCTGAACGACAGTGCATTTGTCTGGCAATTTGATGCATTGTGTGTTTGGATGCACTTCTAATTCACCGTTTCCAATATTCAGCAATTGAAAATATTTGTGCCGATGGATCATTTCGCAATTGTACTCGCGTGTTTGCGGTCAATCAAAGTGTTTCGACAAAACGCCATTAAAAACGATTGTTTTAAACATGCGTTAATCTCATCGGCAACGGCAGAGCAAGAAATGGCTGGCAATGTCTGTAGGTAATCACCAGACAATAGTAAAACAGCACCACTGAAAAGTTGATCGTTATTGTTCAAATCTTATATAGTTCTATGTAATGTTTCGAGTGAATGTTCATGAGCCATAGTACACTCATCCCAGATTATTATTGAACTCTTTTACAACACTGTAACAATTCGGCTTCTTTTTTTAATGTTACACATTGCATTTGGATTGTTGTGAATTTCGAATGGCAGGTTCGAGGTTCTCATGCACGACTCTCTGCTGATCTGATTCTTTGAGCTGCCTTTCTTGCCGTGATTCATTCTACCAATTGATGACTTCTTACAGCACGGCCGCGTCGTGCCGCTTTGCTATACTGATTGTTGAGGTCAGATTTTTTTGGCGACATTTTATATCCAGCAAAAAGTGTTATAATGTATTATATTACAATAACAAAACAATAACAATATTTAAATATGCATTGACGTGATTATACGTTACTGCGTAACTTACAACGCCATCTGTGAGAAACTCGTGAAACGTACAAATAATTGCCATTTGAACAACAATGAACAATTTAATTTGCAATAAAAACATACACCGAGGTCGTTAATCGAGACGGCGGCTATCTTTAAAACTGGTCCGAATCGCACGCATCGAGCGCTACCATCAAAATCGGTCGACTGGTTTCGCAGTGCATCGCGCCTCGCAACTCGCCGTACGCGCGATTTATATGTATGTGTGTACATAAGATACGATTATGTAATGTGAAATCCAGTCGGACGAAACGGCAGACGATCGAGACCCACCGAATGACTACCGGGGAAGTTGGTCGATCGAACACGACTGAATCGGAATGGTCAAGAAGGCCGAATATTTAGGGATGATCTCGGAGACAGTACGAAGTCGCAGGTCGCAGACAGCTTGGTGGTATTACGATCACCCGTCTACCAGAGAGCAATGCTACATGAAGGTACGCTGCCACCCGCCCACCACGGGGCGCATACAATTATGCCACCCTCGCGATAATGACCATTGCCCTGTTTTTTTTTTTTTATCGAAATGCGTATACTTAGTACACACTTAGCGATTCTGTTCATCCAACATAATGTACGGAAAAAAATGTTAAAAAAAAATGTATTAATACGAAATGCTGATTTCCTCGACAACACCAATGGAGGTTTAACAGACTTTTCATTTTCAAAAATTTTAATTCCTTCATTTTTTTGTTTTTTGTTTTTAAAAAAAAAACACAAATAACTATAATAAAAAAAAAAACGTGTTTAAAACGTTTATGTATTTTACAGTGGCTTTTTTTGTGTGCGCTGCAACACACTTTGTGCACTACGAAAAGTTAAAATGTGCACCTGCCACCTGCTAATTTATTATAGACGAGCCGCGAGGTTCCGCAGATGTAAGGAAAACATTTTTTATATATATAATTTACAGTGTGATCAATCCTCGATAATGACGCTCATTATCTCGGAAAGTATTTACTTTTTAGGCATTTTTTTTTTAATAACGTATAAAACAAATAGCTCTAAAATTTTACATTACCGTTATGTTTTTTTTTATTTTTATTTTCGGTGGTGAAACTACTATTTTTGATTTTCGAATAGCGCCCTACGTTAGAAATTCCATAAATAGATGACGTTTTAGTTCAAATACATTTTGCTGTTAAAAATGTCTAATATCCATCAACGTCGCGTGTATACACCGAACTCAAATATATATAATGTTTAAAACAAGAGGTCGTATTTAAAACGTTTCAAACAAATTGTATTAAACACTTGCAACGCTGACAATACAGAAACCTATAAATAATCACGCGAATTTACGATTTCGAAAACGAAAATGTTTCAAGAAAAATGTTAACGGTAAATCGGTCGTGTATTTTAAGTCGATAACGACGCGTCATGTACAAAAAACGAATGATTTTTGGATTCTGAGCAAAGCTATTGAAATGTATTAGTTTTGCTATGGGTATAGGTAACATTATGTGTTTATTTTTTCTGTCTGCAAGCAACAATTCTACCAGAAATCATGCTCCGGTTCTCGAGTGCAATTGATTTTTTTTCTGAAAACGAATTGTGGCCGGGTTAGTGGAATAGAGTTATTTTTAGATTTTCTTTGTAGTTTTCTTAATTGTTGAGAAAAACCGGGAACATACGTAGGGAAATTTACGGCAATAACGATTTCAATGATTACGGTTGTGTTTTTGTTTGTTTTTTTGAAAGTCTGTTAAAAATTATCGCAATTATCGTAGAGACCTGCAATGTTCACATAATAATTATATTAGCCGTATCTAGACGCGGTAGAAATTTCAAATTTTCGATTTTCGTGTTAATTATAGGTATATTCGATATTTACTGTACAGTTTTCTACGGTTTGATTCGATTTCATGTGGACGAAATTGTTTTGGCCGAGCGGAAATGCTTGAAAATTAAACGCGCGGTTCATCAGAAATATAAGTAGTACTTGGTAATATGTATATAAAAAAAAAAAAAAAAATAGTCGATCATAACGAAACGGTTTTTTTTCGTAAGATCTTAAAGTTCAATTTTTTAACGAAAGTCGTGAAAAACACGGTTGGCATTTCGACGTGTATTTGTCCGGACTTCACTCAGAATCGTGCTTCGTGAGCAATTGTCTATCGTTGCGCGACTGCGGATTTGAATTACATAAATCTCTGTACCCATCCTATTTTCCCAACTTTTGTATTTCTATTATTATTGCGTATAGGTATAATAATAATGGCTCACGCATGCTTCTTCGATCATCTCGTTGGCCAGCGACACGTTCCCTTCGTGATTCGTCGACATGTTCGCAATGACGTACACCCGATTATCGTTCTTCGTCATGTTGCAAAGGCGGCGGCGGCGGCGGTGTTGGCGACGACGACGTCTGTGCGAATCGGGGCGGACCGGACGGTAGGGAGTAGCCGTTTCACGCGTATCGATTTCTTTAGCCGCCACAAGTGGCCAAAGACTCGTCAAGCCCGGGCCGCCGTCCAAAGACGTTGCCAACTGATCGCTGCCGATAAGTTAACACGGCTATGATAACGACGATAACAATAATATTATTGTTATTGAAAAATGTAATGGTTTCGTCGCAGATGCGTGCGTCGGAACGGTCGGAATCTACGGCGTCGAACGTCGAATCCAGCACTTGAGAGCCGAGAAGATACTGTCGAGTACCCGTTATCGTTCGCCACCAACGAAACCCATGTCGTTTCAGGATCCGACGTTCGTCGGTAACACCCACGAGTTCCAGGTTAAACGGACCAATCTGTTTGCCGTGCTGGACCAAGCGGAAAAAGATCTGGAATCGAAAATCAAAAAGACCATGCCGACCAACGTACAAGATATACTACACAGCGGCGGTGTGGTACGCAGCAGGTCCGGCCATTCGCGGACCCGACAGTTCCGTGGCAAAGACAGTTTGTTCGTCAAACCTGAAATACCGCCTTTGCGTATACTCGTCAAGCACCAAGCGCCAGATTTCAAATTGCATCCTCACAAATGGACCAAATACTCGTTGGCGGATGTTAACGAGATGAACGACAAGAGCAACGCGGCCGCTGCGTGTGCGTTCCTCAAAGAAATGGAAACCAGAAAAGGCCAGGGCGACGAAGACAATGACGGAAACGGAGAAACAAAGAAAATATTGTTTAAGAGGGTGGTGAAACCGAAAGAACAGCTGAAAGAACCCGATTCAAAAGCGATTTTTAAGAGCAGTAAACTGGTCATGCCGGAATATGAATTCGGCAAAAAGGTACAGAAGAAAAAAAACCGACCCGAAAGTAAACCAGACGAAACCACTAGCAGCAATAAACAAATCACACTTGGACATTTAATGGAAGAAGATGAATCGGACGAGTAGATAATGAAATTAAATAGCATTATGTTGTGTATAATTTGTAAATACCCTTTTTATTTGTATATGTATATGTTTTATAATATTAACATACTTGGGTAAGTTTTATTACCATAAATACTTTTTTGAAGAAGAAGAAGAAGAAGAATATTTATTTATTCAATTACAAATGTAACATTCTAGTTCATAATTCGACTTGGTTAAAAATGGTTATTTTCTAAAGCGTATATCAATTTCAATATTTTATGATACAGATTAGCCTAGTCAATAGTAATAATAATTGCTATCAATAAATCTTTTATAAATTCATTGGACCTTCAAACACATACGATTTGACTGAAACAAAATCAAATAAATGATCACTGTGAAAAAATGATAGTTCATAAATTAACATAAAAATTAATTATTTAAAAAATAATTTTGAATATTAATTAAAGATTAAGATCTTATGTACAAAAAAACAGTAGCTTATAAAAAAATGTCGGACAGTATTGAATGTGGTTAGATAAAGTAGAGAGAAGCATTGAGGTGTTTTATGCGACAGTAGAATTCCGATGGGACTTAAAGATAAGTTCTATAAGAGTGTAACTAGGCGTGTTGTATGATTTGGAGTGCTAGACAGAAAATTAGTGTAGTGGAAATAAGAAGCTTATTCCACAAAAGAAGATAGAATAAGGAACAATTTAGAAGCGTAGTTATCATAGGGAAAATCGGGGCAGTACCCTGTCCCCGGAGCTCAGGGTCCTTAAGAAATTATTCTGAAATTACTTCTTTAAGAAAATTGCAAATTTTTATGTATTTAAAAATGAATATTCCAAATCATACGTGGTAATTCCAGTCCGAATCGATATGAAAATAGAATAATAATGCAATGGACGTTACATAGTAACCATACCATGACAACCGCGATCCGCGATAAAAGACAGCCGAAATATTTATTATCAAGTACATAATAAATTGTAAAAATAGTCCATATTCTATTGACAATATTATAATACTGTTGAGTCAAATACCTATTATCAAACACAAATATTTCCGGATCAGTACATCAGTCATCAGTAACATTACAGTCTACTAATAAAATTAATTCATTTTTAGGTACTTTGTAGGTATATTTATTAATTATCTGTTTATTATTTTCATTTGTGGTTCCCGAGTAAGTATTCACAATTGAAAAAACAGTGTAACGAGTAAGGTATATTTCAAATTTTCATACAAATTATATTAGTTAGAGAGCCTAGTTTCTTAATTGCCCGAGTTCATTTCCATAGCTAAACTACTGGCACAATTACATGAGATAGTAGACAAAATTATAAAATATTCTTAAAAAAAGCACGCATCATAATAACTACAATACAATTTTAAAAAACATGCTTATAGTAAATAATAATAAAGTGTTAATACAAAGTATAATAATATAGATACAATGGTATACACTGCATAAGCATTAATTTGCGATAATCACTAAGTATTTATGTTAGTGCTCCATCAAAACGTAAAAAAAGCCCCAATGCTTGAATGTATGTTATCATTTTTATTCACACTTTCTATTATTATTTATTTTTAGTTTTTAAGTAAGCATGGTTTTTGTATTTTCTTTTTTCTTTATGTTATAAATATAACGTTTATTTCTATTGAGTGAAAACAAATTTTTTAGGAAAATGGAAAACCTACACTATACGATCTATAAGTTCATATAGTTATTACTATATAAACTGTATGAAGCACTTGTCAGTATTTTAAAATTTTTCTCGTAATCCATATGGGGTGAAAACTGATAATCTGATTCTCTACTTGTATTACCATAGAAAATATAATTTCACGACAAATGCCGAGCTGATCAAATTACGGATCATAAATCAATCACAAGTTTGGATTAAAGTCTTCTGTGCAAGCAAGTTAATATAAGCCATGGTAAAATAAAAAAAAAAAAAAAAAGGAATATAGAAAAATATAACGTTTTTATTGAAATATTGTGGAATATGATTTTAAGGAAAAATAACTTGAATAAAAATACACAAAATATAAAATATGTAACAATTTTAGCAACCATCCCTATTTACTAAAAATAAAACAATATATTATAGGCTTAAGTATTAAATATTGTGTAATAGTTAAACAATTATTATACATTATATAAGCCAAAAAAAATAGGATTTGAAACAACTCATACACATGTGTTTAAATTGGTATTGATAAATTATATATTTCTCCCATATTTGTAATAACAGTAATACAATATAAAATACAAATTATTGTTACTATAACTTGATTAAAAATGAAATAAAGTAAAAATATAAAACATTTAAACACATAGGTAAATTTATGAATTCAAATTAACAGAATTTGTTAAAAAAAAATTATAATCTAAGAGTTATAAAAAATAAATACAAATATAGGATAATTTTTAAAAATGGTAATGGTAATGTAATATTACACAAATTATTATTGTAATAATGCTGACGAAATGGGCATAATTAAATGCTTAAAATACTTAATATTATACAAATGTATAAACATAAAGATTATAAAAAGTTGTCTAAGAAGATTGGAGAGTTAATAAATAATATTATGAAAAAATAATGTGATGAAAATTAAAAAAAAAAAAAAACAATAATTGCACTAAAAATAGTATAGAAATATGCAATTGAACTAGAGTTATAAATCACAGTTTTATCAATTAAATAAATATATAAGGCACATAATTTCAATGGCAACAATTAATTTTGTTAATTAATGCTTTAAAAAATAATTCACTTTTATAAATCACCCTGAAAGCCAAATTAATATAAATATAATTTATTTTATAAAAATACATTCAATAATTTAAAATTTGTTCCAATTTATGTTGTATACTTGAGAGTTATTAATACTGCAGTTCTGCTTAATTGTACTACTAGTGAATATTTTATTTTTGACTTAGTATTCGATAAATATGTTAAAAGTTTGAATAAAAAAAATATATATATGTGTATTTTAAAATGCCAATGACACATAAATGTACACTTTTATATACCATCTGCAATATTCGTTGGTATGACAAATACAATCTCATCGTTATCATCTCTTTTTGAAAACTTGCAGTTGGTATTTGATCAATTTTACGCTTTTATATACGGATGGACTGCAAAATTCGAAGGCAAGATGAATACAATGCCATTGTTATCGTCTTTTCGAAAACTAGCAGTTGATGTTTGGGGATTCACTTCTACACGAATTATTCGAGATTTTTTGCCCAACATACAATTAAACTTATTAGACACATTCACTGGTAACTCCGAGTTCCTTAATCTAAAAATGAACAATACAATTTAATTTCTTCAAAACAATCAATTTGATAATAATAAACAAAATATATCACATAAATCTTAGAAATTGAGTAAAATTTATAAGAGTAACGGATCATATTCAATTGTTGTGTTATTTTAAATTAAATAAATAATATTTTTTATTGCACAAAAAATAGTAAACATTGTCTTACTGGAAGTATCTGGTGCTGATAACTCCAATGAGTTCGCCAATTCTGTCTTCATTTGGGTCAGTTGTTGATTTTAAAGTTACTACAAGATCATTACCTCGATTAGAATGAATCACAACTAATTGATCTTGACCAGGACTTACACTTATCCCAGTAATCTAACATCAAAAAAGATAAAAATTATACACTTGCATCTTTACTTTAATCAACCGCTTTACTTCTTGTATGGGCATTCCTTTTTTCATTGGTTTAAACTTGGTAATGTCCAACTTGTAAATGGCCCAATCAGTTATTAATATTGCACGATCCGCACATTTATTAAAACGGTTCATTTTGTGAATGAAACTCGAAAACAACACCTACATTAAAACAATTTAGTCACAATTAATAATATTAAAGTTTACTGAAATTAATGATCAGTCAGTACTTGATTAAATCGATCAGAGTTTTTAAGATTATTTAATGCGACTGTGTAATTAGCGTTTTCTATGTTCTCTGTTGGCGACGAAAGATAATCATTTCTCCACATGCGCTCGGCACCCCAACTAGGCCGTTTTCCTAATAATAAAGACGCAGCGTACACTTTACATTGCAGTTGTGGCCATTCACTTCTTGGGTATGGACTTAAAAGTTTGTACGCTTTCCACCTTTTGTATATAATCCTCAATGACGGTTCCAATTTACAAACAGCAAAATTTGACTGTGGCCAAACTATTGACTCTTTATGGCGAGCATTTAGTTCACAAATTCTAAAACAAATTAATTCAATTAGTATTAGAATTATATTATTAAAATTAAAAATGTTAAGCTCACCTATGAGCTTCCAGGACAGACTTGATATAGGAGCGAATTTTATAACGTCTATAGAATTTTATTATGAAATAAGCAGCTTTCATTTTTTTAAATTTGGCTCTACAAATAGCACCACGCCACTGTTTTTGTAATAATACAACAATAGCTGGAATTAGTTCTGCTCTCATCTGAAAACAAAATTGACATTTTGACTTATGTTTATAAGTTATAAGATTTCAAATACCTTTTCCAGTGCAAATAATGTTTGAGGTGATCTAATAAATATTTTTGTTTTTCCATACTTGACATCGTTAGAAAAATTATTTTCATCTATTAAAGCCCTGGTAGCATCTTTATCGCTACATTTATAATTGGGCCAAGTAAATCCACTTATCATTTTATACCTGAATGTATCATTATAGCTTATTATGCATTTTAATTAAATGGAAATAGTATAAAATTCACACAAACCTTTTTAAAAATCTACTGTAGGGTTGTCTATGAGCAAAACCAGCTCTTCGTACTCGAACATTTTCCAATAAACCTAAATAAGATACTTGATGAACGACTCTTTTATAGTCTATTCCAACAGGTGTCTTATTTTCATTTGGTTTTATACATCTTACATAATATGGCATTTTACAATTCAATGTCTTAACCAAAGCGATCATCGATGTTTTAAATGCACTTCCAGCAGTTACAGGTCTTTTAGTAGTCTATGAAAATCAATTAAATTCAAGTTATATTCAGGTAGATTGTTTTACATTATAATAATATACTTACTGATTTTATATCTAAGGCACCTTCAGGCCACATATCCCTAATAATGGGATTCTTTGACGAGTATAGTAGTCGTTTGAAATCTTGAAACAGTGTATCTTTATTTTTTTCCAAAAACCCATAAATATTATACACAACATCTCCTGCATAATGTCTTTAAAAAATTAAAATAGCAATTAAGAAAAACCAACAAAAAAATGAATGTTATTAGTTGTGGTTTACTATTAAATATAGGCATTACCGTATTTTGAATTGAGTTTTATGTTTCAAATCTTTATCTAATGTGTTAATTTGTCTGCTAGAATAGTGTTTGTGATGTGAAAGTTTTAAATCCATTGCTTCCAATAACATCTAATCAAATACATGTGAGTTATGAAATAATTTCAAGTTTATTATACTCAGTGTGATTATTTCAAATACTTCATCATTTATTTTCCCAACATTCAAGCATGCTTCGTCCATTATTGCAATTACACCTTGGTGTGATTTTTCTACAAGATCACAAATCACTTGGTTGTTAAAATATTTAATTTCTTGCCATTCTATGCCTTCCTTTTTGTACTCTTCTTGCTCTTGACGTAATACCAAATCTATGCATTTAATATTACATAATAAATATATATATTAATTCATTATATTGTGTTTAGGAATCCATATATTGCACATTTCATATTTAACATGCCTATTTCACAAAAATTTAATTTTCTAAATCCAATACCTTTTAAAATATATTTAATTAATTTAAAAGTACATGTACTGAACTTGAATTATTACTTTTTAATGCAATATTTCAAAGAAAATGATTGAAATAATTTGAAATGATTCAAAGTTAACATGTCTTAATTAGTAAATGCTTATAAACATTGCAGTACCTATGAACACTTGTTGAAGCTTTTCGTTACAATAATTTATGCAAAATTGTTCAAAGCTGTTATGTTCAAATACTTCAAATCCATAAATGTCTAATACTCCAATCACAGTTCCGCTATTGTATTTATTATTTTCAATGTATGGTATTAAGGCCTCGTTGACCTTGCCCACGATCCATGTGAATAACCGATCATATATTGCCTAGACATAATATGACAAATATATAAGTAATGTTTTTTTTATAGAACAAAAAGTAATAAGTCATTATTATAACAATACTTTTGCCAGAGCATCTCTGCCACCTTCGGCTTGAGATAATGTATGAGCTTTCTGTAATACTTCTCCATTAGCCGCAATTATACGTTTACTTAAAGCAGTTAAAAGGTCTTTAGTCTCAACTTCCAATAACTTAGATACTTGTTCAAGCGAATTTTTATGAGAACTAGTCACAGTTATTGTATCTTCATCATTAGTTGAAAACGTTACATTTCCCTAAAAATAATATAAACATTTTTAGTTTTATTATTGTTGAAATTTTGAAACACTTTAGTATTTACCAATTGTAAAATAGCAGCAACAATTCTCCAAATGGTTTTAATGTCAATAGGCGAAAACCCAAGTGTTTTGCACGCATTCAGGGTAGCTTGAAAATCAGATTTATCAGATGACGTGATTGTGGATTTTCCTTGTTGTGTATAATAATAATGTTGGGGGTCAGGATTTAATCCTAAATTGTTTGCTTCTTTATGTGTTGTATTAGCTAATGCCTTTAAACAGAAAAAACAAAGTCATTTAGTTATTAATTATTATATAATATATTACTTTTATTTTAATACCTGATAAAAGCTATGGAAATTTCGCTCTCCAAGTTGCTGTTGTATTACACGAGATTTTTCAAGCAAATAATTAATCACTCGTCCACCAATTGGATCTCCTTTAAAATCAAAATTTATATCCATATATTTTCCAAATCTAGAGGAGTTATCATTCCTATTGGTTTTAGCATTCCCAAATGTTTCCAAAATGATGTTTGACTGAATTAAGATGTTTTTTACTCTGTATAATTTATGAAAATTAAAAAAGAAATATTTTTCAATATTGGTATTATAATTTACCGTTCTACTTCTTGTTGGCCAGTTAAGTTAGTTACAGCAGCAATATACTTCATGATAATTTTAGATGCTTCAGTTTTACCACTGCCTGATTCACCACTAATGACAATGCAAGAATCTTGCTTGTGCATTTTCATGCTACGATGTGCAGAGTCAGCTATTGCAAATATATGTGCAGGGTTTTCAAAAATCTCTCTTCCTTCATGCATAGGGCACAACATAAAAAGTGTAAAAGGTAAATTAAAAATTGGCAAAAACAAAACTTTCAGAAAATAATATAGGAGTTTAATGTTTTACCTTTATATTGATTTACGTAGTCTTGGCCAAATATATTTAAAGTGCGATATGGATTTACAGAAATACAAACTTCGCCAATATAGGTGTAAATAAAGCCAGAGCTAAATCTAATCAACATAAATAAAACAAAACAGATAAATATTAAACAAAAAATTATTTGAACAATACTAAAGTAAATGTAAATTCAAGAATCTTAAATGTATTATTCTCATAATATCGGAGATAAGCAAACCATGCGTGACTTTTATAATTATATAATATATTATATACTGTATAAAGTAATATATATATATATATATATGTATATATGTAAGTTTTTATAACATACATTGTATAATACATTAATAATATGAATTGGCGCCCACACAAAAATTATTTTATTTTTGCCATTTGACAATTGCGTATTTTAACCGCAAATAAACTTTGTTGGCGCCGGAACAAAAATTGAATCATGGGGGCTGAACATATTATAATTATTATTAGTATATTAAATATATTTTTAAATGCCTATCAAAATTTAAATATTTTTAATTTTTTTTTTTTTTAGGAGATGATTGAAATTAATGGAAATAGTATTGAATAAAAAGTCTTTAATAAAACTTTTTTTTATTATAATATTTTTATTTGCAATATATTTATCAGTCTTTAATAAAAAGTTAATTTCAAATATAATAGATACTTTATTTATAATATAGATAACATTTAACATTTCCGTTTTAAAATCAATTCTATTTTATGAGTGTTGTGTGTAAATTACCATTTACCAACAGTTTCCAGATAATACACACATAGTGAATCTAGCTTAATTTTAAAAAAAACATTTTCTCAAAAGATTTTAAGTGAATTTGATTCCTGTTTTTTTTTTTTTTTATCCTTGCAGTATTATTTTAACATTATTTTCAATGTTTCATCCATACCCCTTATACCTAAAATGAGTATCCATTTCATCAACCACAGATTCAAAAAGAGGATATTTTTCTATGCATAACACTAATATAGGATTTACCATTTATGAATTATAACAATTTAACGTTGAAACCAGAGGAATAGGGAAGAATAATTATCAATTTATCATTATAGATAAATTATATAGATAATTTATTACCGTTCCCTACTCTTCTGGTCTAAACTTTGAACAGTTATAACTCATTAATGGTATATCTGATATAAATGTTATAGGTACCTACATATCAAAATGTCAAGAAAAATATTCTCTATTCGAATCTAAGATCAAAAAGGAATTCATATTTTAAAAACAAAATTATATACTTATTTAAGTAAATTTAGTAGGAGTAAAAATTAAAAATGGTTTTAAAATAAAGCTTAAATAGTTCCACAGTGATAAGAAATAAAAACAAATTAAATTCACTCAAAGTCCTCCAAGAAAATTGCTGGTTCACCATCAAAAAAAATCAGTCCTTATACACAATATAAGGTATGTATACCTTATACTTACATATTACATGCATGTGATTTTCAAAAAAAAAAACAATGTTTAAGAGACATTTTTATGGCGGTTGACTCCATTATTCCGGCACCCCTATCTGTGGTATAAGATAAGACCGCAATATTTATTTAAAAAATGTCCGTGGTGCCGGGAACCTTGTTCCCGAGGAGATTCGTGCTATCAATACCGACAGCAAACCTTAGGGCTAAGCAACGCCACCGGATCATGTTCAGTTTTAGAACGTCGCTGCAGGCAGACAAGATGATAAGCTTAGGATAATGATTAGGTTGATTAGGGAAAGTCGATTTAATATGTGAGTGACAAAATAAAAATGTGTTTAGGAGATCGACCCAAAGTTTTCAAAATAAGATCAAATATATCACACATAATTATAAAAAAAATAAAACCCTAATTTACCTCCCTTTTCTTCATAATTTCTTAACGGATACCAGCTACATCATATAGATATCTACTTTAAATACAAATTATTGTCTTTTAAATAAAAACACATCAACTATAATAACTACACATTTAATTTTTTTTTTTTTTATTAAAAAAGCTAAATTAAAAGACTAAATGAAGATTATCTATGTGAATTTGTGAATTATTTAATTTTTTTTTTTTAAGTTAAAAATAATAACATACAAAATGGTATACAGCACAATAAGAATTTAATAAAAAAAAATGATACACGAAATATTAAAAAAGTACGGGTAGTGTCGTATGTACCTAAATCTGGAAAACACGTAGATATCGAAATAAAAAACTATCTTATCCCTCGAGTTGGGCACACATTGAGCAAAATTTTATCAAGGTCGATGAGGTAGTTTCGAAGTTTATCGCGAAATGACAAACGTCGTGAGACGGAATTTATACATAATATATAATATAAAATTGTAAATGCTTAGGAATTAGTTTAGCGAACAAACGTCTACTGGTTTTAAATTAATTTTTTTGTGAATATTAAATAAAGCTAACTCGTGTTAACGATTTTCTCACATCGTCATTGTCAAATACCATTTAATATTTTTTTTTAACGGAACTTACAAACTTATAGAAGCGTGCTTTAAAAGTCTGAAAAGTACAAAAATGGAACGTTACATCGCGGAAGTTAAAAACTCTTAAATGTACAAAAATATGGAAATTCAGTAAAAACCAACGGTGTAATAAACTATATAAATTGCTTCGTACACTTCGACCTTGTAAAAACTTTGGAACACAAAACGAATTGAAAGGTTAAATATATATATATTAATTTGTAAGTATACCACAGAGCAATTTAAAATAACTTAATATAAACTTACATTACATACTATAACAGGTGAAATTACACTATAAAACAGGCACATTAAGACAATGAACAACCAGGGAAAAAGAAATCAAAAATCATTGGATATTATGGAAACGGATACTTCTCTGGATATTTCCAAACATATTATGTCGACATTTACTTATTCTTGCTGCGTTCCCTCCAGTTATTACCAGTAATTACTGTATGATATACCTGTGTCTTTAAAGTTAGTAGTTTGGAGTTTTTTTTTTTTTTAATGTTATGTTTTACACTACCCAGGGAGACTTGATATTTTCCCTTTTTATATTATCTGTGTTTAATTTGGTTTTATTCGACTAAAATTACATTGTGTAAGCAATAAAGTTTTAAACGGGATTTTCTATTGTATTAACCTTTACCTTGGTAATTCATTGTATTTTTTTATTTTTTGGCTTTCTTCCAAATAAAATGCATTTTTAAAAAAAAAAAAAGAACGGATATTAGTGATGGGTGTGCCACCGTATAATATATGGTTATTTAATTTTTTTCTGTACGCAACCATAAATCATTGATGACGAAATACGTCGAAAATGAGCTCGGTAAAAATGTTTTGAAATGCAATGATTTTTACGATTTTGTCAAAATTTAAACTTAAAATATTCATAAAAAAATTACTTCATTACGTTCGACTTTTTTTTTTAATATCTAATAAAACTTAAGATTAACTACGTGTTAAATTTTCAAGCATATCTGTTTGGCCAAAACAGTATTATCCACACAATCAAAAATAAAAAATGTAAAAAATGTTTATAAATAGTTTAAAAATCGGAAGAATGATTAGCCACGTCAAGAAAGTCCAATTTGAGTTCTTTGTAGAATTTCATATCTTAAAGATTATTTTCCCGATTTTCCTAATCAATAATAACTAATTGGAAAATTAATCTCCAATACACCAACTAGATCTAAAATACAACGAAAAATCCATCCTGTCGTTTTTTAATTGTTATCAGATTTCTGGTAAAAAATTTTAAAGAGCGTGACAGCCGCATGTGTTGTCTCCGTCTTATAAAACGTACAACAAAGTAAACTTGCGTTCAGCAGAAAAAACGTTAATGAGCTGATAGTTTTGATTAACAAACTTAAAGATGAGAATATTTAATAATGTCCAATACTTCCTTTAAAATTAAAATCAAGAAAAAAAAAAAGCGCCAAATACATAGATAATTGTCTTATCCATAAATTCAATAATAGGTCAAATCGCTCGTAAAATAAAACTTACAGCACAAAGTCGCGTCTCTTCTGAACTCACGCGAATAATAATACGTCTACTTAACGGACAGTAAAAATAAAAAAAACATAATATAGTAAAATCAATATATTTGCCGCTTCAACTCAGAATCTAAAATCGATACAACTTAGATCCTGTATTATTTTAGAAAAGCATTTGTAATTTAAACTAAATGGAAATAAAAAAAAGAAAAAACCATGCGCATTCAAATAGTTATTATTACATTAATTAAATAGAAATTACTTAAAATCTATAAGTTATAATCAATGAAAGTCGATGGAAAGAATATAACAATCAATTTCAGATTATCTTCTAGATATCTTTTAACTACAATTTAAATAAATAATAATCTATCGAGATATAGGTACTTGGTATGCTTTAGACAAATTTTAGACAATAACAATACTTAAGAGATTTTCTACATTTTTGATTACACGTATTCAAATCACACAAACTGAAAAATTTCAAGAAGAAAAATAAGTATTAATTTAGTTAAGAGGACGCCACACCCGCATCTACTGTCTCAGTCCAACTACCGTACAAAAACAAAAACAATACTTACACGCAGAGTAAGTAACATCAGCTTAATTTTGATTTTAGAGTAAAAGTACTAATTATACAATATATAGAAAACAATATTTTATAGGGTACCTCATCGAGTTTTCGTATTATTCTAAACATAAAGTTCGATATAAAAGGCACATAAAAATCTTTTTTTTTCTTTTTTTTAAATAATTATAACTTTTTTTAACAGTATTTAACACAATTAAAAAAAAAAAACAGAAAATCAAAATTAAGCTAATTTTAGTCAGTCTGCGTAAGCATTGTATTCGCACGTCGCCCCTTAGCTAGACCGAGTAGATGCGAGCGTGGCGTCTTTTTAATCGCAAAACGGACAATGAGCTAAGTACAAAACTCAAAAAAAATAATATTAATGTGAAAAAAAAAAAAGATTCGCACGATTCAAATAAATCGAATAATTAGTGTTACTCATTGAGATACTGAGAGAACATTAAATTAGGTATCGCCGACAGACACATAAATAAACACGTACCATTACTAAAACTACAATGGTAGACCACTGTTGTAGGTGAGAAGTTGGGAACGTAAGATATACAGCATAATTTAGTTCAAATACAGTTTGACTGTATACAAAGATAAATCATTGCAAACGAAAAACAATTCTGAATGGAATTCGATGTTTTTATAAAATTATATTAATTTATAACTGCAACATAAATTACATTCATCGTCCTCACGGGCTTTTACGGGCCATTTCAACTGCAACCAAACGTCTCCTCCGCCAGTACCTATCATAAATTACAATAACTGTAATAATTTGAACAACTTATTGTTCGTAAACAATGAGGCTCAATTTTTTTTTTCTATATATAACTAAGCTTAATCAAATATTCGAGTATAATTATACGAAGTCGAAAAAATGTTATATTCGGCTAAAACCAAAAACCTTCAAAAGTTTAAAATGCCTAGAAATAATACAAAAACACCGGAATATTTTGAACGTATCACGTCTAAAATATTATTCGTTACTGAATTATGAAAAAAAAAAAAAAAAAAAATCGAAAACGGTTACTACATAATTATTCCCGTTTTTACAACAGTTTTCCCCTATTAAGAAAAGTAAATCAAAAAAAAAATAACAATCCAAACGCAACAACCAGACGAAATTTGCTACCAGAAACCACCCCACATTGATGATCGGAGATACCTAACTTGTGCAAATAAGTTGAAACGTGCACACAAACAAAATGACATATTATCGTATTAAAACTAATACGACTTAACTCGGAATGAATTTGAAACGTGGAACCAATATTTATATGATGTAGAAAACCTATGACATTGAACTATTATTAAATTATGAGTTGTTCAAAGCGAATTTTTTCGACTTCTATTTGATAAGTCATATCGCAGTAGATAAAGAAGCAAAAAAAAAATAGATTATAAGACCAATATTAATTCTCACAGCCAATCTAATATGACATTACGCCCGAGTTTGTTAGAAATTTAATTGAAAGTAGCAAAGTACCTCTTGACAGGTAGGTAGGTAGGCAGATAGGTAGGTAAGTAGGTAGGTACCTACACATATCTCTCGGCAAATACTAAATTCTTGCCTAGGTATTTGTTTGGAACGTTAGGATGATATAAATGGCAAAAACGTAGAAGATATTTCGATTAGCTTTCATTGAGCATTCGTCTATTATGGGCATGCTGGCCAGAAACAAAAGTGAAATAAAACCAGTTGGAGTCAGCCAAGGGGAAATTTATCAAGTTTGACATCAGGATATAGAATTACTCTAACAGAACAGTAGTTAGGCGCCTAATGTTATTATTATTATTATTATTATTTTTTTTTTTTTGATAAATAATTATTTTGTCTTACGTATTACGGCTTTTGTTAAGATTTTCTTTGTTTTTATCTGTACCCAATTATCAACACCCCAAGTACCTGCATAATAAACGTTAGTAAAAAGTCGATGAGTAATTTTGTCAGAACAGACACCTACAAACACGTAACACAATAAATATACTATAGTATATTCCAAAATCAATGTTAATGCCTCTATTATTTGTTTAAATTAAGTAAATAATGTCAAAATTGAAAATTTGATAAAAGCTTTATTTTTTTTTTTTTTTTACCAAAATCTAAATTAATGCAAACAATATACGTACGAAGTACGATTTAACGGCGTTTAATTTGTATTATAGAAAGGTTAAGTGCAAAGGGGTACCGGATTCAATACAGTTCTGGGTATAACTAATAAACTAAAATTAATAACTAATAGTCATTAATTATTGTACGTTGTTTTTTTTTCTCTCGCGTGCGTCGGTGTGACGAAATAGTTTTTAAAAAAACATCACTGTAATAATCAAATATCTAAAATGAAAAATGCTTCATGTTGTTTATTATCGATTCAAAAGGTCAAATACATTTCTAGGATTTTCAATAATTTTAAGCGGAAAAATGCATGATACGTCTACGGGTCGACCCGACCATTAGACAATTATCAAGTAGATATAAGATTGGTACATTAGTGATAAATATGTATTTTTTTGAACTTAAAGGAAACATAAGAGATCAAATATAGATGTTATAATTTTAAGATTAAAACGCATTTGTTCGCCTCCGGTATATTACGATCTGACGATTATTTTTTTTTTTTTTAAATTGTTTATATCAAAAACGGTCGCGTATATAGACACAACCAGTGTTATCTCTGTACACATCGAGTTTTGTTTTTCTATAAATATATATATATATATTTGTTTCAACTTTGTTGATATTTTCACATAATTCATATTCGATTGATGTATATTTAAGTTGTGGATATTTTATATAATTTAAAACGACTTGTTTTTTTTTTTTTATTATTATTATTTATATTATTAATTATTGTTAATACGCGACAGAGCAAAACATATTAAGAATGAATTATCGTTATTATCATAATTTATTACAGACACAAAGGTTAATTCTACTTCGATGAGATTAAAACGTTGATAATAATAAAATATTCTCATCATTCTCGTCGATAATATTGTACCAACAATTGCCAAACATTATTTCAAACAGAAAAAATGATGATGTGTACGCCGTTTCGGACATTTTCAACTGAAAATCGTAGACGATAAAACGGCGTCGGTAAAAACATAAACGCCAACGAGATTACGACAGTCGCCGGAGCAATTAAATAATTTTCGAAATAATATTTTTTTGCCGACGCGCCATTTACAATGATGCCGAACCCGGCACGGCCGGAGACAGCGGTCATTTCTTACAAAAAACGGAAAGCGCACGGTGCGCTACGGTGTTCGCGATCCACTCGGCGCTCTATTTATTTCCATCGTCGGCGGCGACCGGGTATTTCGAACGAGACTGCGATAAAAAACGTTAATTTCGACCGTTCGGCGGCTCACGGTCCGTTGCGTATCACGACGCGACGGTCGTTTTGGTCTGAACCCGGGCCACCGTGGCGTTCGGTCCAATCGGAACGCGGGCGGTCGCCGGACCGTTGGATTCCAAAACGCCCGGGTGGGGGGGGGGGAAACGCCCGGATATTTTTCCCGAAAGCGGCTCTCGGCGGAAAACATTAACGGCTCGCTGTTTGGAGAACTTTCGCGACCCCTGCGTACTGTTACACGTTCCACGCGACCTACGGCTTCGACGCGTCGACACGTTTAAATTCTTGAGATGCGCAACCGTCCGCGATACCTGTCACCGGTTTTACCGTTCTTCGGAATGGATTGCATATTCGTTTCGCGTGAATTCAAGCCGGACGCGGCGGGCGGGCAGGCGCCCGAGCGGTCCGCCGCAACGTCGAAACAATAGAAAAGCGAAAGACGAAAACCACTACTCGGCCAACGGGCTATAACCCAATCACCGACGCGATTTCGGTATTATTGGCTGTACCCGGCTGTACCCGACCGGCGTTTATTATCGCGGCCTGGTAAAATGTTACGCGGACTGACTGACGTCGGCGCATACATTTACAATAGGAAACGAAAAAACGCGCGCGCGCGTTCAAACGGATTTTAAATCAGTTGTTGTTTTTTGTTTTTTTTTTCTTTCCCCCGAGCCGTTACGGCGCGCGCGTGCGGCGACAACGCCGTCATCCGCCAGAGCAGGCGCCTGAAGGTGCGCGATTCCTCAGGACGCGCGACTCGAATTTCGGCCGCGGCTGGGACTTCTTTGCCTATTTTCGCACGCAGCCGGTTCCCGACACCGCGACGACGGGCGCGCGGCTACGACCCGAATCGGAATTTGTTCACATCACTAAACAAATGTGTCTCGATCGAAACACTAGAAAATCCATAATTTTTTTCCTGGACCGAAACGTATCATGAACTTTTTATGAACGTAATTTCTTCTTCTAATATAGCAAGCTAATCAAAAATCAAAATCATTTTGCCGACGAAACATTGTTCGAAACGATTTCGGTTTAATAATCAAAAATTAAACAAACGCTCGTGCACCACTCCACGCGACATGAAAAGTTGGCAACGATCGTGTAACCGTTGTACTCGCACGATCCGAAACCAGATTACGCGCCGCGTTTCGTAGGCAAAAGAACCGACAGTCGGTCGCGCGGCCAAAATCCGAGTCGCGCGTCACCCGCACGCGTCCCAGAGAATCACGCCAATAACAGAGCGCGTCGCGTTGACCGCGTAACGTATCGAAATAACGGCAAGTTCTCCCGGTCGCGAAATTTCGAACCCGCGAGTACACAACACTACGGTGATCGGTTGTGTGCGTCGGTGTGTCCGGCAGTAGGTGTTCGGTAACCGCGTAATAAACGAGAGATTACCGACGCGTTTTGCAAGACAATTGACATTTTAGTTTTTTTTTTAATGCGGTCTATTAACCCAGCGAAAAAACACAAAACGCCTGCGCGCCGTTGGGTAAACGGGGGGGGAGAAGAGAAAAACGGAAAAAAAAATAATCCGCCCGTGACTCCGCGGGCAGGCGAACATTGTAAAATATAAAACATCGTGGAATACCGAGAAAATAAAAATAAAACACATACAAAACAAAACCCGTATGAATAAGCACCGCGGCGGCTACCGAGAAAAATCGTCGATTCCGTGTCAACAATCGCCTCCTGCTCGCTCGTAAACCGCAACGGTTTCCGATGGAACGCGCGATGAAACGACCAACGGACGGGACCGCGGCAATATTCACGCGGGAGAGCGGCAGGTGGAATACAATTCTCGACAATTCCGTCGGAACTGTAATGATAACAATGACATTCAGAAAAATATTACGTTACGGCGACGCGGAATCCGACCGCCGGGAAAACAATAAACGTCCGTTATCCGTAGCGCGCGTTCCCCGGCGTCAAAGTTGACGACGGCCGGCCGGATTGCGTTTCTCGCGTAATCGAAAACCGTCGCGCGAACACGCCCGGGACCCGTGCAATGCGTTTTCGCCGAGCGGGGAATTAAGATAGGAAAAAAAAAGTTGGAAATTTATGAGAAAAAATTATAATAATAACAAATAATTTCTAGAGTTTCCGCCGCGCGAACCGGACATCGATACACACGCCGCCGCCGCGGAACCGACACGCGACCGTGGCCACGGGACGAGAGTCCCGGGGACGAAGGAGCGACACAATGACGAGAACGAATAAAATAACGTTACGCGATATTTATCGCGTTTCGCGCCTGTTACGCGCGCGGGCCGCCGCGAGTGCCGTGCGGTTTGTTTGTTTTTTTTTTTTTCTCACGTCAGTTTACCGTCTCGCTCCGTCCCGGGTCCGTTTTAGACGCGGCGGCGATGACGACGGCGACCCACGTCGAAAGAATTTGTCGAACAGCCGCTACGCGGTAGGCATCTCGCCTACCTGCCCTGGAGGCCGGTGCCGCAACACTCACTGCGCGCGGCGAAAAAACAACAACAATAACAAACCGCAAACCCGCCGCGATGACATCACCGCCGGCCCGGCGGTAATTATTCAATATGGCATTGCTGCTGCGTGAATGCGAATCGAGCCCGACCGTAGGTAAAAAAAAAAAAAAAATCATTAGTCACGAGCACGACCGCGACGGCCGGTTTTACCTTATCTAGCGGCTTACGCGGTCCACGGCGCCAGAGTTTATCACGCTGGCCAATTAAAAGATAATAATAATAATAATAATAACAATGTTTATCACCGCGGCCGGACAAATTAATACTGATACGGCACCCGCGCCGAACATTGATAAACGAAAAGGTCCGAGCCGGGGAGGGGGGGGTTTGTTGATTTTTGAAATCGCGGTCGGTTTTCCTAACGGCTCTGTTTTATTAGCCGCTCCCGCGGGCGGTGGAGGGGAGGGGGGGTTTATACGTTATTACGGTATGTGTAATGGGTGTCCGCGGGACTGCAAATGTGTTTTATCTATTCGCAAACGCTCGGCAACAGGCGCCACCCGCTTACCTGGACGTGAGATTCTCCATGAACTTTTCGATCGTGATCTCGTCCAACAGGACGAAATCTCCGATTCCCGGTTCTTCCCGATTGGTCATCATGTCGTTGGACGTTATTATTGTTACTGTTAATTATTGTTTCGTTATTCCCGAACACCCGGGATTATAGCACGGCGAGTTGGTGTTTGCGACGACGGACGAGGCGAACGGCCACGGAGCTACATAACAATGGTTTCTAACGGAACGCCCGTTGTCCGGCGGGGAACTTCCGCGGAGAAAACGGATAGAGAGAAAAAAAAAAAGAGAAAAGAAACCGCGGTATAGAGCGCGAATTGCCGGGCGCGGAACTTGCGTTGCCGAACGGTCGTGGACGCGCGAGCGTTAACGTCGAAGACTTGTGAGGTTCTGAAACGGCGACGATTACGAATTTCTATGATAGCGAAACGGGTCGACGTCGGTGATGCGGGTGGCGGGAGACAGTGCGGCCGACACGGCCGGAGCGAAATAAAGAGGCGCGCGCGCGACGACGACGACGACGTTCCCCACTACCAGCGCACGTGCGACGGCCGCTGTTGCCGAGCGCAGACCGCGTATACTGCAACAATCGCGGCGACCGTATTATTGTTGTTGTTGTTATCAGCCACGGGCGTTTAGCCCGTATATGGTCGCGCGGAATGACGCGGACGCCCGTGGCCGTGTCCGGGGGCGAAACGCGCACGGGGCAGAGACCGCCCCGCATCCCGCACGAACCGGACTCGTGTCCGATACGCAGAACTTCCGACTTCCGACGCGCAGGTTACCCACTTGTACCGTTGCCAAGGCGTACGGAATGACCCTGTTACGTAAATTATGATAATATCACGTTCCGTTCATCAAAACGAGATTGAACCTTTTCGGATCCGCTACGCGGTTCTGAACCACGGACGTTTCCCGTGGTCGGTCCCGTAGCCAGGCCGAATCGTCGGGCGGAGCAAACCAAATTTTAGAGGGGACGGGACGTTTGGCCAAAAACAATATCAACGATATACGCATTGAACACTTGCCGGAGAGGGGGAGTGGCAACGCTCCCCGCCCGACTGTTTTTTGGGCACTATTTAGGACATCTTCCACCGATGGAATTTTCGGTAATTTTTCCCGAAGACAGTAATCCAAATATTTCCATGATAAGTATTATGTTATTATAATACGATCTACGACCTAGTATTTAAAACATTGATTATAATAATAAAGGATACTTACCATTAATATCTAAAATTGTTTTATAAATTGATCATACTATTAAGATAACATTCTTGTACGATAATCTGTTTGACACAATGGTTAACAATTTCCTATCTACCTATCTCGTAAAAATGAAACATTTCAAAAAAATAAAAAAAAAAAATTGATTACTGATTCATTTGTTGTTCCTAAACACATATTTGTGAGTCCTTTGTTCATATTTAATTAATTAACGAGACATCACGCACAAATAATAATAATTTCGTGTAATAAGTAAATAATAAACTTTTAAAAAATATAGAGGGAAACGTCCTACTTCACCGAAAACAGTCGGGAGAGGGAAGGAAATGTCCATTGGCCGCTACTTCTATAAATCAAAATGTTAATTATTTTGCTTATGAAGTCCTCCCCCTCCACCGAAATTGTTTGTACGTTAGTATACGTGCATGTGATTCCGTGTGAATCATATTATATGATGCGCTTAGATTACATCAGACCTAATAGCGGATGACTAACTCCATTTCCTCTACGTGAGAAAGCCTTGACATTGAAATATTCACTAGGAATTTTTTTCTTTCGCTAAATTTTTGTTTCTTACTCAATATATTACGACTCATCATAAATCAAGTTCCTCGGTCACATTAGGTACGATAGCTACCATCATGTAGGTACGCAAATGGAGGGAGGTGCATAATCCACCCCTCAGATAAATTAGGTGCACATAGGTAGGTTATCAATATTATGGGTTGTTATAAGTCACTCCATCAAAATATTTGGGCTATTTGCTCCTATACATCAATGATTCATGAGAAATGAGTTTTTTCTTATAACCATATTATGTTTATATACAAAATAGGTTAAATAAAGATTCTATACACACTTATCTATAATAAGGTAGGTGTACTCCGTTTTGGAATCATACATCCTATATCACATCTACTTGAAATTCCTTGTCCAAATGGCCCTGAAGTTAGCTGGTACTTAAGTAGGTATAATAAGACCTAGCATAACTCAATAAACCCTTTAATATCAATTATGTACATACTTCCGAAGCAAATTCGTGATGCAGTTTTCAAATTAAGTATTTAAAAAAATTATTTCGGACTTATTAAGTAGGATTTATTGGACTTTATATAAAAAAAAAAAAGGCGAACGAACGATTCAGTACTAATTCACAAACAAATTGAACGTTGTTCACTAAATTAAAATGATTTAATCATTTATCATAAAAATGACAACAACACTATCCCTGAATCTTGATCCAGGGGAATAGGTGGAAGTTCGTTTGAATAATGAATCACTGAATCAGTTCGTCAAAATGAAATACTATTCCCATACGAGTTCCTTTTTTTTTTTTTTTATATCTTTTAAGGAACGAAAAAGAATTTTTCCAACACTGTGCTCGGTAGGTACAATCACGTATTCAGGATAATTTTTTTCTTGGGGGGGGGAGTTAAAATATTTTTTGAATTCATTAACTTGTAGTTATTCATTGTTATTATATAAATACCTATATAAAAACTTCACAGAGGGTTGAACCCAGAAACTCCTCCCCGCCCTGTATACGGGCTTGGGTAGGTACCATAAGATAAATATATCAAGGGGAACACGGGGTAAAACGAAAACACGAAGTAAAATGGGACAGACGGTTTTTTTTCCATATTCCGCAATACTACAAAAACGGAACGAATATTTTATCAAAAATTATAAGAAATTATTGTTAATTAGAAACATTATTTATACTGTATACTAGTAAAACTAAGGTCTGTGGTTAATTGTTTGATGAGATCATAATAACCCAGTCATAAAAATATCCCTTCGGGAGCTTCTTAATTTTCAACTGGAATTTAATATATGGTTTATTTTTCCGATGTTTAATGCACCGTTATCATTATAATTTCGCACAATCTGGTATTCCATTTGATCCAGACGTTTAAAAGTAGTATTTTTTTATAATTTGGGGTGCTATAGTAGATCGGAGCACCCTAATAGATAAGTCTCCAATTTATTTTTCAAATATTTTAATCTAATTCCAACTGGCTACTTTCCTGTTTTACCATAGTTATATTAACTTACTCCAGAAGGCGAATGAAAAGTTTAAAACTTATTAAAAATTTATGATCCACTTCCCGTGGTCCGATCAACTTGAAATTTTGTATGTAGTCTTTTTGATTATTAATATTACAATTCAAAATAATTTGTAGTATTTACCTACAATCAGACTTTGCTCAGAATCATATTTCGTTGGCAATGTTCGTTATCGTTCAGTATAAAAATAAATTAAATAACTATATTATATCTTACCTGTTTTTGAAATTTTTTCGGTTTGTAAACAACTTTTCGAAATGAAATCTTGCTTCTATACATCAAGTTAAGCACTTTTTCTGAAAGGAAATTTTATCTAGCTGGTGCAGTATTAGTGAAGTCGTATTCAGATTTTGTAAGTGGCTTTCATAATAATTAGGAAAACTGGAAAAGACGAAAACTAAAAACACAACAAATTTACGGCGTTATGATTCTTTTATTTTAAATTTGTATGATTCATGTTTTCTACCAGAAATATTACTCAAATAGAAAAACAATTAGATATTTTATGTTGCATTTTTAATCTAGTTGGTAAGTTAGGAAAATCGTATTTTGATTTTTCCGGAGCAGTGTTTATAATAGTAGAGCAAATTCGACAAAAAAAAATATAATAAAAATAAAAAAACATAGAAAAATTACGAAAATAATGCTTTTCATACTTTCAAAACATTTTAGCCATTTAATTTTAAGTTTTTTTTTTATAATTTTTAATTTTTATTTGGTAATAGTTTGCGAATGCAAATTGTTGAATAGTAAATTAAAGAGTAAATAGAAATTTTTGAAAATTTAACAGGAGGAGATTCCGTTATAAATCAAAAATAGAAAAAAAAAATGTAACGCGATTTTTTTAAGAGTTAATAACAAATTTTTACGAAAATCGTAATCATTTGGGTCGCGTCTTTTCGTTAACAATGGTTTATCGCTGCTTACAGTTATAAATTAAATATTTAATTAATATTTTATTATACTTAATGCATCCCACATTCCCACCTACAACATTGATACACCCGTGACCAGTCCTTAGTATCAGCTTTTTCTTTTTTTTAGCTAATTTGTTTTGTTAGCTGTAATAAACTAAAAGTAAACCACGCGCGAGATGTGTTTTTTTCCTCAGATAAAATCGTCCCCCCCTCCCCCGGTCATTTAAAACGCTCCGAATGGCAAATTGTTCACAAATCGCGGTAGAACTTTATTTACAATACATTAGTCTAGATCAGTGGTCCTCAACCTTTTTCGTGTGCGCCGACACCCTAGTTTAGATCCGTGAAAATGACGACACACTTGATGATTTATAATTCATCACGTCATATATTTATACTTTGAAAACGTACGGTTAAAAACTATAATGTATAAAAAAAAAAAAACCATGAATAAACAACTTTTTCGGCGACACACGTCACAGTGACACTAGCGCGTCACGACACACCGGTTGAAAACCACTGGTCTGGATTATCGACAGTTTTTCTTGAAAATTATAAAGAGAACCCCCCCCCCCCACCCCCCGGTAACCGCCGCGTGGATTTTATTTTTCGATTCCGCACCTGCGGAACGGCGATAATAAACAACAATAAAATATTAATCATTATCGCAATGTTATTACGCTGTTTACCGCGGTGACGCGTTATTGTTATTTCGACAAGACAGCAGCTGTCTACCGAATAGAGAGAGAGAGAGAAAAACCACGTCACGGACAGCCGCATATAATAGTCACATTCTCAATTTTTTTTTTTTTTTTTTTATATTCATAATCGATTACCCGTAAACAACGCGACCGAATGATACACAACGGTTCTGTATCCGTTTTTCAATACACCGTGAGTAATTTCGTACGGGTTACGCGGATGGTTATCCGCAGCGTATAAGATTTTCGTAGTTTTCGAACACAGTATCTTCCGTTTAGAAGAAAAAAAAAAACGGATTTGGCGTGATACGCGTTCTGGTTTACCCGACAATCTCGCGTAAATATAGGCTTGGCCCGAAAAGCCGAGAATTCGAAGAATACGGGAAAAAAATAAAAACAACCGATTTCCGGCTTGTTATTCGCCGCGCGCGTTCGTTCTGTAACGTTCGCCCGGCCGTTAAGACATCACGCCGAGTATAGAGAATGGTTTGGGCGTTTCATCGCGACATTCGCTGCACTGTGAAAACGTCTTAGACGGGACAACGTTTCCTAAATGGCCAGTTAAAAAATTGGCGATTTTTCGCTCGTCGGATCTTCAAAAATGTATTGACAATTAATGCAGTGCCCGACCCCCGGGCAGTGTTATGTTTAAATAAATTGTCGATTGCGATCAAATTTGCCGACACAATACAGACGGTTGTTTGCACGAACAAAGGCGCGCCCAGGAATTTTCGGCGGGAAAGTATACGCAGCAAATGGTAATCGTAAAATAACCCTTTATCCGTCCAACTGGATAATGATAATTTAAAAGATTTTAACTTAAAAAACCGTTTTTCAATCAATAAATCAACTAATAACTTGGGTTACAAAAACGTGTACAAACTCGGGTGGAAAATAATACTCACAGTCGTGTTTTAAGCCAATGGTAGAGATAGCCTCTAAACAAGCAAACATTACTAAAGTATTATAAATACTCTACAATATTACTAATTTTTTTTTTTTTTATATATACTCTTAAAGGTACACACGAAATATAATATTAACACAAATCACAAGATAATAAACTAATCATTGTTTCTGAACAATGTATTGTACAATTATATTAATACGTACAGTATCATTGTTATACTACCATAACAATATTTGTCGCTGAACAAATATTTTGAACAGGTTTTCAAGAATATTTCCCAAGTAATTAAGTACGTCAAATTCATTCAATTTAACGCGAAAACAATAGTTATTCATTTCATGTATACATATAAAAACGTAATATTGTATTATATAAAACATTATGTCAATGTATTTTTACAACCTATTTAAATATTATAATTACCACACCGACCATTTCCTTTTTAAAATGACACGAAGTTCATTGTTTATTGGTAAATAATGCAGATACACATTTCAATACATTTTTTTTTTTTTTTTTAAAAATGTTAACACCAATAATAATTTAGTCAAGTTTGCATTTTGTTCGTGTCAGACCAGATGTAGCTGTATAAAGTCTACATAATAACATTATGTTCTCATTCGCATTTGTAATTTGTACACAGTTGTATTAATTACAAAATACATACTATTATATGAATCGACACATATATTGTAATCAAATATTATTATTTCTATGAATAACAGCCTTGATGTTCAATATTCTTTATCGTGTATAATAGCTGTATCTACCAGGAAATAATAAATTAGCACCTAAATGAGATAAAAATTGATGAATTTGATAAAATTAATGTTAGTATAAACAATATTAAAATGTAGGTAACATACAATACAATTATACAAAACAATAATATTCAATTCGCTAAGTTTACCATACAATACATATATATATTATATTATTATATAAGTAATAACAATATTACACTATGCTTGCGAGTACCTATTTTATTTGTCGGTTTACAGCATTTTCAAAATATTTCAAACCTGTAGAAAGTATTCGTCACAACCTTTTTTTAAAATTTACTTAATAAATCCGTAAGGAGTAAGTAATATGATCAAACATTTTTGATTTTCCAGTTTAATTTTTATTTGATACAGACTGAATTTCCTAAAAATATCAAACCAATGTAAAATCATATTCTCCTTCATATTAATTATATTAAATTCCCCTCATTCGAAACTTCCACTTGCCCTACATCATCCTTGCATACACAACCTCAGTCCTCATATCATTCTTAATTGCAACCAATCATAAAATTTTATTCTCTTCTTCTCCCCCGTCCTCTACTCCTATTTGTATTTTCATTCCAATTCTTTTGGCATCAGATGTCTATCTCCCTATAGCATACTCAAACCATCTCTATTTGGTCTACTGTTAAAAAAACGTCTAAGCTACCATATATCATAGCTGGTCTCACCATTCTTTAGTAAAACTTACCTCCAAGTCTTCATTTGTTATGTTAAACACTCTATCACTTCTCTTCACTCTATCCGACCAGTTTTTTTTGTACAAGATCCTCCAAGTATACCTCTGTTTATCTATAACAGTGAACATAAACATTCACCCCGGTGTAACTGTCATTTTTTTAGGTTCTGGCAAGTGTTATGCAAGTCTATAGGAAATCTCTAAAGGACGGCCACCTTTAAATAGCAGTCATTAATTCTGGTCCTTTTGGTGACTGTTAAATTAATTTTATTGCATCACTAATATCATATCACCAGATAAATATTGATATTAAAAATTCCTAAAATTGTATAGAGGATATACATTAGTATCTCATATCAAACTAAATGCTTCAACAAGTTAACTTGTATTAACAAACTATGAGATTGGCCTCACATTATCAAAGTAATCCAAAATATCTGCTTTTATTTTTATTTTGTAGGCACTTGATTCCCTATATTTTTAATTTATTACTAAAACGGTTATACCACAAGATTATGAATTCTAAATCTTGATACAAACCTACAATGTATTGAACCTACCACCACTTTACAATAATAATCAGATTGAATAACAGAGAAAAATCCTATAAGAATCCAATCTCTGCAAAATACCTAATAAGTTTTAATTTTATTTGATAAAAATGAATGAATCTCATAGTACACCTTATAATTTAATTACTTATTTTAAATTATGCCACAACAAAAGTTACTAATTTACAAAGAATTATCACTTCTCTACACATTTTTTTTTAGTACACAAAGTAAACATAGATAAAAAAAATTGTTTTCTACAACACATGAGTATTAATATAATATTCCATACTAAACTGAAAGATATTATACAGGATGAAGCATGCTCACATCATTACATTGGTTAAATTTTGCATATATTCAAATTAGGATTTTCAAAAATATGTAAGTGTAGTAAAATCCGATATTTTTGAATATTTAGATTTTTCATAAAATAACAACTTTGGTTTTTCAAATGAGAAATAATGTTAAAAATTCTCTAAATAGATAAGAGTATTACTTAAAATAAATTTTGAGGTCAAGTTTTATTTTTTGTCAACGAATTAACAAGATATACCACTTTAAGTTTAAGTTTTCAAAAATATCGGATTTAACAAGTATTAAAAATTTAAAAATCAGAATATGAATATATCCAAAAAAATATAGTAAGTATATTTAGTGAATCACTTTGTATATTAAGAAATCATACTTCATGATTCGAGTAAATAATTAGTGAATATGTGATGTTAATTAAGATATCTAATAAAAATATATATTTAAATAAAAAAATACTTTCTTAGTCATTTAAAGCTAGCACTTGATTAATTCTAAAACAGTAAATTGTAGGTTTAAGCCATTTATGGATATAACTATTTTATTAATATTTATATTTTAATCATTAGATTGTAACATCAATTAACCCAACAAATATAACTGGCCAATACTTGACTTTAATATTATTTAACTACTTGGTTGTAACAATATTCTTATATATTTTTTTTTATGGCTTTGTTCGCATAAAAATTGCTATTTTAGGAAAATTATATTGTACACGGTAGAAACTTTAATATTATAAAATATACAACATTAATCCATTGAATACATGAAGCAATTTTTGGGCCTAATGTGTTTTGCATTAACAGGAATGTTTAGATGTTTATACATTTGTATGATTAGTCTTAAACCATGATAAGTATAATTGGTTAGAATTTTAAAAAATTATTATAACTAATCGTCCATTGAATTTAGTTTTTTAATTGAATGTAGTGATAACGTTTAATGTTAAAACTCAGATTAGAATATTAAAAATGACAAAATTTTGTTGATTATAATAATTATATATTAAAATGTACAAATTTAGAATATTATTTTACAAGAAAATTAATTAGCAAATAATGTTTTCAAAAAGTCTCATTGATATAAATATTTGTCAAAGTATTAAGATAATTAAAATTGACTATTAATAATCATCCAAATCACTCACTATATAAAATATATTGACAATGAAAAAGCCTCCTAGAAATATTTAAAGGGGTAAATTAATAATTTTCAAACTTTTAACATTTTAGTATCAAAAACATTTAAAAATGTATATGAAGTATAATTAAATTTTTGATACTTAAGTGGAAAATTTTTTTTTTTTTATTTCTTTAAATTTTTTTAAATATAATAATTCTATCAATATTTAAATTTGTACGATCTATAGAAAAATATAATTCACGTTTCTTTAAATATTTTATCATCAATAATACAGATACCAATGTCCAATGCTTATTAATAATAACAATAGTAATAATCAATTTATCAATGTACCTTACATTTAAAATAAAATAAAAATAATGTAAAAATATTTCATCTTTAATTATATTTGGAACTTTTTAAATCAAATATTTAATACACTTTAATAATATTACAATATGTACATACAACATAGTTAATTGCACAACATGTAAATTATTAAAGTCAATGTTTAAATTCACGTAATTTGTCGCGTGATCTGAAACAAGCAACAGAAGTATGTCAGGAACAATTTTTCAAAATCATCAAATATAAATAAATAAAATATTATTTAACAAGGTCATATTAACAAATTTCAGAAGTAAACATTTGTTATCAATTGTAGATACATGTAATATATATAAATATGTTTATGCATAATATACTAAATAATGTTAGTTTAATTTTTAGTTTTTTTTTTTTTTTTTTTTTTTTTTTTAGGAATGATTACTGAAAATTACCTTTCCCAATGTCAGGCTCCAGCTCAAGACACCAGAAATTTTCCACTGAAATTGATAACATCAAAAATATTTCCACAAGACAAAGACACAAAAATATTTAGGACATTAAAATAAAAATTATTTTTCATTTGTTTGGACATTGGTATAATTAAAAACCCTTAATTCTATACAAACCTGGTAATCGATGAAGTGACACGCTGTGAACAAGGTAAAAAAAAATTATACAAACATTTCACACATGACAAATTTTAGTTATATTATTTATAAATGTATTTTTCTCTAAGATAATTATTTAATTAAACATATGTAATATTTCATTATAATATAAATTATTTTAATTATAAAGTGGTTTTTGAAATTTTTACCAAGTTTTGTGCATGAAAAAAAAAAAACAAAAGATTTAAAACCTAACCTAACAAGACCATTTGAAACATAACTAACAACATGCATAATAAATAATGTTATGTGTATTGTATAAATATATAATATGCAATACATAAATATTTATATATATACAATATACATAAATTATGTATAGATCTTTTAAACGAATTAAGTAACTTTTAATTATTATTAATTTTTAAAACAAAAGAGAATACAAATTAACATAAAATCTATTCATTAATATACAATTCAGGACAAAACTTGGCAAATAATATTTCAATGATAAAACATTTTTCTTAACTATAATATAAAAAGGGTCCTAAAATCCAATTTCATAAAACTTTAATGAAAAACGAATTTTATCAATGTCGTGTACCTAGTTTAATATGTTATGCTATACAAATCCAAACTTGAAATGTTCATAATTTGAAACTCTTACTTGAAATAACTCACAATGTAATAAAATTTATAATAGCATTTATGTGTGTAAAAGTGGAGATGAGAAAAATGTAATCAACATAATATTATTACTTTATTAAAAAATAGTATTGGATACCATATAACCAAAAATAACATGATTATATAGATGTGACCGTAGTTCCAAAAAATAAATGATGGCGATTTTACCTAAATATTTATACCAATCGCCAATACTATTTATTTAAACAAACATATGGGTTTTTTTTCAAAATTTCGCGCTACAAAATGTCTACATTTAAGTATAGTACATAGTTAAACATAATTAAATATACTAATAGAAAAAAAAAAAATGCGTAGAAGACAAAACTATTTGTTTATTGATTTAATATGAATGGACCTGACCATAGCGAGGATATCCCTGGTATCTGGACGTTCTGCAATAACAGAGTTAATAGTATATTTTTGACGTATGTCCTGAAATGGCATGGTAAGCAAAATATTCATCGATAATAATAAAAAAATATATATTTTTTTAAATATTTCATAATATATTATTGATTATCCTAATATGAAAAGCATAAATAATATTTCTCGATATTCATCGTATTCCTTACCTCATTGTTGTTGGGGTGGATCTTGTTGTGGAACCTGTTGATAACCTGCATAAGCATTGCTCGCAGGATATGCTCCATAACCAGAAGGTGCAGCACCAGGATTTTGCGCTCCATAATAACCACCTGCACCATAAGCCATACCATACTGGGCTCCATAAATAGATACATCGTTTAATTGTGGTTGTCCAGACTGAGGGCTTGAGGTGTTAGGTTGTTGTTGTTGTTGTTGCTGCTGCTGCTGTTGCGCCTGCTGCTGCTGCTGCTGTTGTTGTTGTTGAGGGGATTGATCAGCCCCAGAACTTGGTTGGCCATTCGTTTGAACCATCTGTTGCATAAAAATAAGTATTAAAAATGTACCAATGAATACCGAATAATTAATAATTATTATGACTTTTAGATTTTGAAAAAATAAATAAATAAATATTACAATGTGTATCATTTATAATGAGAAATACATTTGATTTATACTTTCAAAATTATAAGAAAAAAATTCTTATTATAATTAATGTTTAACTCACCCTAGCTTTAACTTGTTGTTCAACCATATCAGCTTCCTTGTTTTTGCCAATTGACCTATAATATTCTATCCACTGGGCACTGTAATCAGGAGTTCCAGCAGCGGCACTTCCAGCAGTAGCTCCGCCACCATTAGCAGGAATAACAGAAACTGGCATAACACTTGCACCGGCATTTGGTGGAATCGCATGTGGTTGAGGTTGGACATTCGTTGGATTTGGTACTGCACTGGTCCCATTCATCTATTTCAATTAAATAATTTGATATTGCTATTGTATTATTAAAATAAATTAAATCATAAAATAATAGCTTGGAACCAGGAATAATTAATTACAGATTGAGGCACCATTATGAAAAACCGATTTAAAGTATATCCAGTCAAAGGAACTCACACAATTTTATCACATAATTAAAATTAATAAGAATACAAAGAAAATATAATTGGGATACATTATAACAAATAATTAGTACACACCTTCATTTGTTTAGATTGTTGTTCAATGAACTCAGCTTCCCTATGCATACCCATAGATCTATAATACTGTATCCACTGAGCACTGAAATCTGAACCACCTTGGGCACCATTAACATTAGCCATTGGATTTGAATTATCTGAAAAAATATAAATTTTAAAATGTTTACATAATAAAGCTAAGTTTAGAGAAATATTGCTTAAACTATTATCTTATAACTTAACATCCTAATTACTTTGATCAGTTGGTTGCTGTGGTTGTTGCATGGCCGGATTCCAACCTTGACCATATGCATTCATTTGTCCTTCTTGTCCACCCCAATTCATTTGACCACCATATGGTGGCTGTTGTTGACTTGTATTACTATAATTCTGAGTACCTCCACTAGGATCCTGCTAATGAAATTAAATTAAATTTTATGACTATGAAGAAATACATATTTTAAAAAACTACATACAAATCCTAATTTTTCATTTATCATGCGTTTTGCATTTTCAATTTGCTCAGTTGTTCCACGTATAACAAATGTTTTTTCAGTTCCTGTATTATTATGTCGTCTATCTATTTCACAATGTGCTCCTGTTTGCATGTTAATTTGTTTTATTGTTTCACCACCTAAAATTGAATTCATGCAAATTAATATGTATACTACTAAAGTTTAATATACTATAGAAGTAACAATCACAATTAATTAAAATGATATCATGTATTATATTATATTGCTAACCAAGTTTATATAGTTCGGAATTGAAAATTTAAATAATATAATACAGATAAAAATTGTGCGCAGTAAAAACCAATTTTTTATAGATGTATTCTCTCTTTTTTTTTTTCAATCTTCTTATTGCTTTATATAAGACATTTATATAGATAGATGGAAATTAACAAGTTCCAATTATATTTTTAATACAGTCAAAATATGAAATATAATATATAGATAAAAAGTAATTTACCTTTACCAATAATAACTCCACATTTAGCTGACGGTACAGTAAATGTTGTTTCATTTAATGGTTGAGTTTGACCACTATTTCCCCAACTTTGACTCCTATTAAAATTACTACCGCTTTGTCGATTGCCACCTCGATTCTAATAAATTATAATCACCTTATTAAAATAATTCAAATGAAAAAAAAAAAAATAATAATAATAAATAAAGATGACATACTAGTGCACTATCAACTAATGCTTCTATTCTTTGCTTAGCTTCAGCCACTTGATCTGGATTACCAGTTATTAAACATCTTCTATCATCAGGTGTATCTTCATTAAGATTTATAAACTGAACTTTTGCACCAGTATCAGCTTGAATTTTTTTAATCATATCACCTCCTTTTCCTATAACTAATCCTACAACTTGCTTTGGTACACCAACCTATAAAATTAAAACAAACACAATGTTTAATAATAAAATAAATATTAAGATACGATTATAAATAATGAAAAAAAATTCAGAGCATTGTTACAGAGTTTCAATTTGCATCAGAATTAAGAATCATATCATTATCACTATGTCCAACCTAAATATAGGAATAATGTTACGTATTAGATATCACCCTAATTTAACACATCAAACATATACAACTACATTTGAAACAGTGCTCTTTCCGTGCCACATAAAAACATTAAAATTAAACTGCCCAGGATAATCTTATTTGCTAGCCCCTATATATAATGCTGGACCTTTAACTAATTTTTGTTAAAAACCTGATCCAAAACTAATAATCAGCTTGCAAAAGGGGATATCTTCAAAAATTTTTTTTAAACCAAACCGAATGTATATATAAACAACAATGATATGGACTTGATTGTACTAGATATAATACACCCAACAACCAAAAATATTTGCAGAAGATACTAAAATAATAACACACAATCGAATCCTATAAGGTTTAATAAAAGACCTACAAAACACCTTGACCAATTACCCCAGTAAGATTCATTAACACATCTCTGTCCATATTATATTTGTATAATCTCATAAGAATAACATAATACATTGAATTGAATCTATACCCAAATTATGTAAATAAAATAAAATTAATAAATAATAAAATGATACTCCAATTAAATACTCCTCTAGATCACGTTCGTCATATTATATAGACACAATATTTTTTATGCATCAACATCTCGATTTTTCCCTATCTATTACACTTAATCAAAATTGCTTCAATATTTTTAAAACCAAACATATTTATTGTTGTATAGTTTTTAGTTATTAATTTAGATAAATTTTGGGGTCAAAATTTTTATTTCTATCAACCTTAACAAGACATTCTATTTTTAAGTTTAAGTAGAGGGAGAATAGTGTAGAAGCACAGTTAAAACTCCGTGCACACAAATAATACTCCAATACTCTCTCCCTAGCTAAACTTAAAAGAGGAATATCTCATTAACAAGTAGACAGAAATTAAAAATGTTGGACACCAAAATTTATCTAAAGTAATACTTAGTCTATTTATGGAATTTTTAAATGTAAGATCTCATTTAAAAAGTTGGTGTCACCACAGGATACTCCTTAAATAATGTTCAGTTGTGAAAAATCTAAGTATTAGAAAATATCTGCTTTTTTGAAGGGGACGATATATATTATATTTATGTGATCTATAGATTAAATTAAATTTTTTTAAATTAATTTGATTATTCTCAGAACATGATAAAAACATATGGATGGGGAAATGTTGTATAAAAAAACATTGGGCAGAGAAGTAACCCGATATAATCTCAGTAATACTTAAAATGGAAATCTACACTAAATTGTACCAAAAATGAAGCAATGATTACTTTTAGGAAATACACCTATCCTATTAGTGATCCATACGAACAATAATTCAGTAAAATTCTTAGTAATTCTTTAGTATACTTTCAATAATAAGGCAGTTCCAAATCAACAAATGCTTCATCTTAAAATTGCAATCACTCCAAAATACATGTTTGCATAACATATTAAAAGCCTTGGCAAAACCAACAACTTCACCATGACAATTTAATTTGATTAAGAATAGATACCTACTTGGGTAACGAATCAAGAAATTTTTAAAATAAGCTAAGTGTTCTCTACATTCAAATAGAGAATAGAATAAAAGAAACTTTCAATCCATTTAGATCACAGCCAACCATAAGTAATTTATAATCTTAAAATTTTTACATTTTATATCAAAGTTGTAAATTGATATTCTAAAAATATATTGTATAATAAAACCATTAAATTTGATAAATAAAAAATGTTCAGTATTTTACCTCAACTTTGCCTCCATAACCAGAATGCATACTGTTATAATCGCCACTATTTGAACCATTCCAGTTTGACCCATTCTGATCGAAATTGGACTAAAATTTTAAATCAAAGATATTATTTATTATAAAAGCATGATAATTACAGACAATTTAATATATTCATATATTTGGTTGTTAACGTGAATTTTCTTTTTTAGAAATATTTATACATATAGAATAAATTCACAAAAATCAGTATTTTTGTACAAATTTAGTTAATAAATTGTATTAAAACAACATATATGATCAAATTGTAATTTAATAGGTTGAAATTTTTGTATTTTTATAATATTATATTAAACTGTTTTAAACAAAAAGTTCTCATACACCATGTACTATTTCATTTTCAACTATTAATCAACATTAATTTTAAATTTGAATTTATATACACACGTAGACCCAAAAATTTTAGATGTTATAATTATATATAATTTTTTAAATATTTACCGAGCCTCCTTCTTTTTCACCAACTCCTAGCATATCATACACCAATTTCTTAGCATGCTATAAATAAATTAACAAAATTAATGTTACAGTTAATTAATAATGTATTTATACAATTATTTACCTCAACTTTGGCGGTTTCACCAGATATCCTTAATGGTTTTTCATTTTCTTGACTATTAGGGCCATCTTGAATAACTATCATTTTTGCTCCAGAACTTTCTTGCAGCATTTTAATAGTTTCACCTCCTTTTCCAATAATTAGGCCAACTTTTGCACCAGGGATCATTATTTGTGCCTACCAAATAAATGTGCTTCATAAAATAAATGTTAAAAACAATTTTTTTTTTTTTTTTTTACTTGTGTAAAGGCTGGCTGAGATGGCGGAGATGATATATTAAGACCTTCAATTTTTGCACCTCCTGTTCCTTCAACGGATACTTTATTTTGTACTATGTTTTGTATAAGTTCTTTGGCTAGTCTAAATTTTTATTTATAAAAATTAGTTGAAAATAAACAATAAATAGCATATAAACTAACAATTAAATACATACGTTATACTTTGAGCATTTCCAGTTAGGGTACACGATCGCTCTAATAAACCAGGACTATCAGGGGCCATTTGAATTTTACATCCAGTTTCAGCTTGTAGTCTACTAATTTGTCCTCCACCGCGGCCTATAACTTTGCAAAAGGTTAACGCACATAGTACATCAAATTGACTACCTAATATAAAATTGAAGAAAATTAATATTTTATACTTACTAAGTCCAACCATTTTGTCTGGGACTTTAATTTCTTCGTTTACGACGTTGCCAAATTGTGATCCAGGCCCACCGATGCCTTGGATACCGGCTGCAGCTGCTGCTGCCACTCTGGCTGCCACGGCTGCTGCTTGAGCGGCGGCTAAAGCCACCGGAGAAGTTGCTAACCTTTTTCTTTCTGGTTCTAAATAAATTAACACACATATTAATACATTTTTTTTTTTTTTAAAATTATTATTTAATAAATTAAGTACCTGAAGAGTTACCGTAATCTTCTGAAGGTCTTTTATGGGTTTCTGGGGAAATAGATCCTGTGGTTGAACTGGCTTTGGAAGATGGTTGGATCTTAGCTGCTATCTATAAACATAATTTATATAAGTTACTTAGATTTTACATGTAACATAAATAATTTGTTTTTAAATATTTAAATATGAATACATAAAATATGTGAAATATCAATTATAATATAATCAAAAAAGATAGTTTTTAGAAAATATATTAAGTAATGTTTTTAATATTTATTTGGATAAAATATTTTATGAACAATTATGTATCTAGGTGTTTAGATTTAACTAATGGTAAAATGAAAAGCCATTCATAATATTTATTAAATATAGTTTCAATTTTGTACTAAATAAAATTTAAATTAAAATATTTATCAAACAATTAAATCATCTTAGAACATGTATAGATACAGCAAAAAAATAGTTAGGTATGTACATCAAACTACTATATTATACACTAATAGATCAAATTAATTTTATAAATTGTACATCATTTAATAGTATGGGATAGAGGTAGCCAATAATTAGTCAAACAATTTTTTTTAAGTAAATTAATAGAGAATTATAAACTTATACATAAATAATTAGGTAATTCATTTAATTTGAACAAAATTACAATGAAATGTTTACAATAAATAGCGCAATGTAAATAACACTAATCATTAAATTTATCAGAATCAAAGTCAAATAATATACATTTTGTATGCAGCATTAAGTTATGACCTCATTCGATGTACATAATGTAAGATAAAACAAAATATAATTTAACAGTAATAATTTTGAATTCACGACATTAATAATCACAAATTGCTCTTAAAACTATTATCAATTTATAAATGTATAATGATGATATTATGCAAGTGTCACAAAATATTAATGAATTATGAAAAAAAAAAAAAATAATAATAATAATTAAATGGTATTTCGCATGAACATTTATTAGACCTAATGTTTTTTTTTAAATGTATTCTTAAACCGTAAAAAAAATTTTCGCCAAACAAATTTTACATTTTCAACATTTTCTTCGTTTAATGGTGTTGATGAAGACATTGTGTATCACTACTATGTTAAGACAATTTTAACACGACAAAGAAAAAATATGAATGAGAAAAAATGTTTAACGATGCACGGACAAACGGGCAATTACAACCGCAGACATGGTGGACTGCAAGTATCGCAGTCGTGCCTACGACCAAGACTAGACCAATAACTAAATATGACCACGATAGGACTATAAGGTCCCGGGTAGGTGGTGATAAATAAGTGTGTACTTAAGAATGGGTCGAATCGCCGTACAAGAGCCGAAAGACCGACGATAAACACACGTTACCACAGCGAGTGGAATTTTACCACGTACACTGTGAGCACAGGTGCGACCAATTTAGCAGGCAGTAGCACACGAGGAGGTAGGTAGGTAAGGACGCAAATAAGCGCGTCACGGTAAACAATCGCCGCCGCCGCCGCCGACGACGACGACGACGTTGTAGCAGCCACCGCTGCGAAGAATTGCCGGTAACCGCGGGCGTCGGCGGCGTGGCCGGAACGGCCGCTGTTGCTGCGACCACAGTTTCCGACCGGACAACATGGTTTGTTGCCGGCGAAGACTGCGTGCCCAATTGGTGCGGTAAATACGCGGTGTCCGGCCACGCGCCGCGCGTGTATTCGTGTACACACTATATTGTAGTTTGGCGGCTTATTATAAATGCGTGTGTGCGCGCGCGTGTATGCATGTGTACGTGTTTACTTACTTCTTTAGCGCGTTGTAGGGCCGCGGCGAATGCTTGACTCTGACTCTTTTCCGTTGGCGGATTCACCGCTGAATAATCACTCATTGTGAAACATGAAGAATATTATCGTTGACGAAATGGATGCTTCCCGCTGAAGTACTTGTCGACAATGCGCGCGTGCCGTGTATGGTGCGGGTAAACGACAGAAAACAACGAAACGTCCAGACCGCATAGACAACAAGGCGCAGGCTGACGGTACGTACAGTGGTAGTGGTTGTCGGACGGCAAAAGTGAACGATCGGCGAAGATAGTTGTGGCCGCACATACGAAATGCACAACATACAGCAAAAACGTAAGAAGTGTATATCGCTGTCTTTGTCGCGCCGTTTGATGCGTCGCTGTACTCTGTCGGATAGTCGGATGTTTACGGGCGGCGTCGGTGGTGGTGTGGGTCGGGAAAAATGCATGAAACAATAACGAAACGTGATTACCACCGTACGGCAAGGATATTGGATATTCACGAGCGCACGCGGTCATGGAAGAATAAAAAATGGTCCCGTTGGCCGGCGGTGACGACGCCATAATATGACCGCCAAATATTATGACGTCTTGAGCACTAGTGCATATCGCGTAGTAATTATACACACATGTATTTCTCGCCGACGTAATGCTACAACTGATAATCGGAATCGAATAAAATTACAAACATTTTGTTATACGACGTCTGTGCTTGTACAGTTGTACCGCGTCGGCCTTGTCGCTGTTGATTGTTAAATAAAACATACTATTATGAAAATATTATGTTTATTATTTTTTTTTTTTTTCATGACGCAACCGACCACTAGAGCCGCGAGCCGATTAATGCCTTGATTTGATTCCGGTGGCCAAATTACAGTATTCAAACAATTTGGAATTCTCAAAAGGGAGTCTAAAAATACATAGGGTTTGAGTTCAATAGGTTTTCTATGCCTAATACCAAAGACTAAATTAATTGAAAAAAAGTATATGGGGCGGCTTGAAATAGTTCAGGAAGGGCTAAGAACCCCCCCATATTTACATTTACGTGACAATAGTCAACCTAAAAACAAAACGTCAACTTTACTAAACGATGACGGAATGAAGCAAATATTTTGAACGACCGTTGGACCGTATTATTATTATTTTTATCGATTGATAAATGTCGTATTTCCCAATATTATATTCCATAAGCAATATCATAATACAATCACTATAACGTATATCACAGTAACGACAATACATTCACATACTAAATATTAAATAAAATATTACGTTTATTTTACTTTTAATATGTTTTTAGTTTTATAGTCTTCATATACCTGATTGTTTTCTCTTAATAGGTAACTATGTAACTATAAGTAATCGTTGATTTTGAAACTGACGTGGGGGCCGCATTAAAATATGCAGCGGGCGGCGGGTTGGACATCCCCAACACAAATGGCGTTTATTACTTCCACCCATGCTCATTTTAAATTGTATATTGTTATTTCTCCCCCCCCTCTCGGCAACCTCCCCACCATACTTCGAGAACTTTTTGTCTTTAAATTTGCGTAAAATTAATAATTATTTTCATGTTTTATTTTGATAAAGTGAGAGTTTTTTTTTTTTTTTTTGTAAAAAGAGTAACAATTTTTTCAAACACCTATGCAAATAGAAATTAAATCAATTGGATAATCAAAAATGTATTTTTGGTAGGTATGTATTTTTAAACTCAAATCCAATTATCATTGATATCAGTTTTATGCTAGCTTTTCCCGAGTCTATTGAACGAAAAAAAAATGTAAACAAATAAAACAAATAATTCGATTTTCGTATTACAATTGATGACAATTATCTAGTGTAAACCCTAAACCCTCTCTCATTTCTCTTTTAGGGCTTGAATACCGGGATACAAAGTAGCTTATACTATGTTATTCTTGATCTAGAAATACGTCTATGCAAAGTTTCAATTCAATCCGTTTAACAGTTTGAACGAAAAGTGATAATAACATACATAATCCATAAATCCGAACAAACATTCACATTTATAATATTGTAAATAGGATAGGATGCTGCCTATAAGATTCATTTTATTTTAGTTTTTCTATTCTTCTAAAGACTCTTAACTATCAAAACGAGGATTGTATCCTTAGTAATAGGCGATACAGAAAACTCGTGAAAAGGTGTAAATGTGTACACTTATAAAAATGAATACTCCTAAATATAATATGGGTTTATTAAGTAATAATTAGAGAAACGTGAGCTTGGTAAATTTTACCGATGTTTTTTATAAAAATAATTAATTAATATAATTATAAGTTAAATTCATTTTATGAAAAAAAAAAAAAAACGAAACCTTTCAAGTGCATAGTACGAATTACGTATACCTATCTAATTCCGGCCTCTACCAAATCATTTTGTTATTATATAAGAAATATAATAATTTTAATTTGATATCAATACCTTGGTTATGTTAAGTAATTATAATTTTATTAGTTCCAATTAAAAACATCACATTAAACTATTAAGTGGACGCTATACAGAAAGTGAAACGTATGTAACATCCGAGAGATGATGTACGCTATACCACCGTGGTTACGGTCTACCGTGACGACGGTCACTCTTTGGTTGTCTCGACGACCAGTTCGTGGAGTTACGGTTTCGTGCCAGAGATCGTTTTATTAATTTTGATTTTACGAGCGCTCCCGTAGTAGATATCTAAATACATTTCGTTAGACGTTGACGATTTATTCTTAAGTTCAATTATAGAGTTTTTCCTAATCTTCAAAAATAAGTAGGTACTATTTTGAGAAAACCAGAATTGCAAGGTCTGACCAATAAGTAATGAGACTGTTTTTTTTTTGCCACGCTTGTGGTAACACTGCGAATCTGAAACTTCGTTCGGTTAATCTCTCATCACTCCTCTATCGATACATGTGCTCGTGATTTTCATACAATAATTAGTTTTCCAGTTGTGTTGTTTTCGACAACGTGTTTGTAAGGCGTATCACAAATATGGAACAACGTAATATAAATTTTGCGTTAAACTCGGCGATTCCGTTATGGAAACGTACGATAAATTGGTGAACGTGTTCGGGTGTTTCGATGGCATAACAATTTTAAAAATGGTCGTGAAATCGTCGGGGATGAACCGCGAAGTGGGAGACCGGTTGAAGCTCGAACTGACAANTGCATCAAGATCGGCGTTTAACCGTTCGAATGTTGGCTGATGAACTTAATTTGAAACGAGAAACCGTCAGAAAAATTTTAACTGATGATTTGTCCATGAAAAAACTGTGTGCAAAAATGGTACATTCATCATGACAATGCTCCAGGCCATCGTGCCTTCAGTGTGTCGCGATTTTTGACCTCTAAGAACATCGCAGTGTTGCCACCAGCGCCTTATTCGCCGGATATGTCACCCTGCGACTTCTTTTTGTTCCCTCAAACAAAATTGGCCGTGAAAGGAACGCATTTTGAGTCCATAACTGACATCCAGAACGCCGTGACGAGGGTACTTCAGGACATCCCAGTCGAAGCCTTCCAGAAATGTTATGAGAGCTGGAAAAAATGTTGGAACCAGTGTATAGGGGTGGGAGGGGAGTACTTTGAAGGGGATCACATCGATGTATCTTAATATTTAAATATACGTATTTTATTGAATTAGTCTCATTACTTATTGGTTAGACCTCGTATACCTAGTCAACTAGTCATAAATGGTAATTTAATTATCTTTTTCATTAATTCCTCAAGTTAATGTTATAAAATATAAATTTAAAAAAGACGTCCTAGGATAATGAAGACGGATGTAGTCACTGTTATGGGTAATTTGATATATATCGGTAAGCAACAATAAACCATTGCTAACGAAAAAACGATTCTGAACGCAGTTCAGTTGATAGTGATGCTTCGACAACAAAATATGTGTCATATTATGATAAAATAATTAAATAGGCATTATATATTATCTTTAATAATATTTATTTAATACTGTACCGATTTTACCGTTTTTCCCGGTTTTTCACATTTTCTGGGAAAACTCTTGGAAAAACGAAAAAGGTTCTCTCTAAAGTAACTCCCCAGTAAGATTTCATGTTAGAAAAAGTGTAAATCATTGTAAATTGGAGCAAAATTGCGGGTAGAGAAATTCTCTACAAATAAAAAACCTTAATATTTCTCTAATGTAATTTGTACATTTTCCAGTTTTTTCTTTGTTTTTCAAAATTTTCCCCATTTATTGGGAAAACTCCNAAGTTATACTTGATACATCGGAGCAAGATTTTAGGTAGAAAAGTCTGCACAACAAATTGAGGGTTATTTTGCGATTAAAATAATCCGAGCGAGCGATGGCTTAGGTCTTCAGATACACCCAAAAGCATTTGTTTTTTCCTTGTTTAGGTAAAAGGGAAAAAAATTAAACTATTTTCTTCGGAACAAGAGATCGAACTCGGAAATCCTAGGATCATAATAGGCGAAAGTAACCATTAGATCACGACAAATATAATTTAAGAAGAACAATATTGAGTTATTTAACATAACACATAATATCAGAACTTTAAAAAGCTATAATTTCGTAGTTTAGTCAGTCCGCTCAATTCTGACTACACCATCGTTCTTAAATCGACAATATACGTATGTTCAAAAGAAAAAAAATTGAAAAATTAAATATGTTCAACATAATTTTTTTACTTAACGATCTTCATCAAAATTTTATATTAAAATTCCTTTATAAAAAAATACTATATTAAACTCAAATTTTCTTTTTTTTTACCACAAAGTTAGACTCTTAATGAACCTCTAATTAAATTTTGAAACATTTTTGTTTAAGTCTAACAACTTTACCACAGAGTACTTATCGAATAAATATTATATACAGAATTCTCATAATTAAAATGTCTATAAATATCTCAAAAATGGCTCAAATTTTTTGAAAATTTTACCGCATTTAAAAAAGGCAAATATAATTTTTTTTTTTTTAAATCTTAAGTCTCTACGAATATTTTTAACTGAATTACAACAAATAACAAAATTGAAAAATAATAAAAGCATTATTGTCAAAATTTTCCGTCTCTCTCACGTTTTATCATTGTTTTCTCAGATATTATGAAAACCGCTTAGAAAATTAAAAATGACCTCCCTAAAGTATCATCTAGACAACATTCCTTTTCGGTAATGGTGCCGCGCGTGAGCAAGATTTATGGTCGAATTTTTGTAACACAATATAAAAAAAAAAAAAAAATGTTGGATATTTATTTTATTTTCACCTAGTGAAATACTTTTTGTAGAATAGAAAAGAGAATATAATATACGTGTACTTACATAAGCCAAGAAAGGAGACGAAATTTTCGAGAGCAATTGTTGATGATTTGACTGCCGAATAAAAAAACGTTCTACAATAAAAAAATGTATGATTGAAAAATATAAAAAAATAAAATTCAGCACAGAGAAATAAACATTGTCCTAACCATTGGTTTGGAAAGCGTTGTATCGCGCAACAATATTTTATAATCACGAACATTGTTTAAGTCATTGAAACATTGAGACCATGAGTTTATACAATATAAGTATTTATTTGTTTTCCATTGATTGTCCTTAAGTCAACACTTAAGAACATTTTCCAAGCGGGTAACAATAGAACAAATTACAAGGGGATAAGTGTTTTATGAAGGGACGAGGTAGGTATCTACTAAAGTCTAAGATATATATTGTGCATCAATGTTCATAAATGTT